TATAGACTTGATTGATTGGAGAATTCCCCGAATGATGTTCAAACCAGAGGTTATAAAGCAAAAGAAAGGCGAGAACCGCAGGAGTGAGAATAGTAGGAACACAAGGTGTTACCATAAGACAAGCAAGAAGTGTCAAGGTAAAACTATTACACTCTCCCGGCCCCATAGGAAGCCCAAGGTTCTATTAGATAACACAATCCAGTTGGGAGATGCAATTGTGGAAAGGGGAATATTAAATAATCACTCATGCACATGCATAACCACATTGAAGTGTAATCCAACTCAACTTCATCACTCTCACAAGGAGATGACGCAAAACTATATCAGTCTATAACATAATTATTAACTATCTCAGTAAGAGATGCATATGGCTCAGCCCAGTTAGATCAAGGCTGCTGTCGTTGTGAGGCTAGATAGTTCTGCAGCGGTTTAATATTCCGACCAGACTCATCACATAGGTTGCCAGCGGGCTCCCACGTAGCTTCGCTGCTGGGGTAACCCTTCCAATGCACCAGGAAGTGTTGCTCACCACTGCGGTGTCGGTGATTCAAAACGGCTTCGACAACATAGCGTGTGTGTCCATCTAGATCTGTGAAGGGCGGAGGCGGGGGTTGGTGTCTTCCAGGAATCGTGTTCTCTTCGTAGCGTTTAAGAGCAGTGACATTAAACACGGGATGGCAGCGAAGTTCACGGGGTAGTTCCAAGCGAAAAGCATTCGCTCCAATCTTAGCCTGGATACGATACGGACCAAACCACTTGGGTTGCAACTTCCGAGAGGGCTGGCCACGAGCTTCCGGGGTCAGTAGAAAGTCTCTGTAGACAAGAACGCTATCACCAACCTTCAAATCACTGGGCGTTCTCGTCTGGTCTGCGTATAGAGCTTGCCTTGCCTGGGCGTCGAGCATTGCATCTCGAGCTATCCTTAGTGCGGCTTCCTGCTCATGAAGCCAATCGACCGAATCACTCCCTTCCCCTCCCGTAAGAATGAATTCGGGCGGGGACTTAGGGTCAAACCCATAGTTCAGATAGAACGGTGTATTAGCTACAGATGACTGTTGTGAACTATTTATTGCAAACTCGCAGAGTGGTAGAAGCGAATCCCAATTGTCCTGTCTCAAGTTCACAAATGCTCTTAGAACATCTCCCACTTGCCGGTTAACTCTCTCTGTCAAACCATCCGTTTGAGGGTGGTTAGCAGTGCTGAATGCCAATTTAGTTCCTAGCTGAGAGAATACTTCTTTGAAAAAAAGCTGCAGTGAATCGTGGATCGCGATCGGAAACAATGGTCGAGCTCAGCCCGTGCAGACGAAACACGTTTTGAATGTACAGTTGAGCGCTGCCCTTAGCATCAATCTTCGAGTTTGTTGGAACAAGATGTACGCATTTCGTAAGTCGGTCCACAAAGGTGTAAATTGCGTCGAAGCCACGAGAAGTAAGGGGCAATCCAACAATAAAATCCATTGAGATATCCTGCCAAGGACTATTAGGTATTGGAAGTGACTGGAGAAGCCCTGTTCGTGGCTGACCTCCCTTCGTTCGCTGGCAGAGATCACAGGTTTTGACAAATCTCTTGATATCGAGACCCATTCGGGGCCAGTAGAAAAAACGTGCTAGGCGGAAGTACGTTCGATCACGACCCGGGTGGCCAGCCGTTGCACACTCATGGTGTTCTTGAATGAGCTTTAACCGGACACCGCACTGTGGTATGCACAACCGGTTATTGGGGGATGCCTTGAGGTACAAGCGATCAGTGGATTCGTCCCAATAATAGCGATCATGCAAATTATCTCGGAGAGAATGCTTCAATCTTTCTATGATGGGAGTTAGCTCTTTATCTCTCTGGTAGGCATCTGATATTGTATTGGACACGTCATCATTCATTGCTAAAGCATACTCAATAGCATTCAAACGTGGTACTGCATTCTCCACGAGGTTACTCTCATGGAGATCTGGGCGACGCGAAAGGGGATCTGCAGGGTTCTCTCTGCCGGGTCTGTGACGGACTGTGTAGTCATAGTCAGCTAGGAATTCAACCCATCGCGCCTCTCTCTTTGTAATGCTTGGTTTTGTTTTCAGATAAACTACCGCCATGTTGTCTGTAATGACCTCAAAGTGTTGAAAGAGGTAGATGCGCCAGGTCTTTAGCGCAAACACTACGGCCAATGTTTCTCTTTCTGTAGCTGTATAATTCTGTTCAGCAGCAGACAGATTTCGGCTAGCATAAGCCACTGGATGCCAGGCATCTTCCTCTAGTTCTTGGAGAAGAACACATTCCAAGGCGAAATCGCTTGCATCTGTTACCACTCTGAATGGTCGGTTCACATCAGCCAGCCGCAATAGGGGCGCATTCAACAAGGCATGCTTTAGCGATTCAAAGGCATGTTGCCGAGAGCTGTTCCACGATTCACTGCAGCACACCTTGTGTTCCTACTATTCTCACTCCTGCGGTTCTCGCCTTTCTTTTGCTTTATAACCTCTGGTTTGAACATCATTCGGGGAATTCTCCAATCAACCATCCTCTGCTACCAGTGTAACAGTATAGACTTGATTGATTGGAGAATTCCCCGAATGATGTTCAAACCAGAGGTTATAAAGCAAAAGAAAGGCGAGAACCGCAGGAGTGAGAATAGTAGGAACACAAGGTGTTACCATTAGACAAGCAAGAAGTGTCAAGGTAAAACTATTACAGAGGGAGTGTGTGTGTGTGTGTGTGTGGTGTGCGCGCGCGTGTGTGTGTGCGTGCGTGTGTGTTTCTCACATTGTCACTTCTATGCATATTATACCTGCTTCTCTGTGGTCGTGTATCTACTACAGTAGATATAGCCGAAGCACAAAAGAGATATAGCCGAAGCACACAGCAGGAGCAAGATCTGATGTACGGTAAGTATCAAGTATTGCTCCTGTGGAGTGGTTTGGCTATCTATTATGTTGTACTACTGTTGTCTGAGATATGATAGAGAGAAACAGGCACTCAGAGAGGGAGAGAGAGACAATAGAGAGAAAGAGATAGATAGATGGGGATAATCCCTGAAGAATATACTACTAATAGTACCGTACCTACATTTGTACAAAGAAGGAGTATACAATGAAGCTCAGTTTAGCTCAGTGCTAAGCGGAGTCGAGGACGTTGTGCGATTCTCTTGTACACTGAGGCTGGTTGCCGAATGCCCAAAACCACCTGACGCCGTCATGACCACCGGGGGAAAACGACGCCTGTTCGACATTCCGGACCCGTTCCTCGTCATTCCTTCGTTTTTCCTGTTCATGTCGGCAAGAGTACATGTACTCTTGATGTCGGTGATAGACAGTGGCCAGTACAGTGCCGTGGTGCAATGCGGTTCGAGCCAGCATGACGGTTAAACACCCACGCATCAATGAGTGTGTGCTCGAAACGACTGCCCCACTTGCCACCACTGGCACCAGTATCGAGACGTGCCTGGCAGCTCGTCCTATCGGTGTGTCTACTCTTATCTATGGAAAACCGCCAACTACCATGACTACTGGGCACGATAAGAGATGGCTCACAGAGGCGGTCACCCCCCCCCCCCCCCCCCACACACACACATAAAATTAATAATAGTCATGGTGACGGCAGCCGCTGGCGCATGCGCTGGGGCATTTATCATGATTATTATTTTTTGTAGATCAACATGACTGTACAAAATGTAGATCTAGTAGTAGTACAGTGGTCCCTCTATAAGGCCAAGTAAAAAAAAAAGCTAGATGATCGTCCCCGTCCGCCCCAGTTTTTGTCAGCGCCCCAAGAAATATTTTATTTTTTAAATCGTGAGTTTTTGCCGAAATCGTTGGTTTTTTACCGATCGCGGATGCAGGAAACATGTGCACGCTTTGTTTAATACTTTCTTTACTATATGGACCACATACTACTAGTATATCACAACGTCAGTATCGATCTGCTGAAGAAAGAAAAAGAAAAAAAGAAAAAAAAAGAAAAAAAGAGAAAAAAAACCTTGATGTTGTTGTGTACACTGTGTGCATGAGAGGGTAAAAAGTAAAAAAATAAAAATAAAATCCTCCCGCCCTCCCCGATTTTTCCAAAAAAAAGGACGATCATCTAGTAATTTTTTTTACTCGGCCTAATCCGGCACCATTTGTGCCACGAAAATCTGCTGGAATATTAGGGAGGGTGCTGGATTAACAAATCTGATTTACTGCTGCAATGATTATGTGCATGAAGAGGACATTTTGGCTACTGAAAATTGTGCTGGTTTATCGAGGGTGCTGGATTATAAAGTGCCGGATTAGAGAGAGACGACTGTATATAGTAGATAGATCTCAAGACAAGTACTGAAGTAGATCTACTGGCAGTCCGACATAAAAAAGCGACATTCCATTCAGTACATGTATACAGGACCTGCAGATCTATTAATAATATTATTACTACTGATGTTACCAGCCACTGACAGTCTGCCCAAAAACATTTTGAATGATTTCCCATTTCCAAAACGTAGCGCTTTCTTTAGCGTTCCTTGGTGACGATGAGGTGTTGGGCCATAGTCATAGATGGCGTAGTATTAGTGGAAGTGAGACTCTACTAACATGGTGGAAGGAACTACAAGTAACGTTAATTAATCTTGACTGTACCTCCAGTAGGTCAGTCGCTGCATGCCTAGTACTAGTAGTAGTAAGACATCGCGACGTCGACAGGGAAAGGGTACGTTACTATCTTCCCATCACAGTGCATTTTTTTGTTTTGATTTTGGTAAATCTACTAGCAGCCTGCACGAAAGATGGCCGAAGCTGTGGCCGATCGTGTTTACCAAGACGCTAATAGCGATGACAAAATATCTCGGGCCGTGGAAAGAGTAAAATTCGCGCAGCAAGTATTACAACTCGCGGATTCTCTGGACAAAAAAGAATCTCTGGCAAAGGAGGTGAAAACAGCTGTGGATCATGCTGGCAAGGGTGTGGATGTGTCTAGTTTCAGCAAGAACGCGGACTTGTTGTACCGCTTAGCACAAGATGGTCTGCTGCATAACGATGGCAAGTATGTTCGTGTGCGTGAGTGTCTTGCGCGCTTGGCAATGGAGTCTAATCAAGGAGAGCTGTACATGTACAAGTCGAGGAAGCAAGCATTGGATGATCTCTATGCTATCCATAAACAGCCTGCCGGTAAGGGCTAGGTGAGCCGAAATAATTATTATATTTGTTTCAGGTCCGAAATACTGGGTCAAACAGTCTTATATCCGAACTTTGCCAAGTACTGCTGACATGATAAAAATTTAATTATAAAATGGTGACTCTGAGGTAGTCTTGTCCAATGAAATCCGATCACATGAGATGAGTCGGCGCCCTGCACCAGTGCACAGCCCAGTGCTCACTGGTCTGGGGCTGCACAGCGATCATATGTCTGGTAGAGCCCCGGTTCAATGGCCTATATTACATCTGCGCCTGTCAGTCTGTGTTCATTGGGACCCTTTCGTTCCACTCAGGAGCGGAGCGTGAACTCCGGAACGGCAGCAATGGAAGCAGCCGATGGTCCTACAGGTCACACGAGTCTTCTTTTGGCCAAAACGTCATCCGCGAAAACGAATTAGACTGAGAGTGACAGGTCTTCATTACAGCCTGGCATTACTGTACCATGACCATCCCCAGCTGTCAGAAACAGGAGACTAGTATGGTAGTCTGGTAGATGTGCACTGGCCAAGCGGCGTAGTGATGTAGGATACCTTTTTTAAAGTCATTACAGTAATGGCCAAGATCCCTGGCCAAGAGGCGCATCAGTATAGAATGCCTTGCCAAGAGACGCCCGCCGAAGTTGGGCATTGTGAAGAGGCATGTTGTGCATTGGTTTGGGTACTAGCACTTGAGCTGTCAGATGCCAAAACCGACCATATCACGAGAAAAAAATCATATCTGTGTTAGTGGTACTATCGGAATGCCAGGAGCATCAGGAGTAGTATGCAGAAAACTAGAGTTGATTTGGTCCAGGGGAAGTAAAGTTATAGCCTCTACAATAGGAGACCATTACAAATTGCATCTCAATTTTGGGTGCAATACCAAACAGTTGTTTCACCTTCTTTGGAGAGTGTTTTCTGTTTCCTTTTGACTGATTTCCACAAACTTGGGCTTTCTGGAAAGTTCTGGCGGCAAGCAACCCGTTGGGACCAAATTCGATAGCAAATAAAGCACCAGCGCAACAAGCTAGAGACATCGCTTCAGCGCTGGACTTGCACCGCCCCGCGAAAACCGCTTGCCATTTTCATCTCCATTATCCCAGGACGCCCAATTTTTTTCGTGAAGATGCAGTGAGAGCTTCCCAGACGTCTGAGCCTGTTGCCGAGATCGTAGATCGCTTGAAAAGGGGGAAAGCCCAAGTCTGGAGTCTTTGATTCACGCATAGAAATGCAAAATGCGTGACGTATCTTGCAGGCTTCATATCTCGGGAACGCAGCATCTTGCCGCGATCGCGCTTGCTGCATGCGCTGGATTCCTTGGAGTTTTCTCTTCGATTTACATACTTGGATTGTCCCGAACGACCGCTATTTGACTGAAATGCGACGATTTGAAGCTTGGTTGTCCGGGCGCACCAGTGCGTAAACTCGCCAACTTTCAAGTGCATTTTTCTGCACTGTACAGTGTTTGCGATAAGGTCGGTCTTGTCATCTGACGGCTCTCTTGATAGCGTATAGTAGAACAGAGTCTCCCTTTTAGCAGAGAGGGCGATAGACGCATGGCTAATACGCATCTATCAGCATTGGTAGATCTGATGAAAAATTGACCCTCGAGGTTATGCTAAAACAGATAGCTTTGGCAGGGAGAGGCTTGACCTATTCCCGGCACATCCTGATTTGGCAGTGTTAACCCATTGAAGGCTGCAAGGCCTTGCATCTTCTTTATGCAAAATGCTAAATTGGAGCCAATGGCAAGCTCCACAACTATCGTAAAGTACCGTTGATCCGCCCCCCACGCCATGTCGCTTCCCAGCTGGATTTTCAGCTGGGGGCGGGAATTAAATCAAGGCTGTCAAGTGCAGTACGATGTACAACAACGTAGAGGATCAGACTCGATGTGCTGGATTGTGCATATTTTCATCCTGGATTGGCACGTATTGTGTACAGCAGTGCATGCGTCGGTTCAACATCGTATTTCGTTGTATACGCCGAAGTCGCTTCACAGGTAGAAAATCGACAGGGGGCGGGCATTAGAGAGGGAGCGGATCAACGGTACTTTACGGTATATGATCCAGGCAGCTGGGTTTTTGAACTTTGGGGAAATGGTAGATCGCTATCCCAGTTTTGGAGCTGTGCAATTGTGTGGTGACGTGGTGCAGCGCGTATAGTGCACATGTTCAGTGCTGATGGTGTCATTGTGTCTGATGGTGTCATTGTGTCTGATGGTGTCATTGTGTCTGATGGTGTCATTGTGTCTGATGGTGTCATTGTGTCTGATGGTGTCATTGTGTCTGATGGTGTCATTGTGTCTGATGGTGTCATTGTGTCTGATGGTGTCATTGTGTCTGATGGTGTCATTGTGTCTGATGGTGTCATTGTGTCTGATGGTGTCATTGTGTCTGATGGTGTCATTGTGTCTGATGGTGTCATTGTGTCTGATGGTGTCATTGTGTCTGATGGTGTCATTGTGTCTGATGGTGTCATTGTGTCTGATGGTGTCATTGTGTCTGATGGTGTCATTGTGTCTGATGGTGTCATTGTGTCTGATGGTGTCATTGTGTCGCACCACTGATCTCTGTCTAGTGAACTGGAAGCCTGTACACTTTAAAAACTGCTGATACCAGCTGGTTGTTTTTGTTGAAATCTTGTATTATCACATGGAAGTATGTGCGTGGTCCGGTATGCCGCAAACATATGGGACCTTGTTCTAAAGATCAGCTGCCTGTAAAGACCGCCTTTGCTCTCACCGTGGGGTGGTCGCTGAGACCAGGTTTTACTGTACATATACTGTATGTGTGTGCATGTTGCGTGGGTTCGTGTGTGTACTCCATATCTAAATCAGGGGCGTTGGAACCGCACCGGCCGGGGCGGCCATTTCGGCCGGTTTTTTTTTTTTTTTTTTTTTTTTAGCACACTGCAACAAAGCGCGATGATCTCAGCGCAAACGTGGCAAATCCTTGCCCCGATCGTGGTTTGTTGCAGAATCAAAAGTCCATGTACACTGAAATGGCACCAAATGCCTGGGAATGCTTGCAATTGGCTTCAATTTTTGAATTTTTTTCCCGGGGGAGGGTAATGTTTGTCCCCGATCGTAGCATCTTCTTGGTTTTTTGCAGAATCAAAAAGTCTTTCATTGTAGTTACCGTACACTGAAATGGCACCAAATGCCCGGAAATGCTTGCAATTGGCTTTAATTTTTGAAATTTTTTCCCGGGGGAGGACTCCCGGACCCCCTTCCATGGCCGCCCCACCTCCAAAGTCGTTCCGACGCGCCTGTAGATGTACATGTATGAGTACGTTCAAGAATGCACATCGGCGTACGCAATCCCATCACACGGTTTGTGTCTAGTGCTGCCAGTATCTTCGCCGTTGGCGCTGGGCTGTCTGAGGTCTAAGCGACTTATATGTATTATGTGTTTTACGCAGGGGATGGAAGTCAACAGGGCAAGCATGAACTCAAGTGCTTTCCGATGATGACGAAGGAGCAAAAGCGCCGAGGTTATTCAATTATCATCAATGTCAACACATTTGATAGTAAAGACGCACCCGACCGGCCAGGATCCCGCGATGATGCCATCAAGATGAAAAAGTTAGCTGAATGGTTGCAGTTTGAAGTTCCCGATGACTGCTATGAGGAAGATGCTCAAGGAAACATTCTGGAGATATTCCAATCCAAATTGAAAAGCATGGCGTATGATCCCAAGTCGGATTGGCTGATGTGCTGCTTCATGAGTCACGGTGCACAAGATAGTCTTATGTCCAGCAACGGCAAACTAGTGCACATACACCAACTTTTCAATGCAACTCGAGACCCGAGCCTTGCTGCATTGAGCGAGTCCTCTCTGCCGAAGATATTTATTCTGCAGGCATGCCGCGATCAGAATAAGCCGGACATCCCGCCAGCTCCCGTTTGCGAGGTGGAGCTCAGCAACATGCTGTACATGTATGCAACCAGATATGGAGAAAAGGCATTCCGTCTTGACAACGGTTCACCCTATCTAGGGATACTTGACAAATGCCTAAGGGAACTGGTGCCACAGCACGTACCCTTGCACGACATACTGACGGAAGTGTACAAGATTTGCGAGGAAAAGCGCCTGCGTACTAGGGTGGGGAACGGAGTGGAGGAAGTGCGTCAGAGACCGTCTTTTGTGGTAGAGATGGGCTGCAGCATTCAGCTAGACTGGCCTGATCGAGTACGCCGAGACCCATAGTCAAGACTGGCCTGATCGAGTACGCCGAGACCCATAGTCAAGCAAGTGTACAATATTACGTGCGATACAGCAGTAGGCCATGCTGCAAAGATGTATAATTATTTGAACAGTACCTAGTCATGGCAGTGCAACGATATTGTACTTTTAAGTACCCGCACCATTGGTAGTGACAAGGGCATTGGTAGCAGCTCCATAATAATAACACCAACTGAGCTGCACGTAGTGACTTTGCATGTGCACAACTAGCTAAAGACGTGGACAGCGAAGAAAACAGTGGCAGCCTCTGTGGCTATCACAAGGACCTCTCAGATTAATTATTAGAGTGAACACATCGATTGCCATTGCCAGTGGTCATTTTCTCACTCTCATCTGCCTGTGAGAAGCTTTTTTTCAGTAGTATAACTTTATAATAGATCATCTTTCTTACAACTAGGATAGTTTGGACATTATCTTACTACTTCTTTGGACTAGCAATAATGTACCTCTTATGACGTCGAACACTTTTGCACTTTCTTTCTGTTGCTTTCCGTTATTTATTTTTAATTTATCTATTTTTTTAAACAAACGGCGAGGAGACAACAATTTGATAACCGCAATCAGTATTTTTTTTAGTTCTAAAATACTGAGAAGAAGGATGCACTTCAGGTTCTTGAACATCTTGAAAGTTTTCACTAGTATACATGCATGCCTTATCATCAGGTGAAATACAGCTATATTACTAGCTATATGTAGGTTGACTCTGTTTCATTCCTTGGAAATCTTGGGGGGGGGGGGGGGGGGGGTTAACTCGTTTCTTCTTGCTTTGCTGACCTTGCCTCAACAACAACAACAACAAAAGTTGAAATCATTAGGCAAGGACTGGCTAGATATGGTACATGCTTTGCACAGGGTAGACCTGCACGACAGTTCCAGCAACATGAGCTCCTGGGCAGACCAAAGTGGCAAGGATTAGGTGAACACAGATGATCCATGGTGGCTTCTGTGCAGTCAATACTAACCCCTGGGGATCTTCGCAATGGTCTTGGAAGTTGGAAGCCCTTTTCACGCCACCCTTGCATGGAATGCAGGGGCCTATTGTGTAGTACTGCAAGTTGTGTGTGAGGGAGGCAACATTGGTGGGGCTGGGAAGCAAGAGTGCCTGGTGATGGAGGAGCCCCTGGGCGAGCTCTAGCTGTAGTTCTCCCCGTCGACGTCACCCTCACACTGTCCTATTTGCTCAGCCTGGTCTGTAAGACTGTAACCGGTTATGATGTGGAGAACTACCGGTATCAGTGACATGTCGCCTGGGCTGTGTCCAATAGCCGGCTTTCCCACCGCGGCCATAATCAACTCATCGTATCCCAGACTTTGTGTTGTTTTTGGGACTTTCCAGGCTGGGGACAGTTTTGGCCAAAATTTCATGAATGTAATATTCTCTTCAAATTCTGCGGATGTGTAGAGAGTCGTCTTTGGGAGTCATTCTGGGAAATAAGAATGGGAGTTCCACGGGTTATACTACTGTTCGAGTGGTCCAAAGGCCAAGGAGTGTTGCTATTTTGCCCGAAGTTCCGATGTTTGAACCTCAGTTTCACAAGAAACGCGTATGGGGATCCCCAAATTTTATCGCAAATTCAGAATCAGCATGGTTTTCTCCGTTAGTTCACCCAAACTGAGCGAAATATTACATTGTGAAATTTTGGTGAAAAGTGACCATAAACTCGTGTGACAATGGCTGAAACTGTAGCGAACTACATCAGGGAATTGTCATTCGTCAAATACCGGTATTTGACGACTCCCTGAACTACCAACCGCCTTTCGCCTGAAGTCATGCAAGAGATCAAAATTAATGTTCTTTGTCGGCCATGATGGGTAGGCATTTCCCATATCGGCCCTATTTTTTTGCCTACCGTATTTCCCTGATTATAAGTCGCACCCCCATTTCAGGTTGTAGCCATAATTATTGATTATATCTATTGGCTTCAGTAGTAAGTCATGCTCGATTGCAAGTCGCACCCCCTTTCCCACCCTTGAAGTCTTATATAAAGATGCGACTTATATTCGGGGAAATACGGCTTTTCGATCGGCTGGGAGAATGTTCAAATTCGGCCGCATACTATGAGCCCCAAAGTCAGAATTCGGCTCAAAGCAGTACTTGAAGTTATCGCTTGCATTATAGTTTTACTATGTTCACATGCCCATTTACATGCATACTATAGAGGCACTGAGACATCGAGTTTCGGCGATTTCTTGACCGCAATTGATTTCGGCGTCTTTTCCTGCTGACCGATCTCAGAACTTGATGCCTAATATCACAGCCACCATTCGCAGTATAATGGTTACAGAAATACGAGGGCTAGATACGAAAATCAGGAATTCCAGCCCTGGAGAATTTTCAAATGTCCTTTAGGAGAAACCGAAACTTAAAGGGGAAGTTAAGGCAAAAATTAAAATTTCACCAGTTGTAGTCTTCGGGGTGCTGAGTCGAATGGTCTTGGTCCGAGGAAGCTGAGACGCTTCCTTCCTACTTGAATCCCAATCGAACTCGCGCACTTCCACCGAAACTGGGTGACTGCGCCCTACTAGATGGGGATTTGTATGCAAAATGTCACTAAAAGCGCCATTTCGTTCTTATAAAAGCACGGATGACCGCGATTGGCCCATATGTTGTAGTCTTTTGGACGCTGAGTCGACTGGTTTTGGTCCGAAAAGGCTGCGAAGCAGCGTTCCTCCTTTATTCCCAATCGAACATGGTCGAACAAGTGGTCACGTGCTGCTGCGTACACCAGTCACCTGGTCACCGTGCCTGCAGGGTACAACTTACTAGCCTGTTTGACCTTTTTTGGGTGCAGTCCTGTCACTCGAGTTGAACTCGAGTTGAACCTTGGTGTGAAAGTTGTCGCCTGCTGGCGTGGTGACCAGGTGATTTGGGCACCCAGGAGCACGTGACCGCTTCTTCAACCATGTTCGATTGGGAATAAAGGAGGAACGCTGCATCGCAGCCTTTTCGGACCAAAACCAGTCGACTCAGCGTCCAAAAGACTACAACATTTATTTATTTATTTATTCAACATCTCCTGGCCCGTCCGAAGACTGCCAATAAACATGAGAGGTCAGGTGATAGCCAACCACGGCAAGCTAAAAGGGAAAAAAAAGAAAAAAAAAAAAAAAGAAAGATGCTGTCAGAGAGGGAAAGGAGATAGGGAGAGAAAAAGAAAGGGAGGCACATTAATAATACATGGGATCACTTCGGATGAGACAGTGTGGAAAGCTGGACTGTGAATTTCCTGATATCCTGGCATGTCTTAATGCTAGTAGGCAGGTTAGACCAAAGGGAGTATGCTGAGAAAAAAGGGGATTTCAAAAACAGAGAGGAACTAGCTCGGGGCAGTGATAAGGCATTGCGTGTTGGTCTAGTGGTAACAAACCAGTTGTACTTGGCAATATGTTTCGGGACTTGGGCTAGGAAGATTTTTTGCACAAGGATACAAAGATGCTGCTGATGTCGGGCAAGAAGAGGGTGCGTGGAAGCAAGTTTATAAAGACAAAGGGAGGCAAATGTTTGGTCTTTTCGAAACAGAATTTTCAGAAGCAAGCGTTGATGTACCTCCAGTCTGTGGAGTAAAGTCTGAGACAACCCGCACCAAGCTATATCGCAATAGTCAAATATAGGCAAAATGTACGACCTAAAGAACAATTTTCTGCAGTTATCATTCAAGTGTTGGCAGTGGGGTTGTAGCATACCTAAGGACGCACTCGCACGCTTGCACACAGACTGGACTTGTGGAGACCAGGAGAGTTGGCGGTCGAGAATAACGCCCAGGTGCTTGTGCTCGTTAACAACTTTAATAGGTGTACTATTTAGACCAGGAAAATACAGAAGTTGAGTGGGGGGCGAGGGAGAGAAGAACATGGCCTCGGTTTTGGCGAGGTTAGGCTTCAGTTTCCAGGTTTCCATCCATGTTACTGTAGCGTTGACCCCGGACTGCATGGAGGCCGTGAGGTTGTCTGCCGAGCTGTCGGAGCACATCAGAGCAGTGTCGTCAGCAAAAAGACTTACATTTGGTACAAGGGCTGGCAAGTCATTAACGTACAGTAGAAATAGGAGCGGCCCAAGTATGGACCCCTGGGGTACCCCAGACACGACTAGTAATGGGTCTGATAGGGAGGTAGATACTCTGACAGTCTGGTGGCGGCAGGAAAGATAGGATGAGAGCCATTGCAGGGCTGGACCGTGTACCAAGAAGACGGACTCTAGCTTTGCAAGCAGACCACGATGCCAGACGGTGTCGAAAGCTTTCGCTAGGTCAAAGAACACGATGCCAACATGCCGCCTGAGGTTCCGCTGGGTGTAGATGTCTTGTACTAGACGTGTTAGTTGGAAAGTTGTGGAGTCTCCACGGCAGAAACCGGATTGAGATGGTGAAAGCGCTGGGGTGACGTGGCAGTACAGAGACTCAAAGAAAATACGTTCACAGACCTTGGACACAGCGGGAAGGAGAGAGATTGGTCTGTAGTTGCCAGCCTGAGAGCGTTGGCCTTTCTTATAGATCGGGACGATAACAGCAGATTTCCAGACGGACGGAAATACTCCTGTACGATATGACATGTTAAAGAGCAGGCACAAGGGATAGGACAGAGATGGCGCAAGCCATTTGAGAACCTCATTGGGTATGCCATCTTCGCCAGGGGACTTACAATTCTTCAGGAGTTTGAGGTGCTTACAGACGGTAGCAGTCGTGGTAACGACGCGTGTGAGTGGTGCGCTAAGTTCAGGGGCTGGGGACAGCGATGGAATGACCCAATTCGGATCTTCCGGAATGCCGGATGAAACAAACTGCTTGTTCAATGTGTCTGCAATCGCCTTCACATCGTGCTGGCGGTTGCCATGGGAGTCCGTCAGGTACTGGATTGGCGCGCGGGAGGTCCCGCGGCACTGGTTGCGAATGAATTGGTGGAGTGATGGGCGATCGGGGGAGGAGAGTGTTGCAGAAAGAGAGTTTAGAAAGGAGCGGTGTGAGGTACGAGAAAGGTGCTTGACGAAGTTGCGTTGAACTCGGTAAGCCTCCCGGTTAACCGGCGTTGGGAATTTCTTGTAGATGCTGAAAAGATCACGCTTGCGCTTCACTTCAGATACGAGGGACCGTGTCACCCATGGGGGACTAGATGTCGAGGATGTTGGGTTGGAATGTTTCCGGTTGTTGTAGCCGATAGCAAAGTTAGAGAGGTGCTGTTGGAACCCTCGTTCAAGGACGGCTGCAAAGTGATCTACCGCGGCGTCAACAGTTGGAGAGCCTTCTGGTTGCAAAAACGACCAGTCGTGGCAGGAGAAATCAGCGTTCATAGAGTCCCAGCACTGAGAGGGAACTCGACGGAAGCGATATGGGAACGGTTTGCGAGAAGGAAGTGGCAGGTCTGGATCCGAGGGCAATGAGACGGCGAACTGGCATGAAACCATGAGATGGTCCGAGGAGCCAAGAGCGCAAGCTGTGTGAACGTCCGTCGCCAGCAGGGGTTGGTTCGTGAAGACAAGGTCTAGACATGACTGTGTTCCGGAAGATGTTGTGTGCGTTGGACTCTGCACCAGCTGATCCAAACCGAAGCAGGTAAGGGTGCGAAAAAGTGCCGCCCCAGCAGGACACGTTAAATCCGATGGGCACCACCGTTTGTGCTTACTGTTGAAGTCCCCAGCCATTATGACATGGTACGATGACATGGGAACGGTTACCAAAGCACTAGCTAGCATATCACAGAAGTGGTCTATTTCCGTGGTTTTGACTGAGGGCGGACGGTAGGTACAGCAGACGAGGATGGGTGTCGGGGAGCCTAAGATTGGGTGAAGCTCAACCCATACGGATTCACAGGTCGGACGAGCAAGGTCGTCGCGAACTTGGACTCTTCCGAAGCGATTTTGCCGGACAAGAATCGCAACTCCACCATATCCTCTGGTTGCCGTACCGGATTTGTTATCATGAGGTGGTCGGTCGCGACGAAATGTGGTATAACCGGAGATGGTGAGCGCTATGCTTGGATTTAGCCATGTTTCATTTAGACAGATGACATCAGGTTTGTTGAAATCAGCAATGACAGACAGTTCGGCAGATTTGTTAACGATTGAGCGGCAATTTACGGAAAGCAAGGTCAGTTTACCCTGGCAAGGGGGGAAGTAGGGCCGAGCCAGTGGATTCAGCTGTGGTCGCGCCATCATGCTGAGCCTGAGGAGAGGACGTTGTTTGCCTGGTTGGCATTGCTGGTGTCAAAACTGTCCGCGGCAAAACGCCAGGGCCTAACCGTGTGCGAAAGAGCATCCGGCCATAACCCTTTGTCACCGACTGTGTTCTCATCAGCTGCCTCGACGGTCACCCGTGCGTAGGCAGTTCTGAAGTGCTTGGATGCAAATATGACACCTTCCTGAATCTGCACTCCTCGGGCAGAGCACCATTCAGCAATTGATGATGCGGAGCAGTGTGGCTGCACGTTGCCAACGTAAAACACTTTGCGTTTGGCCCGGGGTGATGCCGTGAGGTCTACTGCCGGCTCGCTATCACGAGCCGGCTTGGTGTAGCGGGATGTTTCCACCCGCCTTGTTATGCTTTGAGCTAGCTGGGACTGACTACTAGTATCTGCCGCGTGCCTTTGTCTCTGGGCGGCTCGAGTGCGTCTGCCCTGGTGTTCCTGCCATTCATGTACTTGTTGTTCAGTATCGGTGGACCTACGGGATGCATCCAGGCCTGCTGCGGGGCTGGAGCTACGACTTGGAGTAGTGCTGGACCTACGGGATGCATGCACGCCTGCTGCGGGGCTGGAACTACGACTTGTAGTAGTGTTGGGTTGTGGCACACGCGTTTCTCCTGGCAGGCTGCCACTGCCGGCGTGTGTACCGTACGTTGGTACAGACCTGCCCGTTGTGGTGCTGAGCCTCGCACGTGCACTTGCAGTTTGTGTGGCGGTTCCTAGTACTACGTCGCTGTACTGGTGTGGCATGGCGTGCTGTGTGTGTACGCTAGTATCTCGTAGGTCAGCCATTTCCCGCCTCAGCTGTTGAATTTCAAGCTTCAAGGAAGCAATTTCATCATCTCTTCCCACCCTAATTGCCACTATTTCTTTATTCAGGTCCATTATTGTCGAGGACAATGCGGCCAAAGCAGTCGTGACATGTCCTATACCGGTCATACCTTCCAGGATGGGGTGGGACCCAATCCCCTCCTTCCGGAGCGCTCCCACCAGGTCGGGCCGTGAGAAGGAGTCCGCTTTCGGGATGCCAGTCCGGGTGGCCAGGTTTTGTAGACAGTCGAACGTCAGAAGGGCCAGGTCGACATGCTCATTGGTGGCCATAGTCCGCAGTACAAGTCACAGCTCCTGTAGGTTACAGTTACAGACTCGGAAAGGCTGATAGGAGCGGAGCTCCTAAAACTGCATCCGCACTCGAAAAATTCAAAAATTCACTTCACCATATGGGCCAATCGCGGTCATCCGTGCTTTTATAAGAACGAAATGGCGCTTTTAGTGACATTTTGCATACAAATCCCCATCTAGTAGGGCGCAGTCACCCAGTTTCGGTGGAAGTGCGCGAGTTCGATTGGGATTCAAGTAGGAAGGAAGCGTCTCAGCTTCCTCGGACCAAGACCATTCGACTCAGCACCCCGAAGACTACAACTGGTGAAATTTTAATTTTTGCCTTAACTTCCCCTTTAAGGGGAAGTTAAGGCTAAAATCAAATTTTCACCAGTTGTAGTCCTCGAGGTGCTGAGTCGAATGGTCTTCGTCCGAGGAAGCTGAGACGCTCCATTCCTCCTTTATTCCCAATCGAACTCGCGTACTTCCACCGAAACTGGGTGACTGTGCCCTACTAGATGGGGATTTGTATGCAAAATGTCGCTAAAAGCGCCATTTCGTTCTTATAAAAGCACGGATGACCGCGATTGGCCCATATGTTGTAGTCTTTTGGACGCCGAGTCGACTGGTTTTGGTCCGAGAATGCTGCGATGCAGCGTTCCTCCTTTATTCCCAATCGAACATGGTTGAACTGGCGGTCACGTGTTCCTGCGTGCCAAAGTCACCTGGTCACCGCGCCAGCAGGCGAGAACTTTCACACCAAGGTTCAATTCGAGTTCGAGTGACAGGAGTGCACCCAAAAAGTAAGTTGTACCCTGCCGCTTGTCCACAAAATGTTTTCAATTATTTTTGAATTTTGGTTGGATTTTCGCACTTTGAATTTTTTTGGAATTTTGGCCCCATCAGGTATACTAGTAGTAGAGGCACCAGAACATCGATTTTCGGCGAATTCAGGGTGAAAATCGCATATCCTGCGGAAAGATCGGTGATTTTTCAAAACCACTGTTTTCGGCGAATTTTTCGGCCGGCCGATTTGGGAAATGCCTAATGATAGGTGATCTTGCCCTTGAATGCGGCGCTTCCCACGTCCTTCACAGGCAGTAGCCTTGGTGGATGATACCGGCAGAAATGTTAACAGAATTTGTTACTTTTGCTGGTATGTTTCATGCATCAGGCCCGTAGCAGCCCCATTTAGGTTGGTCCGGCAAGATCCGACTTTGATGCTCCCCTCCCCCATACTCATACATATGCCGGTACATGTACATGACTTTATCTTGCCCGTAAAAGAGCCTGTTACCCCGCCAAAACAAACAAACAAACATGTACATACATTGTACAATGTACAGGTACATGCATGTAATCGTGACCATGCAGAGTGACATAGGGCGAGAAAAGGAAGAAGGACATTCTGCATGAGTCAGGAAAAGGGCATCAGCATGTTGTGTCCGTCCAAACAGAACTTGTTGAAGCCTGTGAAGGCATAGCAACAGTATCTAAATGCATGTGATAAAAGAACCAAAATGTACCTTTGGAGGAGGAGAAAGTGTATTGCAATGGACTATCTTTGGTACAAACCCTATCTAGAAAGAATTGGAGGAAGAAAAGAATCCGAACACGTTTCCGGAAGTACAGAGTAGGAACATTCACGGGCATGCCTGTGCTCATGACCTTCAGCAGGGTCATCATGATTCCTGATGACATGTACAATGTACAATGTAGGTCTACTACCAGCACCAAGAGTCCATAACACTTGCCGGCATGCACTACTATGTAATACCTCTATACTACTTATTGCACACATCATCATCATCATGGATGGACATCCTGAGCTGCTCACATGGGTGAGCCCTTACCTTTTTTTTTTTTTTTTTTTTTTTTTGGCCGAATATTGGTCCGGCAGCTGCCGGACCTGCCGGACCGCCTGCTACGGCCCTGTGCATGTTTGGTATGTGGATAAAGAAAATAGAACAGCATTCAAGGAAGTGTGTGTTGCTCCCTACGTGGGAGCTTGCGCTATTGCTGCCGACTTGAATTCTCACTTGACTGACTCACGACTGCCATCCAGAGCACACGAGAAGCCCATCGAACCTTCCAACCTGCAAGAAAGCACCACTCTCTGCTCAATACACAGTGTTTCGGGAAATTCACCCCTCCTCAGTTGAGCTTGAGTAGGCTGAGGAAGATTGTGCCTGAATAGCTCCACTTATATAGTGCTCTCCAGGCACAAACATCGCCAGGGATACAAACTTACAGAGACGTTCCATTTCCAGCGCGACAAACACCTCATGAACACCAAAATAATAGCAGTGTGAGTCAGTGTCGCTCATGGAGGTGCTGAACAAACGCTGAGGACCGTTGGCCATTCACAACGTTGTTGCCTCCAACTTGAACCATCTAATTCGCAAGCCCGCGCAGGCCGGAACAACAATCGACTGACACTCACGCTGCTATCTGGTGGCCATCATCAGAATAATGAATGTTAAAATCTAACACTAGTATTAGTAACAGCTGTTCTCGCTGATGTGCTAAGTTATCCCCAAGTCCCCAAACTAGCATGCTACGGTACTTACCCGGAGTCCCAGTGCAAGCTATGGTCCGCAGCCTCAGGCCTTGCAGCGATCGCGCGACCTGTCTGAACACACAGGTCACAGACCGTCCGTGCATGTCTAGGGAGTCGCACCAGTGGGTGGTAGACAAGCCACTCCCTAACCCACTACAGCCTAGAAGAGTCTACGAGCACACGTCGAGGACGTTGTTACTCAGTGAGAGCAAGTGTTACTGTGTACATACTACAATGCCATAGTCATGGTTATGACTTATGTACTCTTCTTGAAAGGGATCTCGGTAAATAGCAATACTCCAATAGGTCGCCTTGCTGCGTGGTACATGTTCGGCGGCGTCCCTCGAACTTCCCCCACCCCATCCCTCACTTTTCAGCCAGGGGTATGGGGAATCATCAGTAAAAAATAGTTGGCCGAGTGATCGTTGTCAACTACACACTGCACTACACAGTCTATATCAGACTATACCGGTAGTCAATACTAACTCTTCCTGCACGGTATAAATGAATGAACGAGCAGCTAGCCGCCGCACTCGTCCCTAAAACCGAGAAGAGCAGGGGAACAGAAGCTACAGAGGCCCGAAACATCGGAGTCCCGGTCTCGGTGCATGTAATGTCTGCTCAGACTGCAGGAGGTGCCGATGACAAAATCTCTCGGGCCGTGGAAAGAGTGAAATTCGCGCAGCAAGTATTGCAACTCGCTGATTCTCTGGACGAAAACGAATCTCTGGCGGAGGAGGTGAGAGCAGCTGTGGAACATTCTGACCAGGGTGTGCATGTGTCTAGTTTCAGCAAGAACGCGGACTTGTTGTACCGCTTAGCACAAGATGGTCTACGGCATAACAATGATAACCATGTTCGTGTTGGCGACTGCCTGGAGCGCTTGACGAACGAGACCTACTCGTACGAGTCGAGGGGGGATGCGCTGGATCACCTGTACAGAACCTCTGCAGGTAAGTGGAGTTCGAAGGCAGTCGCACAGAGTCAGTGCCCTACCACGCACGGTGTTTACAGTCACGGCGCGACGCGTGAGTAATGGGCAATCACAAAGCGTGACATTACTGGCCTGGCACCACAGCAACGAAAAAGCAAAACGGTACCAGTGCAGCACAAGAGATACACAAAGGAATTTGTTGTAACTCTGGCAGAGTTTCGATTTAACAACCATGAGCAGAAATATAATACAGTGAAACCTGTCTAAGGAGACCGCTCAAGGGACCTTCAAAATGTGGTCACTGTTACCAGGTGGTCTCCTTATCCAGGGTCGTTTGACTGGAAATAGCATCCCGGGCCGTAGTCCTGGTTACAGTGGTCTTCTGGGACAGGTGGTCGCCTTATCCGAGTGGTCGCCTTGGCAGGTTTCATTGTATGTGCACACAATGATCACGTGGTTGACCCAGTAACTAACCAGTCTGCACCAATAAGCGGTTGTTGCCAACAAGCCACGCTTCCAAAACAGGAACATCAGATTCTGGCGATGGGTCATACATCCCAATGCCATCGAAATATTGAGCGCCTCTCCCCCCCCCCCGATACACAATCATAATGTTGGCATCACGGAGTAGTTCGCAAACCCAATTGGGGACGACTCCCTGACTGGCATGGAGGAGATCGAAGGCTCCCGGAATGAATGCGATATGGGTGGCATATTCAATGTTTACAGTAACACCTGTTCCAATATGAAAATATAGTATCAATTCCAGTCAAATCACCAGGCTGGGATAGCTGGATAAAAAAAAACATTATCAGTCCAATTACCCTGGCCTAAGATGGCCGGATGAGAAGACCAGCGTATACACAGCCCTCATGCACAGGCATGAGGGCCATGTGTGTGTGTGTGGGGGGGGGGGGGTAGCTTGAGCGCCCCGGACCCAGGGCAGTTTCACTGCATGCTTGTATTATCTGTCTGTGGCGGGTGTGTCTGCTTGCCTGCCTGGCTAGTGCAGTGCAGGCTGCAGTGCATGGTGACGAGAGCCACGTGGGGCACTGACAAGCCACAGGTACGGGTTTCTTCCGGATGAAGCCAGAAATAAAATGTTGAAAGGGGCCGGCCGTAAATAACGATTCATGTTCGCAACAAAGTTTCATTGGGAGGAGTGGGAGGGGTCGAGGTGCAGTTCTCTTCATCGGTGAGTGCAAAATATAGGATAGAACAACTTTGAAATATAAGAAAAAGATTGACGAACTGGTCAACGAATATGCGTGTCTATTGTGGAAGGTGTATGACAAGGAATGACAAGATGTTGTTTTGAGAAATCTGTAACTAGTACTCTATACGGATGGTCCCGGAGATAGTGCACACATTTTACCTTTTAAAACTTTTGAGTGTATAGACCGTGCTACAGTGCTGGCAACTGAAAGCCGCGCCGCCCGGGGGGTCGGATTTCAGTTGCCAGCACTGTAGTTCATTCACCTGTACCTGAATTATTTCATTCACGTGTACAGTAACATGTATGTGCATGTAATTCTTGTCATGACTAGGTGTGGCGGGCAAGCACAATGAGGCCTTCCCAATGATGACTCGGGACCAGAAGCGTCGTGGCCATGCCATCATCATTAATACCGAGACATTCCTTGATCCTATGGCAGATCGGTTGGGGTCGCAAGCAGATGTCTCGAGGATACAGAAGCTGGCAGAATGGCTACAGTTTGATGTTTCGTGCCAGAAGGACGCCCAGGGTGACCTCCTAGATGTATTTAAGTCCATACTCAAGGGCCTGGAAGCGGACTATCAGAAATCAGATTGGCTAATGTGCTTCTTCATGAGTCTTGGTGTGCAAGGCCACCTTCTGTCCAGCAATGGCAATCTGGTTTCCATCCAAGACTTGTATGGTGCTGCTCAAGATCCCTTAATCTGCAAGAGTCTGGCTCTTTCCGAGCTGCCAAAGTTGTTCTTTATCCAGGGCAGCCGGACACACACACCCGAGCTCTTCACCGTTGTCAGTCATAGAGCAAAACCACCTGTCCAAATGCGAGGTCAAAATAGTGAAAATACACTGCTGGCATATGCCACGCAGGAGGGGCGTGAGGCTCTGCGTTTTCAATCCCGCAGGGGCTCCCCGTATTTGTACATACTTGATCAGGTGGTACGTGAACTAGCACCCAGGCGAAAGCACTTAGTGGAGATCTTGACGGAGGTCACGCGTAGATGTCAGACTAAGGACATACCAGTAGACACTGAGGATGGAGTAGTTTCCACAGTGTCTCAGACGCCATCTACTGAAGCAGCTGTGAGCAAACACATCTATCTGAACTGGTCTGAAGATTAGACTAACTACACGCAGGCATTGCTCTCTTCTTTCATTTTGTAACCTTTGGACCTACAGGCCACTTACAAAGTAAGGTACTAAGTAAGGTGGCGGTGATGGATACCACCGAATGATGACTTTGTCAACTTTACCTGCATTCCAGATGTTAGCCTCCGGTCGAGCACGCCAAATTCAACCAACAATGGAAAAGTTCATGATCTGAACTGTCAGCAGGAGCAAGCAACACCATGCATTCAAGACACAGCCTATCTATAGCACCATGTCACCCGTTGGGTGCTCTTGATCAAACATTGTTGCAACTTGTTCTGCCAGATTTGCCTCCATTGCACCCAGGCACCATTGACAGTACAATTGCTGGCTGTAACGTTGGAATCTTAATAATAATCATATGAACAAGTTGCATATTGCTCGCATAAAACAAGTCATACGGGGTCATGCATCTGTCAATGATCGTTAGTCTGAGTTGCTTGTTGGTGGTGAGTTGGAGGCATCAGTGAATCGGCACATTCAGAAGCTTGAAGTTTTCCTTGGCTACAGCACATTGGTATTTGAAGTACATGCCAGCAGAGAAAAGATGGGGAACTGATTGGATAAAGATGCTTTGTCCTGGAATTAGGCATAGCACACACTAGTGTGCCACCAGCTTACAAATACAAGTATTACAGAAAACAAGAAACAAATTGAATAGCCTGGGCAGAACCACCAGTTTAGATCTTGGGTGCTTGCTACGAGTATTTAGACATAAACAACAATGCTTGACGTATCTGTATAACACTTCACAGCAAGCTCTCCTATGTCTAAGCCCTGGTTTGGAACTGAACAAGGCACGCAGGACCAAATCCAAGTATGTGTTTGACGTGGCTCACACAAAAACAGAAACATAGGCATGCGTACTAAATGGAAACGGTCCATTCACCCCAGGGAGCATTGCTGCACCGAAAAACTAACAATATGGAGCAATCAGGCAAGAAGTAGCGCAATGTTAACGGAGCTGGTTCTGACATGCCATGGCGTCACAGGGTGAACAGCACGAAATAATGTATACGTTCGCAGATGAATGGAGTTGCATGACACATTTACTTTGGCCTATACGTCGTATGACTGCGGTACAAGACCGTACTTTTCTTTCCTTTTCTCTGTTAGTGGTTTGATTTCTCTTTCCCTACTAGTTGCTGTTACACTCACTGATCCTTATGCACAGATATACAGCATTTCCTCACTAGTGGGACCATTGTTATTAGGCTAGGGCCTGTTTTGGACTTCCCACTCTAAATAAAGAATACAAACAAAACAAACAACAAAACAACCGATGAGTTCAGTCACACGGGGACATTACCATTTTGGCTATCGAGGTTGAGTTACACGAAGAGCTCCCTAAAGCCATGAAGTATGATCCAGGGAGAGGACACGGCACATAAAGCGAATTTCGGTGTCTGTCTTAGTCTGTGAGCCTAGGCTAGGGCTATGGGTCTCCTCTGGTAGAGTCCGATGTCTGATGTCATTATAGTTATAGTCTAGTGTACGTGTGCAGGCGCGTGCGCCGGTGTCCTTCAAGGGGGGGGGGGGGGGGGGGTTCCGGGGGGCCTCCCCCAGAATTTTTTCAAAAAATGGAAGCAAAATCCTGCATTTTGAGCGAAAAGGGGGGGGGGGGTTCCGGGCACCCAGGAACCCATACAGGGCACGCGCCTGCGTGTGAGTATGGTGTGGAATATGTGTGGGGGTTGTAGAGTGATTTATTGTTTTCCTGTGTGATGACATTCCCCAAACTGCTTCTCGTCTTGCATGTGCATGTGATTATGAGCATGTGTGACTTGCTAGTCCTCAGTCTTGTTTTCTTTAGTCTTCTTGTTCGTCCCTGTTTTGACCAGTCCTTGTTTCCGTCATGGCCTTGTCGCAGTTAATACCAAATGTAACAAACTACTACTACTTGTGCTTTGTGGTCCTGCGTCCTGAGGCATGGAATAGCCGCAATTCCATAACAATGTGGTGCCAAAACCCAGGACTAAGACGCAGAGGATGAGTCCGTTTGTTGTCGTCGTCATGGTCAGTTGTCATGGTTGAGTGGAAGAAGAGAAGGAGCTGGTCGGAGACAGGACAGAGACGTTAGGAAGAAAGGAGACAGAATGAGGTGTTTGGCAGTTGGTTGTGGACTGGGGCTGGAGACGGCGGGATTGCACGGTCTACAGCATAGACTGGATTGCAAGAGGACAGCGCATGTGGCTACAATCGCTGAATAGGCATTGTCCTTTATCTTTTATGCTGCCTTTGTTTTGTTCACTGGCTTTCTGGTTGTGTTTCTCCTTGTCAACTGCTGTACCTGCTTTGGTTTGGATCTTTGCTGCGTCGTGATTTATAACTATTGTTGTGTTCTTGATGTGTTGCGTAACTAACCTATGATAGCCATATGGCAAATACCATTAAATTGCAAGGTCATGAGTGTGAACCCAGTCGCCGTCAGAAACGAAGCAGAAGAAAAGTTCTTTCTTGCACTGCCACTATACAGTACACAGGTAAAATTAATTTTCGTGCAGCTCCATTTCATCTGCAAATGTGTGCAGCATCCCGTGATTTTCACTCTGTGACGTCACTGCTGTAAAAGTCTATACAAATTGTTGGTTGACAGCATGTAACAAGGTGTTAGAACAAACAAGGTTTATCTAATAAGTCTATACAATGTCATGTACACTACTAGTAGGCAGTTGCTTACGTGTCCCGCTGCACAACCAGCCGCGTTTGTCCGCCTGGAAGTGACGGGACAGCTTCGTACGACAGTGACCTGCCAGTGCTGGTAGATGATGCAGTGGATGAACTGCACCAGGAGGTATATCTTCTAGCTGGGCCTGGCAGCATGGAACACATAGGGGAGAAAGCATTCTGAAGTATGACTATGCTTGCTTGGTTTGCTAGTGTGGTAGATTTGGTGTCACGTGTTTGTTTCGTCTTGGTCGCTGTGGACACGCGTCATTGGTCGGTGGTGTTGTGCGCATGCGCGAAACTGTGTGAGCTAGTCTTTGGTCTGTCGTCTTGTCAAGATGTAGTCGTTTTCCGTGTTCTTGTTTATTCGTCAATAAAAAGAGTGTAAAAAGGCAGTCCAGTGGTGGCGGTTGAGCTGATGCAGTGATGGAGAAGTAGTGTTAGATTTACAACTACAACACTAGCAACAACAAGGAAACACCAGCACTAAATAGTTTCATACTCATGACTGCATGCTGCTTCTTTCCGGGTATTTTCATTTTTCACCAAACTTGAAACCACCGGGTTGAACTTAGAGAGCCCTTATGCACAAAAAGGCTACTAACCTTCCATCTCATTGCACTCGTCCACATGAGGCTCTGTCCACACTGGCTTCTATGAAATAGAAGATGAGCATTGCCAAAGAACAATGTGCTTTGCCTCTGTCCTTTTGCCTGGCTACAACAGCTATAGTGAGAACAGGACACTCTACTACACACTCACAGACTATATTGGGTAACGTGCTCAGTTCCAAGTTTCTGCAATTTTAGTTAGTCAAAACGAACTTACATACAATCATCAAGTCAGAAAGTGAGAGTATGTGCTACAGAAGGACCTGCAATGTGCGTAGGCAAACAGACTGAAATAGCAACACGGATCTGACAACAACCCATGGATGAGTGCAAAAGGGACACCCTCCAATACGAATTCCAATAATAAGAAGCTGAATATACCGCCTTCATGGTCGACTACCACAGGCAAATTCTCTCCTACAGAATATTGTTGGCTCTTGCACCCAGCCTTCCATAAAACCTATATCTCCGCTAAAACTTCTTTTCTGGTCTGGTCCGGTCATTAGATTTCCCTTTTATAGTTTAGCCCTAAGGAAATCTACCTTCAATAAGTACATCCATGAAACCCCAGCGTGAAAGTCTGAGCTACAACACCATCTTGAACAGCAGACGCTCGCTTACCCTCTTGGCACTATGACCAACATTGCATTTTGACACCGACTTTTCGGCATGCTGTTCATTGAAAGCACCAACATCCTCAGGCTCTACTTCACAGGAGGGAAGGTCAGACTGAACAGTGGCCATTTTCTCAAAGTGTTCGTCAAAGTAGCTACTTCGTACTGCTTGCCTGGGTCCAGCGTCCAGCTGATTCATAGCCCGATGATCGTTGCCATTTCCACTCTGAATATGCCGTGATGACCACCTATCTCCATTGCGCATCATGGACGTAAGGAAAGTCTGATCATCTTGAATATTATCTGCACTCTTTACACGAAGCGTACTGATGGAGAACTGATGACCAACACGCAGAGGTGCTGTGGCTCTTCGCCGTTTCCCAGAGACATCCATTGACTCAGCGTCGTACATGTGTTGCTTGGATGACAGTAGGCTCATGTGGTCCCTCATCTCAACACCACATCGCTTTGCCCTACGCCGTTCTGGACTTGAAGACAATCCTGACCAAACGTGTGTCTCAGTACTGTTGATTGGTAACTGACCAATTCTACCCAGTGCACTGGGAATAGCCCGGTCTGACCTGGATTGCTGTTGCTGCTGACTGACAGGGTAAGCCAGAGGTGCTGTATGACCTCTCATGTGGCCTTTCCAAGAAAATGGATCATCCTGAACCGGCGCTTGTGTATGCTTCTGATTCACCTCTGATGAACAAAGTGGCATACTGGAAACTTGATTGCAGGCATGGTCATTACATTCTCCATATCTGCTATGTGCACTGGATTCACCATAATCATAAGGAGATGTTCCGTCTGGGAAATCAGGTAATTGCAAGTCGTCACTTGCCCCGGTTGAGTCCTTTGGGGGTTGCTTGCCATCAATGTCCTCGTTATTTCCGTCACTCACTCTATCGGTTGGTATAGGACGTGGGAAAGCTTTGACTTCATGGCTACTTCCATTGCCCCGTTGTAGTGTGCCTGCTGGCCCAACATGCTCAGTATCCAATGTAGCACTAGCTCCTTTCCAGACCCTGGGCGCATTTGCGGCATGCGCCATTTGGGCACTCGTCATGGTGGTATTCGTGATCTTTTTGAGGGGATGACCTTCAGCTGCTGGTTGCTGCGGGTCTGCTTCATCAACATCAATGAATCCACTGTTACCATCAAGTTGAAAATTTACTGCTGAGAAGAACGCCTGCAAACCGCAAAGTATATGAACACAAACCAAACAAAGGAGGCCGAATAACGCATTACAAAAGCGGACAGGACACTATTGTGTTCCTCACACTTTACCAAACGCATCATATCAGCAAATTGGGTCAAACGATTCTTCGAAGTACAGTAAAACCTGTGTTTTTATCGGACACCCTTGGTGCAGTGGAATCTGTCCTGACATGACAGAATTCCTCTTGATACAGGAAGGCATGCGTGTCTCACAACATGCATGTCAAATTGATCAGCATGCCGTCATATTTGGTTTGAAGGCCGATTCACAATACAACTTCTTGCGACATGACATGCGACTTGCGACACCTGCGATGAGCTGCGACAGCGACATACGGTTCACAATATTTTTTCATGTTTGCGACATCCTTATGCACTAGTAGTACTATGCACGTACACTGCACGTGCGCTGCATGTGCACCCAGTGTAGAAACTATACTCCATTCGTGTATGTCGCAAAAGTTGAACTTTCGTCAACTTCTGCGACAGGTGAATTGCAACTGTACGCGACAGCTCGCGACAGGCAGTTTAGTGTCACAACTGTCGCAAATCGCATGTCGTGTCACAGAAAGTTGTATTGTGAACCGGCCTTTACACCTCAACCAAGTCAAATATGTTTCAAATAAGTCTAGTTGCTGTGATATTCTGCTGTTCACGATGCGTTAGTCTTTTTGACAGTCGTGTCTTGCAAACTCTCTTTCACACTAACCCATTCACCTACCTATGTACGTATGTACATACATGTATACCTACCGAACTATTTATCTATACAAAATCTGTCTCTACTGCACAGCCTGGAACCTCTCTGTTTTACGAAATCTGTAGGAAAATCATAAGGACAAGGACAGTACAAAGTCTAAAGTACCTTTGTGACTTCTTTTGGTATCCAAGGGCATGTTGTCAGCAGCTCCTCGTCACTCATTGCCAATAACGTCCTGAGTGGAGCAGCAGTCAGCATCACCTGTGCACTACAAATACATACATGCATGCACACAGTACAACAGTGGAGCAAGGCTAGTCTGTTGCAACCCTGAGTTCATGATCGTAGATTGCACAAGCATCAGGTAACCCATGTAACAATACACATGCATCACATGCCTCCACTCACAAACGCGCATTAACACGTACATATTATTTTTTATTTATAGATGCATAAGCACGGTACACTCCTCTGAAATCACCTATGCTCACTGCAGGACAGGTCCTTCCATGATGTCACTGTAAAGTTCCATGAGAGCACCCCATCACTTCAACACCTTCATGGTGTGATTGTGGGATGGGGTGGACGAGAGATCTCGTGCTGTATACCGCAACTCCAGCGTCTGTTTCTTCATGCCTGCCCAGTGCCATTGTCATGTCCGCACTGCAGGAGGTTGATCCTCAACTCTATCAAATGGCCGTGAAGTATTGTAACGTTACAGTTGCAAACAGTTTCTGCGGCTCAGTACGCCATTGCAGGATCATACGGTGATACAAGCCTACACGTAGAGTTTCCACACAGACAAGTATGTAATCAAAGCGGGCACTTGGGAGAGACGAGCGCTCTGGCAGCGTGGATACCAATATTCTGCTGCTGATATAGCACCTGCCAAACACACATGCATATACACACAACTTACCTAAAGGAATTGATGAATGGAAACTTGAGCAAGAAAGTCTCATGCTGCAGTTATCAGCACAGACAAAATTCAAACAAAATGGTTTGCAAGCAGGTAAACAAACTTCCTATGATATTACACCAAGCTAGTATGACTGAAGCAAACATTCAACAGGTAATATCAAGTGATAAAGGGGCTACTGAGGTTTAAAAAAATGTGAACTGCCCGCGGGAGAAACACAGTTAAGAATTCACTGCAGTGGACGCACATCCCACTGCGAAGTGCTTGCTTCAATCATCATTGTATCCTTTTATGTCACTCGTTGTCCGTGTATGCATTCATCTGGCTATGCTGCATACCGATACATGCAGTACCATATGTACTTTAGCTGTACGCCTGCTCGGCTTTGCCATTCCTTTCACGGTCGGTCTCTGTGTTCCCACACACCTGTAAGTTGATGTAAATAAAGCTAGTCACAGTAGACCCCAAGATAGGCAGTCAGCTACATTTTTTTCTCTCATTGCGTATTTTGTACAGTCGTCCCTCTCTAATCCGGCACTTGTTTATCCGGAACCCTTGCCAACCGGCGCACTTTCTGACGAAACCGATTTTTTTCGTTCAATTCCTACATCTTAATCCGGCACTTGAATTCCGCCTCCGGCAGTGACTTTTTGAAACGAATGGCTCAAACTGCACGTAGTTTGATTTGATAATCCGGCAGTCGTAAATCGCGTACCGTACAGGTGCACTCCTTGCCAGGCCAGGCTAGGCCAGTCTGGTCAGTGCCGCGCGCGCGGGGCCACTTCAGAGTTCAGTTCAGTTGACAACTGTCCTCGACCTCGCGCGGGAGAGTTCAGTTCGGTTGGTTGTTGGGACTTTTCCTAACCCTAACTCAATGTATACAAGGAGAAAGACCAAGGAACTACAAGTTACGCTATACTGTCCACTAACACCACCAGTTACTAAACAATCAGCTCATGCGATAACATTGCACGACACTGACCGACGGTACTGACGTTCTACAACTAACTACAACGTTCGACCTGCATGATGTCGACTGCTTGCGTGGCCTTCTCAAGAGGGTCAATTTTGTCCAGGAGACAACGCTAAGCAGTCCACAATACTTTCTTATTTTAGCAAGGAGTAGTGTCCTGCCAATTTTCAGGTGTGTGTGCGTATGTGTGCAAGAGTACATGTGAATATGTTCTCTGTTTTACTTTATCACTTTATCACTGTGTATATTCCTGGAGAACAGTTGAGAATATAAAGCCGTGCACCAAATACTTGGGTCGACACGGAAAAACCCTGCGTTTTGACGTATGATACATGCATGCAGTTGGGTAGGGCCGGGTCAGAGGGCAGTATTTCATAATCCAGCACCCTCGTTAATCCAGCAGAAAACGCCGTAGCAAAAGGTGCCAGATTAGAGAGGGACGACTGTATCTGCATGTTATTACCCTTTCCGTGAGTCGCTCGTGAGTCATGTATGAGTCGTGTCTGGCTAAACCCGTATTTCTCCACTTTACCCGTATGACTGTCTGTTGCGAACTGTGATTGGCTGCTAGTATTAATGTTCCCGAATGTTCCAGAGCTGTGAACTGTGATTGGCTGATTATACTAATGTTCCAGAAGTTTCTAGAATTTCGTCGGCAACCGGTTTTCGTAGATTGCTTATTGGTTAATGACCTAAAACATGGCTGCCGGTTGCTGGACTTTTTTCCCTTGCTTTCTTGTTGCCTCTTCACTCTCTTTACATTCCAAGTGTGTGTATAATATTTCTTTCCTGACAATTATTGGTAAAACTACGAAGTGAGGGCTTTGACTTGAGTGAGTGTGATTGCCTCCGGGGCCAGCTACTACATTGGTGGCAGCGGTGAACTGTTTGTGTGTATATTCGTAGTGTCCGGTTACTTCAACTTACTTTAGTGCATTTACCTGTCGAGATGGCACAGCCTCAGGCAGCAGCAGCAGCAGCTCCGAACCAACCGGCGGGTTTGGGACGCCCTGTAGTTTTACCACCGGAGTTCACCTGAACCAGCAGCGATGACTGGTTGACGTTCTTGGGCCAATTTAACGTCGCCTGTCAGGCAAACGGCTACGAGGATGTCCAACGTCTGGCTTTCCTGCCCTGTCGTCTCCGCGAGGGGGCTTTCCATGTCTACCAGATGTTCCGGGCCCAACATCCCAATGACACATACGATGAGCTGTGCGATCGTCTGACCGCATACTTCAACCCATCGCCCGTCATTCGAGGCCGAGTTTTGGGCGAGGACGAAGAAGACGAGTGAGAGCCCGGTGGAATTTGCGTCTGCGTTGCAGAAATTAGCGTCGAGGGCCTACCCAGGCCAAGAGAATACGGATCTCTTTCAGCGTTTACTGGTCAATCAGTTCATCGATAATCTGCCGTCCCCAGAGCTTCGTCTACATGTCCGAAGTGCCAGCCCCAAAAATTTAGCACAAGCTGTGCAAAGGGCTCTGGAAATGCCAGCCATCTTTGACGAAGAGCAGCGTCGATCGAACGGCGCTGCGATCGCGAGTGCGTCGCTGACACCTGCGGCCATATTCGCCGTCCGAGGGTCAACCACTGCACTCCCGCCAGCAGCCACGTCAACGATGATGTCAGCCTCAGCCTCAGATGGTAATCATGGTAATGTTGTTGTTGGTCAGATCACGGTTTATGTTGGACAAAATTTAACAAAGGCTGGATTCGATTTCTCTTTGTCTGAGCTCTTCATCTCCAGGTCCTAGTTTGCCTCTTACTCCATCAGCACCAAGTGTGTGTATAATATATCTTTCCTGACAATTATTTGTAAACTACGAAGCGATTGCTTTGACTTGAGTGAGTGGGATTGTCTCCGGGGCCAGCTACTACACAACCACTACATGGTGTCAGAACTAGTTTTCCTGCAGTCTTGTAGACCGTGAGCGGTGATGGCTCATTTCCAGCTTCCACGAGACCAGTGGGCATTGTGGAAGCTGGGTTTGCTCGTTTGCGTGCTACAACAAAAAATTGAATCCAGATCCAAAAGAAACCCAGGTGACCACTTTGCTCTATTCTCTTGGACCCAGCGTCAGTTTTTGACTGCCAACTCGGACTTTCGGAGGCAGAGAAAAGAGTAGGACAAGATAGTCCAAGTCTTCGACACCTACTTCCGCCCTTCCACCAATGTTGTCCACGCATGGGCCAAGTTCCAACAACTTCGTAAACCTGGCCAAACAGTGGAGGAATATGTTTGTGATTTCGACGGCATGTTACAAGGCGAGGACGCACAGTGCTCCTGACTACAACCATAGACCGGTTGGCAGAGTCCCGGTCTTGTGACCCTTTGAACCGTACGGGGAAAAATCCCCGGTTCGGACCCTCTTTATTCTAGGGGTGGTTGACTTTGAATTTTTTGTTTTTGCTGATATTGTGTTGGCGTTGGTGGTAGTGGTGTTGTTGTTGACATTGTTGTGTTGCCGCCGCTGTTGGATACATGAATGTCAATGATTTTTTAGTTATTGTATTGTTGTTAATTTTTGCCTTTATAAAAAATATATAATGGACCAAGGAACTACAAGTTACACTATAATGTCCACGAACACCTGGAAAACCTTACACACACCATCTTCAATCCAAGTGATCTCTTCGCTGCAAATTACAATAATATCTCAATCAAATTTTCGGCCAGGAGCCATCATCAGGATTGAGGAGAAACACAAGTGAGGTGGACCTATAACAGGCATGATGTGGTGGAATTTCCTCCCCTCTCGCTAAAATTGCAAAATGTAACGGCACCCTGTAGTGACCCACATTTAAGGCTTTAGGCTCATGCGCTTATAAGCGAGATTTTGCTCATTTGATATTATTTGAAAGTCGATTGGTCTCACATATAGGCGCATGCGCTTGTAATTGAGTCACCAGTGTGGACTTCGGAAATAGCACATACATCCTGTAAAAATGGTATTATGGTGGCATCAGTGTGTCGCAGGATTTGGGTTCACTTATAAGCTCATGCGCTTATATGTGGGGGTGCGCTTATGCACGGATATAGGCACATGCGCTTTAATGCGCGTCACTACGGGTAAGAGTGATGTAGAACTGGCCCAGAGGATTTTAAAACTGGTATGGCCGTTGCATGTACAATACTAGCATAATCATACCACAGATGATGCTTTTGGTACTCGTCTCTTCCTGGCCATAACTAGGTTGAATGACTGAAAAGTATGCGACCAAACCAGACCAGCCACATGAATTGCTAGTATTTGCTACACAACTGTATTGGTTAACCTACCAAGCTGACTTCCGGTGTTAACCATGATCGTCTCGCCCAGTTGTCTGGTGACCAGCAAGTGCTAGATTCTCTTGCTTGATCTCCTGCTGCTCGGATATAGTACGCTGACTGTTCTGCTGTGTTGGAGTACACTATCTGAAACCAAGAAACATAACCAAGCATCCATAGCACCAAACATGGAGCAAATTTTAAGAATGGACCAAAAATTGAACTACACGGGATTTTTACATCATACTACAAGTATTGCCACAGCACACCATCAGAAAAACGACACTTCAGTAGGTACTCTGCTCCTTCAGACAGCAGCTGTTTCGATCATCAGGATCTCATCAGTGAAGGTTGACAATGTAGAATGGCTAACAGATGGTGAACATCACCCTTATAGCAAAAAAGGGAAACATAATGGTGCATCTTTAAGGCACGAAGATTAGGGCTAAAAATATACTACACTGGGGATAATATAAAGCGTGTTAGTGATAGACACTGATAGTAGGGTGTTCGGACGATTTTGAAAGTTGCTCCGATCTCCTCGATTTTAGTCTCATTGGAAAGAGTGGGATAAACTAGCCGGGAAATATATAAGGTTTGTCTGAATCCGACCAGGCGTTCAAGAGTTATGGTCGTTTGAAGTGCGCTTGTTGGCACTTTTGCTGGAACAGTTTTGATGCAGGCCAGTGGCACAAAACCGGGAAATTCAAAACCAACTAGAACAAGGTGAAAATCAATTTCGTTCAGGGTCTTTCAAATTTTCACAGATGATAGCCAATAGAGAGCTTCCATCACTTGACCAATTTTTTTGGTATTCCATATAGCCAAATTCAAATTACGCCCATAGCAACCACCATAGCAACGCATACAAATTAGTCGAAATAGATGCGAAAGATGTAACCCTTCACAGGCTGAAGCTAATTGGAATACGGGTACTACAAAGACGCATCACCAGGAGGAGATTACAGTTGTCTACCCCATGTAGATGAAGCATCCAAGAAAATAACATACACACTCAGCCGAGACGGCACCCGCACCCGGGCATGTTGCGCCGCGGGACCGGATGCATGCAGCCAATTAACAGGTATGCTGCACCATTGCAACACAATGTAAGCTTCAGCCAGGCCAAGGCAGCAGCAGTCCTGCTAATCGTCAGCTTTAGAAGGACAACTTGTTCCCAGTCATATACGGCGCGTGCAGCACTTCGGGGCAATTAGTGTCGCACGTCACATGTAATACACTCATACGATTTTTACAATCAACAGACAGTTCATTTATCGGATGATTGTGCAAGCGTAATTTGGATGTAAATTATAAAGTCGACAAATACACTGGCCCTACATTGCCCATGCTATGTGGATGACAATGTACTCCGGACACGTGCATACGTCATTGCGTAGCTGCACTGCGTTAGCGCGCTGCAATTTTGCAAATCCTCAGAGTGTCAATTCTGTGCAGATTTTCAGCTGCATATTGAACGCAGCATTGGCAGGAAATCTGTTCTTGACCAATTTGTCTGCACAATGGCTTTCTCCACTCTCCAGATACAGCGACCAGAGGTTTATCTGATGTGGTAGCTCAGCGAAACTACAAATAAACTGCACTACAGCCAAGTCCATCAACTCCATGTACATGTACATGTACTCCATACATTTGGTATCCTGGCGCAAATCGATCGCTCATAGAACAAGAAGACAGCATCGTACAGCCTCCAAATTTCACACACTGCGTAGTTTTTCGACGCTGAAGACGATGGAATGGTCGCCGGCGTTGCGACCGGCCCAGAACAGGCCGAAATCGATACCCTGAATTTGCGCAGGGCGTAACATTGCTAAAATTCGTCGTGTGGAAACGGGACTTACGGTCTCAACAGCAGAGACATCTCCTCTTTCCAACAAAGAACCAAACTCGTCCTGAGCTGCTAAAATTTTACCTTGCCAAGGCAAGAAGCACACAGTGATGTACGATTGTGCCACGGACCCCGTACAAAACTGTTTCCACTCAAAATGCGCCTGGGTTCGAGGCACCGAACACCCTACTGATAGTACATGTAGTGATAGCCAGGCGTGATTTCGATAGGCGGCAAAGCATAGCAAGTAGCAACGCGAGAGGCCCCTGGGGCATTCACTCCGTCCACTCCCTCATCACACAGCACAGCACCTCGCCGTTGTCACGTCACAGCCATTCTTTAGTTTCCATGACAATGCCGTAGCTTAGCAATGAAGTGACAAACATATGCTCACAAAATATCATTCGAGAGGCCCAAAGGGGCATTCGCTCTTGACACTGCGCCATGGCTTGACATCCACCTGTAGTTGAAATTAGTGCGTCACAGCTATTCCGAATCTTCCCGAAATGTCGCTGCCGAGTTTCAGTCGTTCTTCATTAGTCTCCTTGTCTCCACCACCGGCTGCTACTTGACTGGCGCAGGTACATACATGTATAATCAAGAGGGGTAAGCAGCAGCATTCAGCCTTGTCCAGTTTATTATCAACCACCACACCACACCACACCGCTGCACTCTCCGGCCGACCTCAACACGTTGCCACAGCACACCATCAGCAAAATGGCACTTCAGTTACTGTTCTGCTGCGCATGCATATGGCCAATTAGAAATTACACTTGGCATGCTGTACAAGAAGTGAGAATGGACAAACCTTCATTTCCAGGGTTGATATTACAGTTGCTTCAGAGATGGGGAATTTAGCAGCACCACCATGATAATGAGCCGTCGATGCCAGAAGTAAAGCCATGTTCTTGGTGAAGCTCTTCATATCCCCACTAGGAGACAAATAGCACACAGAGACTATGTTGGAAAACAACAGACAGATGCTATCATGTATGTGCTCCGTCAGACACCATCTTCATGCACATGATTGTAATAACTACAACATAGAGACAACACAACAAAGAGGAAGAATGATTTCATGGAACAAATTACCCGATTGTTTCGGTGAAGTATGGGCATCACCCCGTACAATACATAACTCTAATCCAACTGTGGCTGACCTTTCTCAAGGCAACAGAAGGACCTGCATGCTACTGTCGTGGACATAGAAATCCGGTCGCACGTCTAGCGGCCCTAGGGCCAGGGCGCTGGTCATACAGCCGTGGGTAAGCAGTACACACATGCTGCAGCGCGCTGGTCACATCGGATCAAGCGCTGTTCTGCACGAGCTGAGGGCGCCGGCCCAGGTCAATCGACTGGATTTCCATGTGCACGACAGCAGGATCCATGCTGAACCTGTGGAGGAGATCCGGGTTAGGCTCAGGAAAGAGCGTCCAGAGATACTACATCGCATTCGGTCTATTCTACGACAAGAAGGTGACTAGTTCTCCCAGGACATAGCCAACTCTGTCAACTCGCTAAGGCCCGACCCCCATTCCTACTACAATGCCATATGTCAGCTTCAGCAACTCAAATCTGGATTAAAACAGTCTCCTAGTCATCTGAAGGATGACACTGGCAGCATGATCTCTGATAAAGACTGGAATTTGAATACAGTCAACTTTGCGTATAACGACACTCGGCGGGGCATCAGAAAAGTGTCCTTATTCGCGAAGTGTCGTTATACCCGAAGTCTCATTAGGTATATGTATTACAATTAGATGGGACATTGCTCTGGCCCCAGTCTGGGCATAGAAATTCTGTCGTTACTGGCAAATTGTCGTTATATCCGCAGTCGTTTTTAGCGAAGTTGACTGTAACTTTACTGAATACTACATGTATTCTTCTATATTTTATCGCTCCGACCTACCGAAGTCTTTGTCGTCACAGCCTCCCAACAATGTGCCCGTCACCAGCTTTGATCCTGCCGAAGTCCCCAAAGCAATCCGGAAGTATGTAATCAAGCACGCTCAGGAGGTCACGATGGCTGAATCTTGCCCGAGCCTGCAGCCCAAGGGCCGTAGGCCTGAGGGCTGCAGGCAAGGGCAATACCCAGCCATCATGACAGACAGAGTGTGCTTGATTTGATTTCTTACAGCACGAAGCAACATAATATTATTAGGGAAGGTCAGAGGTCGAAAGGTCGAATCATTCCCAAAACGACGTCAAACGGTTCTGAAATTCCCGAAATGACGTCAAACAGTCCTGATGGCCTGATAAGCCCGCGGCGGGAAGACCGCCTATTGGCCATGGCCTGGGCAACGATCACGTGTCATGTAAGAGAAAACGATCCAGTGGAGCAGTGCGTATTGATGGTGTCAATGCCAACCTGTTGAAATCAGGCGGTGAAGTACTTGCCGGTTGGCTTTCTGCTTTTTTTTAATACCATACAACATATCGGCCACTGTCCTGATGACTTACGGTGTGGAATTGTAGTTCCTTTGCTCAAGCCGAACACGCCTGCTGGTGTCCCGAAGAGCTACAGGCTGGTGATGTTACTATCAGTTGTCCGGAAAGTTCTAACTTCCATCCTTACCGCTCGGTGCACTCCAGCCATGCAGTTATATGTCAGACAGTACTAGGCTGGTTTCCGGCCAGGTCATTCCACAGCTGATGGTGTCTTCATCACCAGAATGCTGTGCAGGCTTGGTGATTGGACGTAATCTTGGTGTAATCTTGGTGATTGGTCGTAATCTGGCGCTTTACTTGATTTCAGCGGTGCTTTGAAACAATCGGGTAATCTGTTCCATGAAATCATTCTTCCTCTTTGTTGTGTTGTCTCTATGTTGTAGTTGTTACAATCATGTGCATGAAGATGGTGTCTGACGGAGCACATACATGATAGCATCTGTCTGTTGTTTTCCAACATCGTCTCTATGTGCTATTTGTCTCCTAGTGGGGATATGAAGAGCTTCACCAAGAACATGGCTTTTACCTCTATTTGCAGAGAACGTCGACTTCTATGGTTTGGCCACGTTGTCCGACAAGACCCAAACTCTCCATCATACCAGGCACTGATGTTAGCCACTGACACCTCTGACATCAAGAAGTCACACGGATGCCCCCCCCCCCCCCCCCACCATGCGTTGGATCGATACTGTCCGAAAAGATCTCAAGAGTGTCGAACTTACCATCAGCAACGTCCAGACCCAAGCTCATGACCGTAAACCAGGTAAACAATGGCAGGAAACTGTCAACAGATGCGTTAGCTCATGTTATGAGTGACATGCGAAACTGTAGACAGTGCGTATCGGTTATAGCGTGGTTGTGTAAAAGAATATACTGCCTCCAAGACTGAACTCTCATGTTGTCATGATCACAACAGTTTCAAGTACACATTTATTCTTACAAGCAATTTTATTTTGTCGTATAGTAGACTATATCGGTCCTAAGAATGGACTTTAACATCTATCCAATGCAGTTCTGATCCGACTCCCATTGCATCGCAGTGCTGCAGGTCCAACTGTTATGGCCATGTAACACATGTTGCATAGTCACAATCATGGTAAGCCCATGGGACAATGAACAGCCGCATGCACAGTAGCACTACGTTGCAGTTACAATGACCTTCCTGCCTCTGCGCACATGCATACCGGTATTATATGTCACACTTGATTTCTCGTGTGTAACAAGTATCGGAAATAAGAATAGAGAGTCGTTTTCAAACACCCACGCTATAACCGATACCTACTGTATTATTATTGCTATTACCCGTATAATGTGCACAAAATGGCATTCTACTGTGACTGCTCACTTTCCCTACGCATGGAACAAGACACAATACAGTCGGCCTTGTGAAAATGACATTCGGTTGGGCATGAGGAAAGTCTTCTTTTTTGTCGTAAGTAGCCGGTTTTGTGAGGTTGAAAGTTGCTATTCTTCTTGAATTATTTGGTCCTAAATGCACTTTTTTAACGAATTCACAAACTCCGACACAGTCATTCATACACTCTACACAGTCTCAGCAATCATACCATAATATTATGGTCTCATCGCTGTTTTAACCGTTCTCATTTGTACTTTCCCCAAATTTTCGGGCATGGCCTATAATGATAGTTGAGACTGTGCAATGAATAGACTTCATAATTTTGCCAACATTGCCCACAACATGTGTGTGTAGTCATGAGTAAGCAGATGGTCATGCCACATCAAACATGTTATGCTCATGTCAAGTCTCAACGGCCAGAAATGCATGAAGATCATTCACTAGATAATACAATCATGTACATGTTGATAACTGAGATGTGTTTTAAAAGAACGACACTGAGTCAGTCTTACTGCATGTCATGACTGGCACCAAGCTGTTGGCACTGGGCTAGCTCATAGAATGTTACAATCAGGAGGCAGTTGTGGAACTGACGGAACAGGCTTCCCAGGCAGTTCATCAAAGCTCTCACAGCGCCTACGCTACACGCAATCCTGGAGGCGGGAACAAAGAGAATTGCTGATCGCTCATCAAGGACAATGTCTGGGTATGAGCTCCATCCATACTGGTCTATGTTGTATTCCTGAAACAGATCACAACATGAAAACACATACACAATATGAGCATGTTAGGGATTTCACTGGGATACTGGTATAGATTAAACAAGAGAGCTTGGAAGCTCAGGGCCCTACGCTATGCTTTTTTTGCCTAGCTCATCGTACATGTTACTAGAACTGATGGAAATGTTTTTTTTTCCGTTGATTAGCAACATCATTGTATTGCAAAAACGTTTCAATCAGTTTGAATATGAGTTAGGCAAAACAATTTGCAGAATTTATTGCGGATTTGTTATTTTTCTCTCACTTCATCCGCTTTTGGTTTGCTCCTTCTTTTCCTTTTTATCTCCTTATAATCGGATTTTCTGGTGGTTTAGCGTGTGCGCTAAGCCCTGTTAACGAACGTGGAACATCTACCACTCATACTTACTTTGATGATCATGCATCTGATTATGATGTCATTGCTATACATGCGCATGCGCAGCGCGCGCCACTCTCCCACGCATGCATTCCAAATCTTGCTTTAGAGAGAGAGAAGGAGAAAAGAGAGACTCCTTTGTCACTTTTGCTTTCTGACGACTTGACTGTTCACTGGTTTGTCCGTCAGTGTCAATTTCCTACATAATTAACGGACATGCCAAGAACACGGAGCACCTCACGGGGTGCAAGCGCTGCTGGCACTGACGCTGACGGTCCCCCAGCTCTATACCCGTATCCGCAGCGGGCTGTGAATTCTGCGAATTCTCAAGACCATCGGAGAGCGAGGTCCCGTGTGATCCATGCTCATGGGCACATTTCAGCCAATGCGGACCAGGTGACTTCTCCTGCGCCGTCACAACCCGCTCCTCTCACCCTGAGCGACCTGACTGGTGTTATCCAGCCCCTCCTGGAGCGCGTGGAGCGCTTGGAATCCAACGTCGTCGCCCCTACCACCTCGCCCATTGCCGCACCAGCACCAGCACCAGCATCAGCTCCTCTCCCGCTGGGGCAGCCTTCCCCGATGCACTTGGCTTGCGCAGCCGGCTCTCCAGGACTCCCCGTCATCCCTCCACGGCTACGGGAACGTATCACACGAGGTGAGTTTGTCAAATTTGGGGACTTGTTGCCTGAAGCCATGTCCGGCAGTAGTGATGTCCTGCAGTTGTCGTTGGTGAACGGCAGGTCCGTTGAGCTGGTGCAGAGCTCGTCCACTCCCCAGCCCTCCAAGCGCCGAGTCCATGACTTGGCGACGTGGTTAGAGGCCTTCACCTTGTTCACCAGAGTCCTGGTCGATGCGTCGCCGGACCAAGCTCCAGATTTGCTGGCGTACCAAGCCAACATCATCGAGGCCAACAACAATTATCTGACCGACGCGTGGCTGACCTATGACCGTCGTTTCCGTGCTGGTCTTGCTGCCATGCCGCACCTGTATTCCTGGCGGCAACTGGACCCTAACCTCTGGCAGTCCTGCTTCACGAGCCGCGGGCGCCCTATCTGCTCGCGTTGTTCTCTCGTGCACCCATCTCCAGCCCCGCATTGCCCCTTTCGTGGAGGGCTCCCTCTTGCGCAGCACGCAGGCGGGAGCCAGTCAGCCACCAGCCCAGCTCCTCGTCACGATGGCCGCCAGATCTGCCGGAATTACAACAACGGCGCCTGCACATACCCGTCCTGCAGACGGGCCCATGTCTGTCTGTCATGCCGCGGCAAACACCCAAAGAAGACTTGCACCCGAGCGGCCTCTCAGTCTTCCCAGTGACGTCGTCACTCCAGTCAACGTGCCTCGGCTAACTGCACTGCTAGCTGCTCACCCTGATGCCCTGTTTCGTGATTATGTATGTGCTGGCATGTTTAACGGCTTCTCGATTGGTCACACCACTCCTCTGGCATCATGCATTCAATCTGTCAATCATCCGTCTAGTCTCTGCAATAAACAATTTGTCACCCTGTACCTACAGTCTTGTTGCGATGCTGGGGAAACAGCTGGTCCGTTTGCTGAGCCGCCATATCAGCTGTTTCAAACCTCGGGTTTGGGCCTGATCCCAAAATCCAATGGCAAATTTCGCCTCATCCATGACCTATCCTCCCCCACTGGCCGCAGTGTCAATGATGGTATTTCCCGGGAGTCATTCAGCTTGGAGTATGACACTGTCGATTCGGCTATCTCCTATATCATGAAGTTAGGCCGTGGTTGCTACCTGACCAAAGTGGACATTCGAAACGCCTTCCGATTATGCCCACGGTCAGTTTCTGGAAACTACCAGAGGTGAAAGAAAGTGATTAAATTTGGAAAGGATTGGTGTTGTGAGCTGCCTTTGGAGTGAAAAACTTGTCAGCGCCTTCTAGGTTCAGCCTGGTCCCATAGCTCAGTGGTTAGAGCATTGCTCATGACAAGCAGGGTCCCAGGTTCGAGTCCTGGTGGGTCTGGCGTTTTTTTCTCTTTTCAGGCAGTTCACTTCCCCGACTGATCCTTTGAATATGAAGTTCTCCCAATCCTTTCCAAATTTAATCACTTTCTTTCACCTCTGGTAGTTTCCAGAAACTGACCGTGGTTGGTCCCCTGGGGGAGGGAAAAAGACCCAAGTGCCATCAGTATGTGTGGCACGTGTTGTGAGCTGCCTTTGGAGTGAAAAACTTGTCAGCGCCTTCTAGGTTCAGCCTGGTCCCATAGCTCAGTGGTTAGAGCATTGCTCATGACAAGCAGGGTCCCAGGTTCGAGTCCTGGTGGGTCTGGCGTTTTTTTCTCTTTTCAGGCAGTTCACTTCCCCGACTGATCCTTTGAATATGAAGTTCTCCCAATCCTTTCCAAATTATTATTATTATTATTATTATTATTATAATGTATTAAAATGCAATACAACATACACTGGAGAAGAAATCAGGAAAATAAAATATGAGCTCAAAAATGGAACGAAAAATAGCAAATAGAATCAAAACTCACGATGGAATCAAACTCACGATGGAATCAAACTCATGATGGAAACTACAAAACCCAATGAGTTGGAAAACCAACCACAGAATTAGATATTGGGAATAGAGTCAGACACAACAACGACCGAAATCAGTACACCAAAAAAATTATTATTATTATATATGCCTGTGTGGATTCACAGGAAGTGTGAGTTACGAAGTCTGAAGAAAATGTTGAACGGCCTCTGCTGGGATGACGACTACACCATAGCTCAGTGGTTAGAGCATCGCTGGCTACAAACGAGGGTCCCTGGTTCGAGTCCTGGTGGTGACAGTCAATTTTTTCTTCAGACTTTTCCCGTTTGTCTCTTTCCCTCAAACCAGTTAATATTATTATTATTACTTCGAAGTAATATTATTATTATTATTATTATTATTATTCTAGTGCGACTTATAATCCGGGAAATACGGTAGTACTTACTGGTCGGCAAAAAAGGCACAGAAATTGCAGTTTTTTGCCAAAATTCTGTACTCACTCGAATAGTAGCCGGGGGCTTCTATTTTTTCATTACATTTTGAGGAGGCTTCTATTCAAGAGGGGCTTTTTATTCCCGTAGCTATGCAGAAGACGTTACTTCAGTAACGTCTGCCGCTTGCCAGGGTCCACACAGCTTTAATGGTGGTTTAGCGTGTGCGCTAAGCCCTGTTAACGAACGTGGAACATCTACCACTCATACTTAGTCTGATGATCATGCATCTGATTATGATGTCATTGCTAGTTGCTCACCCTGATGCCCTGTTTCGTGATTATGTATGTGCTGGCATGTTTAACGGCTTCTCGATTGGTCACACCACTCCTCTGGTATCATGCATTCAATCTGTCAATCATCCGTCTAGTCTCTGCAATAAACAATTTGTCACCCTGTACCTACAGTCTTGTTGCGATGCTGGGGAAACAGCTGGTCCGTTTGCTGAGCCGCCATATCAGCTGTTTCAAACCTCGGGTTTGGGCCTGATCCCAAAATCCAATGGCAAATTTCGCCTCATCCATGACCTATCCTCCCCCACTGGCCGCAGTGTCAATGATGGTATTTCCCGGGAGTCATTCAGCTTGGAGTATGACACTGTCGATTCGGCTATCTCCTATATCATGAAGTTAGGCCGTGGTTGCTACCTGACCAAAGTGGACATTCGAAACGCCTTCCGATTATGCCCTGTTGCCCCCTCTGACTGGCACTTGTTGGGTATCTCTTGGGATGGTCGTTACTATTTCGAAAAAGTCCTCCCGTTCGGCCTTCGGTCAGCTCCGTACATATTTGACAAGTTTGCATCTGCCCTTCATTGGGTTCTGGAGGACACATGCCGCCTTCCCCATCTCATTCATTATCTAGATGACTTCCTGAATGTATCGCCTCCCAGTCTTCCTCTTGCCCAGCACCAGAAGTTACTACTGCTGGACCTGTTTGCATATTTACAGGTCCCAGTTGCACCTGAGAAGGTTGACGGCCCCTCTACGGTTCTCACCTTCCTGGGCTTAGAGCTGGACACAATGGCTCTGGAGATCCGCCTTCCACCCTCAAAGCTGACTAAGCTATCTACCACCGTGTCGGCCCTCGTCCAATCCGGCCGGGTTCAGAAACGCGACCTCGCCTCCGTATTGGGCAAACTCTCGTTCGCGTCCAGAGCTGTACCAGCTGGTCGCACATTCCTGAGACGCCTGTACGACCTGGACAGAGCAACTCGATCAACACCATTGCACCAATGGCTACGCATTTCGGCATCGGCAATGGCAGACCTGTTGTGGTGGGCAGAGGCCCTGACCATATGGAATGGGAAGTCATTCTTCCTGGTGGATGAGTGGACGCCAGCCCCCGACATGCAACTACAGACTGATGCCAGCGGCACTCACGGTTATGGTGCCTTCTACAACGGCCGGTGGCTGAGAGGAGAGTGGACAGCCCAGAACGAGAACGAGAACATTGAGTTCAAAGAAATGTATGCTATCATAGTTGCCTGCGCGACCTGGGGTTCGGAGTGGAGCAGGCGACGCATTCAGTTTCAGTGTGACAACAAGGCCGTGGTGGACTGTATACGCTCCGGTACCTGCCGTTCACCGCCAGTCATGACACTTATCCGGGCATTGTATCTGCTGTGTATTGAGCATGACTTCTTGGTGTCAGCTGTCCACATTCCTGGTGTCACTAACACTGTCGCCGATGCATTGTCTCGCAATTTGCTGCAGGTATTCAGGCACCAGGCCCCGGAAGCAGCAGCCGAGCCAGATCAGCCAGTCTTGCCAACTCTCCGTTGACAGACTCCGTGCTACAGCTAGCAGCACTGGCAATAGCACCATCCTCCCGCCGGACGTATTCTACTGCCGAGACCCGCTACTTCCAGTTCTGCCAAGTGCATGCCTGCAACCCATTGCCGGGCGACGACTTTACTTTGTGCTATTTTGCTACCGAGTTGTTCAGGACTCTTCAGCCTCGATCTGTCCGTGTCTACATGTCAGCAATCCGCAACCTTCATGTGGAACTTGGCTTTGCTTACCCGTCGGGCCCAACAACTCTCCTCGCTAGGGTCCTGCGGGGCATCGACAGGTCGTCATCGACACAGCGTCGTCTGCCGATAACCACTCCACTTCTCAGGGAGATCTGCCGGCATGTTGCCGTTCCACGCATGCGGCACCCTCACGACAAGGCCATGCTAAGGGCAGCTTTTTCCTTGGCGTTTCATGGGTTCTTCCGTTGTGGAGAACTGACTGCTGGCCTGAGGCGATGTGATGTGACGATCAGTACTGACCAGCGGTCGTTATCGTTAAACGTGCGCTCATCTAAGACGGACCCCGACAGCACGGGCCACACAGTATTGGTTGGAGCCAGCACGGACGCACTGATCTGCCCAGTGCAGGCCATGGCAAACTACCTGGCGTTTCGCCCCGGCGGCGACCATCTGTTCACTTATGCTAATGGCCAGCCGCTTACAAGAAATGCAGTGTCCTCTGAACTGCGCAACCTGCTGCCACTCTGTGGGGTCACGGACCCGAGTGCATATGCCAGTCACTCTTTCCGGATTGGCGCCGCAACATCAGCGGCCATGGCAGGTGTCCCCGAACACATCATCCGTATCATGGGTAGATGGCGCAGTGATGCGGTCCACCGCTACATCCGGGCTGCTACAGCTGACACCCTGCGAGTGTCACGTCAATTAGCTGCAGTTCAAAGTCATCAATGGTAGCTGCGGGTTAGTGACCACATCATGCCTGAACTGCTTAGCTTTAGCTTTACATTGCTGCTGTCAGTACAGCACAATACACCAGTCGTATTTCATTATTACTCTCATGCCATATTGGGGATATTGGGAACGGGCAGTCTATCTCCGCAGCTGGCTCATTTCAATCACTACCGGTCGCAGCTCCTGCCCACGGCAGGCCGACCGTCTCTCGTTCACACTCTGTGTGCTCCAGGTCACAGCTCCTGCGCAGAGCAGGCCGACCTGTCTGTCTCTCTCTCACACACACTATGTGTGCACCGGGTCACAGCTCCTGCGCAGAGCAGGCCGACCTGTCTTTCTCATGCACGCCAGCTGCTCCGCCCAATATCCCTGATATGCCAACCAGAAAACAATGTGTTCTGAGCCGGGTGCATGCCTGTATGTGGAGAGTGCGTTAATGGTGGTTTAGCGTGTGCGCTAAGCCCTGTTAACGAACGTGGAACATCTACCACTCATACTTAGTCTGATGATCATGCATCTGATTATGATGTCATTGCTATACATGCGCATGCGCAGCGCGCGCCACTCTCCCACGCATGCATTCCAAATCTTGCTTTAGAGAGAGAGAAGGAGAAAAGAGAGACTCCTTTGTCACTTTTGCTTTCTGACGACTTGACTGTTCACTGGTTTGTCCGTCAGTGTCAATTTCCCCTTCCCTCCCAACCCCATTCGACTGGGGATCACTATCTCTCCGTCACTGTCACCATAATTTCCTCAATAACAGTGTCAGTACAACTCTTGTCAATATACTTATATCGGGTGAGGGCAGTCTATCTCCGCAGCTGGCTCATTTCAATCACTACCGGTCGCAGCTCCTGCCCACGGCAGGCCGACCGTCTCTCGTTCACACTCTGTGTGCTCCAGGTCACAGCTCCTGCGCAGAGCAGGCCGACCTGTCTGTCTCTCTCTCACACACACTATGTGTGCACCGGGTCACAGCTCCTGCGCAGAGCAGGCCGACCTGTCTTTCTCATGCACGCCAGCTGCTCCGCCCAATATCCCTGATATGCCAACCAGAAAACAATGTGTTCTGAGCCGGGTGCATGCCTGTATGTGGAGAGTGCGTTAATGGCCTTTTTACATTGAACTGTTGAGCCAATGAGGTAAAATTATATTCCATACAATACGATATCGCGATACAATACAATAATACAAAAATGTCCTTACCTTGATAGTGTTCTTGTGCTTTTAACTGTTGCTGGCGGCCGAATGCATGGTTGCCTGTGGAGCACATTACATAACTTTACAGTCTCCTGTAATACGCATCCTGTCCGACGGCAAAAGAGGCTGCAGATTTATTTTTTCTGCGCGTTTTCAGCAATTTCATCGTATTGTTGTACGACATGCTATCCTTCTACCGTACAACACCGTATCGATGTCTGGCGCTAGCTCTGTCGCCTTGTGTATTTACGGTAATAGGGACAAGTACGGGATAGCGCCAGTCGGAGGTCCGTCTGCCACAGAGCTAGCGCCAGACATGAAATTGTCGGAGCAACCAACGACCACTTAATATATCAGTAGCAAGTGCTATCCCGAGCATTATGTTAGCATTACGAAAGCAAAGACAGGATGCGTGTTACAGGAGACCCAAGTTGCTGAAGACCAGTAGTCATTGCTGATAACGCGCAGAAAAACTAAATCTGCAGCCTCTTTTGCCGTCGGACAGGATGCGTATTACAGGAGACAGTAAAGTTATGTAATGTGCTCCACAGGCAACCATGCATTCGGCCGCCAGCAACAGTTAAAAGCACAAGCACACTATCAAGGTAAGGACATTTTTGTATTATTGTATTGTACCGTATTGTATGGAATATAATTTTACCTCATTGGCTCAACAGGTCAATGTAAAAAGGCCAGAAAATCCGATTATAAGGAGATAAAAAGGAAAAGAAGGAGCAAACCAAAAGCGGATGAAGTGAGAGAAAAATAACAATCCGCAATGATCCTGCAAATACCTTTGCCTAACTCATATTCAAACTGATTGAAACGTTTTTGCAATACAATGATGTAGCCAATCAACGGAAAAAAAACATTTCCATCAGTTCTTGTAACATGTACGATGAGCTAAGTAGTGGTTGCGAGTGGTTGCGTGCTCTTCAGGCACAATCTTCCTCAGCCTACTCAAGCTCAACTGACGAGGGGTGAATTCCCCGAAACACTGTGTATTGAGCAGGGAGTGGTGCTTTCTTGCAGGTTTGCCGAGTCGAAGGTTCGATGGACTTCTCGTGTGCTCTGGATGGCAGTCGTGAGTCAGTCAAGTGTCAAGTAAAGTCGGCGGAATAGCGCGAGCTCCGGTGTGGGGAGCAAACCATTTCTTATGTACGATGAGCTAGGCAAAAAAATGTCCTGATGTCTGTCCTGACGTTTCCTGTGACCGGCGCTGACTCTGCCGATCACGGGCGTTCTGGACTCGACGGGATCTCTCTTCCAACGTTTCCTGTGACCGGCGCTGAATCGCCCGTTCACGCTTATTTTGGAGTCGATTCTGCGTCTGTCCTGACGTTTCCTGGGACCGGCGCTGACTCTGCCGATCACGGGCGTTCTGGAGTCGACAGGATCTCTCTTCCGACGTTTCCTGTGACCGGCGCTGAATCGCCCGTTCACGCTTATTTTGGAGACGACGGGATCTCTCTTCCAAAGTATGTTTTTGCTGACGCATCCTATCACAGTTTCCGCAACTACAGTCCATTTCAAAACTATAGACGCGTGAACTCATACGTACGAGCCGTACGTACTGTAGCGCACGACAGCCGTGAGAAATGAAAGTCTCAAATGAATCTTCTTCTTGCTTGCATTTTCTGAGCGCCTGACTCACTGTAATGGCTTCCAAGGTCCGTAAGAATCTCAGTGATGCCGAGAAAGATATTATTAGTCGTGTTCATTGTTTCTTCGAACAAGAGCTGGATTTTGATTGACGCTTGAGTATCCGAAATCCTCGTCGTCGAACTCACCTTGCAACTGGCGTGAGTGAAACCACTGTCACTCGTTGTGTCAGGCGAAGGGAACAGGGAGGCTCAAATCAAATCAAAAAGAGAAAATATAATTATCATCTCTACTGTATTTCACCCAACAAGATCCAAAACATGCAGAAAAGAAGAGAAAAAAAGGCAGGAGGCGTGATGGGATTCGAATGCCCCACACTTGTACTGGAAATCACGGATCGAAACCACGAGGCTACCAGGACCCGTACAAAAATGCACCCGCGATGGTCTGGGCGCAGCACTGTCTCAGCAGGAGCAAAAATCCGAAACAAACTGGTCAAACCCTTAAAACAAACTGGTCAAACCCTTCAAAACAGAAATTACATGTAAAACCGGAAAACCTGGCCTAAAAATAAACTTCAATTGTAGCGAAAACAAAGTATATAGCCAGAATTGTGAAGCGATGCAGAGACGGAATCTGGAGAAAAAACTAAAAATATTTAAATAAATCCCATCGAATTTTGCAAAACACTACGCGTCTATAGTTTTGAAATGGACTGTAGCGTCCATTCTAATTTTATTTCCTCCTCGTCTCCCTATTAATTTTCTTTCCAAATCTCCCTCTACATCAGGGAGTCGTATACATAATACGACGAATATTGTGGCCAGCTGTTTGTGGCCAGCTGTTATGTACAATCCTGTAGAACCTTTGTAGTCACAGATACGGGACAGATACGGTAGCTCCAGGCGTGACACAAACACACAAACAAACAAACACCAAATCACAGATACGGGACAGATACGGTAGCTCCAGGCGTGACACAAATACACACACAAACAAACAAACACCAAATCACAGATATGGGACAGATACGGTAGCTCCAGGCGTGACACAAACACACAAACACCAAATTAAAGCTGTGTGGACCCTGGCTAGCGCCAGACGTTACTGAAGTAACGTCTTCTGCATAGCTACGGGAATAAAAAGCCCCTCTTGAATAGAAGCCTCCTCAAAATGTAATGAAAAAATAGAAGCCCCCGGCTACTATTCGAGTGAGTACAGAATTTTGGCAAAAAACTGCAATTTCTGTGCCTTTTTTGCCGACCAGTAAGTACTACCGTATTTCCCGGATTATAAGTCGCACTAGAATAATAATAATAATAATAATAATGACAGTTCGCATTTCACTCATTGCATGAGGTCAACGCATCTGTTAACAATTTCGAGCCAAGCAGCTCTATCAGAAGCAGATTGCACAGCATCCAGAAGCGACAGATTAATGCATTGTAAGTCTTTCTTGACAACGTCAAGAATATAACTAGAATATAACTTTATTATAAGTCGCATCCCCATTTTCAGGTTTGAGCCATCTTGTTTTGATATATTGACTTCAGTAGCAAGTCATGCTCGATTGTAAGTCGCACCCCCTTTCTTACCCTTGAAATTTAGTGTAAAAAGGTGCGACTTATATTCGGGGAAATACGGTACTCCTGCACTTCGACTCTGCTGAGCTGGATCAGCTATGTGCGTGTCATTCCTGACTTTCCATGCGAAGTTTATCAGTGACATGCTGACATTCAGTCACCCGCATGTAGTCTTCTGAAGTCTACAACACTGAACCACTGTGAGTGCGAGTGAAGACAGAACAGAAGACAGTGACAACCTGCAGCAAAGTACTGAGTACAAACATTTTAATTGACTGACTTGCTTGTTGAGGCCTTTTTTAGTAGTTCACGGTCACCAATTAATTTGAATTTTGGAATGAATCTCGTCTCCTGTCAGCTTTCATGAGTGCATCAATTTTGATAAGCCTGTACAATCTAGCTACACCGGGATTTCCAGCACTGCAAGAGAGGGCTCACCGTGTCAAAGATAGCTTTGTAGTCACGTTCAATCAGCTGCACATTGTACCTGAAGCGGGCAAACATAATAATTATAATCCTTGTGTCAGAAATAGTTTTAGGAAGCCAAGCTGCAAAAGGAGCACACCGCCAGCAAATAATCACAGAGAGAAGTTGAGCATCCAGTGGTTTGGCCAAAAGGCATATTTCTTACTACCTGCCGTCTGTTACCAATACAGCATAACTAGTGTATGCTGAGGAATCTGATACAGCTAGTCACCATGCCGTGCGTACCTCGTTTCCAGCACCTTGAGGAGTTCACCATCATCCATAACTGACTTTGACCCGATGAACAAAAACTGGTCGGTCGGACAAGCGCCTGGATTATGAAAGGCATTGGTACAAAGGCAAAAGAACATGCAAGGAAATAAAGAGCATACCCTGTCCGTTCTTGGGCAGCCAAGACACACTCAAGCAGCCACACAGTCTATTCAATGACAAATGTGATAACATGACATCCCTTCATAGACTTGACTTCAATCCAAGTCTCACTATTATTGACGTGAAACAAGGTCACTGTTCACGTCAATATTCCTGCTAAATGACAACTCTTGCAGGAAGCCATCAACACCACCGCCTGGTGGAGAGTGGAATATGTAGAGGGGACGGCTCGATACCGGGACGCTTTGACAGCCAAATTTGTATAGACCCAAACCGATCATCAGCGTTGATTTTTCACTCGAAATATGTTTGTGGAAGGAAACTGGCATGTTGAAGTTTGCTCTGGGGCCAGAGTCAATCGAACTGAGCCACTCCTTTGTGTTGACCCATTGCCTCCAAGTTGCCCAATTTTTCGCTTCAAAAAAGTTCAAATCAGAGGTGGCTCCAAACCGGACACGTTTTAGAGTGCACGTCAAATTCACTCTGGGTCTGACATTAGGTAATTGCTATCGCTCCACGACGGCCAGTACAGAGTAACAATAAGCCTTGTGTGTGCTTCCATTAGGTTTTATTGGTATGCGGTGCTTTATTGGCGAGAGGCGAGCCGCTGTTTACCTGCGACAAGAAGTTGATTTTTCGAAAGTCGTAAAACTCAAGTCGCAGTGCGAAGCAACACGTCAAAAACTCACCTGCTTGATATGGCGCTTCTGGTCATCGCAGAGCCATGACATTTTGGCTCGGAGTATAACACATCGTAGTCTCACTGTGACATATGTTTTCTAATCAAAATACCAAGAGAGAAAGTGAATATTGAGTCCGTTCCGGTTTGCAACCTGTGTCCTATTTGAAACCGTCCCCTCTACAGGATATTGCACGATTCCAAGGTGATTATTTTTCAAACCCTGAAGGTACAGTAAAGCAATTTGCACCTACCATCAGATACATTTGTTGGTGTAACTGACTTCAAGAGAAGGAAACGAATGTCTGGATTTGCTGACAGGGCCCTGAGCTGCCAGGCGGGGTGCTCCTCCAATGAGTCAGAACCGTCAGCCGGCCGAGTTGGCAAAGCAGGAAAAACAAAGTCAATTGCCAGAGTGAACAACGACCATGGCCAGACGTCTTGTACAGCATCCTGTCCTCGCACAATGATGCAGTTATAGCCAGAGCACCTAAAGTAGCACAGGAACCAGGCAGAATTTGGATGAAAATGATGTTTAGATCTAAGATCGACGACTTTGTTAGGTAAATTAGCGTAATCCAACTTTTTAATGATTTTTGCGCGCGCGCAAAAATATGTTAACACAGAAGGCGCATGCTCTGTTCCCAACAAACTCTCACTCGCTCATTGTTCTCCGAAGTCCACTGTTCCTGATTTCAGTACTTGGTGTGTCTGCACTGGCAGTGGATTTCTTTCTCAACCTCAACCTCAAGGTTTACCATAGCTCACGGCGATACCCCGTGCGTGTAACCAGTTGGCTCCCAGGCCCAGGTATTCCAGTCGCGCCTTGTCGTCCCCGTATGTCGACACCTCAAATCGAGCCCCTGCGGACCGTGGCGATCGTTCCGGCAATGCCCGTGCAGAGCAGGACGATATGCCGTCCGATGTTCCTCAGCCGGCCAGCTTATTCACAACTAGTCTAAAGACCAAGTTCTCTTACAGCGGCCGTGTCGACGGCCCTGCACCCCCTGCAGGCTCGAGTCGAGCGCCTTGAGGAGCGAATTGCAGCTCGCCCAGATCCAGACGGCCATCAGGTGGCGGTCCTCTCAGTGGCAGATGTGGTCCAAACCGCGTCCAACACCGTCACCCACTACCCTCCGCAGGTCGACTCCGGCCCCATGGACATTTCCGTTATCCAACCCACGCTGCCTCCGATAGCAGTGCCCATGGCTCAACCTGCGGCGACCAAGGTCATCCTGCCGCCTGCTGCACCAACGATGGTTGTCGGGGACTCCGCCAGACGGACAAGCCCGTCACAACGAAGTCGTCTCCCCACTCCACTGTACATAGCCCGCCTGATGACTCTTTTGTCAGGTATTTCTAATTGTTTTCTCTCTGACTTTATCCTTAATGGCTTGCAACACGGGTTTCCCATTGGCCACTCTGGTGCCTCTGTATCTACAATCTCTGGCAACCTCTCAACTGCCTTTGAACATGCTCCGTTTGTACAGCAACAAATTGCTGACCGGGTCCGACATGATGAATCAGCCGGTCATTTCTCTGTCCAGCCTTTTTTTCACCCATTTGTATGCTCTCCGCTCGGCGTTGTGCCCAAGAACAACGGGAAATTGTCTCAAGTCTAGAGTAACATCCCAGGACTTAGCCGCCTGACTACATTCAGTCGGACTGAGAGTTTCGCGTGGAGCTGAAGGCCTCGCCGTCGTTGATGTCAATGGACGGAGCAATATTGTTCCGTACATTTTTCCAGGAAGGTTGCAACCTGATCGCGCCTAGTCTCACACACTTTGAATTTCTCCACAGGACATTTGCTGCTATGCTTGTCACCAGCTCTGGGTGATTTATCAGGGGCAGTTCGGCTGTGATGGGAATAATTGTAATACCATCGTCCAAAAGGATAGTCCGATTTCCTTGAGCGAACCCACCGAAGTCGCCAAGAGATTTCCAATTCCATGCATTCTGCTTGATAACAACTTCCAGGCACCCTATATCAGTGTTGGTACACAGGCTAATCCACACTCTTTCAGAAAGCCTCCAGTGTCAATGGCAGCGCCCCAGTCATGTATCCAGTGGCAGGCACCGCCTATGAGCACAATGTCAATGACTTCTACAGGTACTAATGTATATGGGCATACCGACCAACCACAGATGTCTTCCGGGTACATGCAACAGCCAAGGGTTATGCAACACCATCCAATATTGGAAATCAAATGTATGCAACAGGGCTACCTCAAATACAACAAAATCAAGCTCGTGCAGAGCCATGGAAGCAGCTACAACGAGTTGGCATACCGATATTCAGCGGTGACAAACGTACGTTTGAGTCATTCCGAGAAGCTTTCATGGCATGTGTAGATAGTGCACCCGCCACCCCTCAGTACAAGCTGTTGCAATTGAGGCAGTATTTGGCAGGAGAAGCACTGACAGCCATCGAGCGATTTGGCTACTCACCATCAGCCTATGACGCAGCTAAGAAGTTGCTAGAACGCAAGTATGGCGGTGAGCGTCGCCGTGTGGCTTTACATATTGAACGCGCACAGCCACTTGACCACATCGATGGGTCTGCAACCAGTGGTACCTCCACGTGCACAGCCAACACTCCCAACAGTAGCAGCAGCAACAGCAGCACAGCGGGCTGGTCGAGTCTCTGTTGATGCTGTGGTGCCTGAGCGCCACATGCGCGACAGCCTGGAAACGACTGCACCAATTCTGCAAACTAGTCGGCACCAAGGTGATTACAGACACCATCATGCTGGCGTTTGTAGCCTACCTGGCACGTAAACATGCCGCGTCAACCGTCCGCTTGTATGTGTCGGCGATCCGGGCAATTGCCAAAGAAAACGGCAAAGATCTCTCTTCGCGAAGAGTGGACCTCGCAGTTAAAGGAGTGGCACGTGCACAGGCCAACCGAACTAAGAACGCCAGCAAGCCAATCCTCCGGCCCCACATGGCAGCTATGCGCAACGCCCTGATTAGGTCTAATCTCAACGCTACCGACAGAGCCATGGCATGGGCAGCCATTTGCCTGGGCTTCTTCGCCTGTCTCCAGGCAAGCGAATACACTTCCACAACCGCCACAACCATGTCAAACGGGGGCCTCCAAACAAAATGACCTCTCCATCACGCCGCAGGCCATACAGGTCACAATCAAGAAGTCCAAGACCGACCAACTCGGCAAGGGTCACTCCGTCCGGCTCACAACCACCAACTCAACGGTTTGCCCGGTCAGAGCCATGCATACCTATCTCTCCAGACGCGCCAACCTGCCCAATAGACCACTGGTCATCGAAAGCTGTGGCAATTTCCTGGCTGCACAAAGACTCACACGTCTGATCCGTCAGCTCCTGAGCAGCGCAGGGTACCCACCGAACCAGTATCCACTGCACGGCCTCAGAGCCGGACCCGCAACCACAGGAGCATTGAGCGGCTTCACCGAATCCGAGATCATGAAACTCGGCAGAACGGCGAAGTGCCTGCTACAAGCACTATGTCCGCTGTGGAAAGTAACTGTTCACCGTCCGCAGGCGCGCAAGCGCGCACAGCCACATACACGCACCCGCATACACATACACACGCACGCATGCGCACACCCACATGCATGCACACACGCATGCGTACGCGCACCCGCACTCTGACACCGTGCAAGCATGCACGCATGCACACACGCTGCGCACCCGCTGGTACGCCCACTCGCGGACGCACGCACTCACGTTCTAGCACTGACTGTGCACGCACGCTTCTGATACTTATGAGAAGCTATCTGCTCCACTTAGTTGCGGTGCTATTGCTCTCACCTATGGCACCATGCCACCCATAGCTTTTGCGACTGCATGCGATTCAAACCCTTATCAGTGTCACTAAGGGAATACAAACATACGAATGGCATGCAGTCGAACTACATGCATGTAGCTGAAGCGCTTGAATACCATACTAAGGTCATTCAGCTGACCAACGCGGAATTTGGGGGCATTCGGCGGCTTGGTCTGATTCCTAGCTTGTTGGTAACCGGCTTGAGATTTCAAAGGTTGCTATGACAACGTGCAGTCATGCGCAGGGCCACCCAACATGCATTTGGGGGCCCAGGAAAGACAGAAACGCGTTGCTAGGCAACAGCAAAAGCGCTTGGCGAGTATCACGCTACTCATGCAGCGCGCACGTTGGCGTAGGGTATCACGCTACCCTTGTGCTGCGTAGGGTATCATGCTACCCTTGTGCTGCGTAGGGTATCACGCTACCCTTGTGCTGTGGGGTACCACATTGCCCATCGCTGGAATCAGACCCGCGCCCCGGATACCTTGCGCTGGCGCAAGCGCGCACAGCCACACCCACAGACACGCACCCGCATACACATACACACGCACGCACACCCCCACGCATGCACACACATATGCATGCACGCGTACGCGCACCCGCAGTCTGACACCGCGCAAGCACGCATGCAGGTACACGCCTGGGCGTGCATCACTACAGGTGTCCCGATTTTTTCCATCTTGCATGCTGTTTGCTCACCCCCTCTCGCAATGTGATCCAAGCGCTGCAGGTTGTTCGGCAAACTCATTCTTACCCCCTGCTCAGGCAATCACAGCGATGAGTATTTTCAGTGATGGCTATGAACCAGAGAAAAGCGAAGGCGGTTACGCCTGACTGATCAAAAGCTAGTCGAAACTACCATCGCAGCGACATCAGCGAGGAAATGGCGTCTAGCTCAACTATTTCAGCTCCCATCGACAAAAAAAGAATTATCAGGTCACCCAAGACTGAAGACTATTGTCCATGTCCAATTCCTTACCTGTTGTACGACTGCTGGTGAGAAAATAATATACCCCGTTTTATATCACTATTCAAACTGCAACAATTTCGATGACGCGGAGGAAGTACGCATAGAAAATGACGAAAAGATGCAGTGTGAAGGAACCAAACAAGCGTGCGGTATATTGCGGCAACAAACGGTGGATGCATGTACAAAATGTTTCAAACAACAGGCAAGATTGTTCTTACCCACCTTCTAATTATTTCATCCTTCGTGGAGCTCTGCAAGAAACTGGAATCAGTGAGATGTTGTGTCGTGAGTCCTGTAGTTGTCAATTGCAAGGAGGTACAATGTACACGCATTAAAAAATCGAGCTGCATCTTGTATGTCTCAAAGGAATACACGAAGAACCAACTTTTAGCCCGGGAGATTCTGGACTTTTCATTCATGTATGGTAGCAAGAACAACTTGAGCTAATATTAGAGAGGTTCCACACGAAGTAATTACGTTAATAAACACCGTAGTCGATCTACGGAAAGTCTTCCGTACATTGCATGCGGATCTGTATTCCGCCATGAGGAGTTTTCGAACCACGAGGCTGCCCATGGCAGTTCAGGATGCGAAAGTGTGCAACCCAGCGAGTCATAAACTTCAGCCCTCACCATCGTCTACACAGATTTCAAAAGCGTCGACCTCCATTTTGAAAACATGGTGGCTGGCCGCGCTACTCGTAGGCGCACATGCCCCCCCCCCCCCCCCCTGCGTGCAGTGATGTATGCCTTTTTACCAATAAAGGCCGTGACGAACGTCATATCATGGGTGTTCACGTCTGGTCGGCGCAGCAAAACAGGCCAATGGGCTATATTCTGGCCAATACGGTCATTGCCAGCAGCAGAGGCAGCAGCCAAGCTTTAGCCGACCACCACATCCTAACCTCAATGTTTGGTGTAACGTCAGTGGCAACCGTCATGGGCGGCAACGCCACAACACAGCCCAGTGCGAAGAAAGGCCACGCCTTTGCGCTTGGCAATCTTTTCGGAGGGAAGGTTACTTTCACCGGCTGTTACCCGCATATTCTTAATATCGCGCTCAAAACAGCTATCGGCGTTGGCTTTGGCGCATAGGTGGAATGAATGATTTCAATTTATACCAGCTGCGTTTACCAGCATCCACCCTGCTGTAACGAATTTATGTTACGACTATGATTTACGCATGTCGTTGTATTTGGTTCTTGTCTTGTGGAGTCCAGTGTCTGATGTCATATATGGTCTAGGTGTACGCGTGAGCATGGTGTGATGTGTGACGTTTATGGTATGTGGTGCATGCAGGAGTACGCGTTGTCAGAGTGTGAGGATGTGCTTCCGTCTGTGTGAGAGTGACTGTCAAGTGAATGCAGTACATGCGCAGTGCTAGTTTGGTCTGGGAATGAGAGTCGTGTGTGATTCGTCCGTGGTCTGGTTGTCTTGGTCTTGGTCATGTGTTCTGTACGTATTAGTCCCTGATTGGTCGTCACGATTTGTCCTCGGTTTATTACTGCTTGTTCTTTGTTGGTCCTCTGAGTCTTTTCCCGGGAGTCTTTCCCGTCGTCGTTTTCTGTCTAGTCTTTTCGTCTTTCTCCTCCTGTGCCCTTTCCGTTTGTATAAGAAGTCAGAAACTCCACCAAGTTATTTGAGCTGTTGTGTGACACGGGGGCCAGGGGGAGAAGGCAATACCATTTCCTTTACATTGGCGCCCAACGTTCGCTCGACGCAGGGTACTACCTCTGCAGCCCACGACCCTGGGATCGTTTTGTTTTCACCGTGGCTTCAGTTCGTGCTCGCCGTTTCGAAATATATTTTATTTCTCGTCGTTCAACTCACTTCACCGAGATTGCTACTACGGCCATGGAGATGGAAAGGCGTTCGCCAGCCTGGCCTGCAGGCCCCTTACCCGGTGAGTCGCTCCCGGAACGGGATGTCGTTGTTGTACTAAATTAGTTGTTGCAAGCGAATCTCTTCGGAGATGGTGTGTCCAGTATGTTTTACTTCCCAGAAGCGCCCAGGGCCCGGGTGCTTTCCCCGTCGTTCTGTTTGTCGGGGCAATGTAGTATTTTCACAATCCGCGTCGTGGGTTTTGTTTTTGGTGCTTGTTATCTTTTCGCGATCTGGTTCTTGTGTCTCTCTTGTGTCTTTCTGTTTTGGGTTTTGGCAGTCAGTGTACGTATATTTGCTGGGGTTTGTGCAGTTTCTTGATTAGCCTTTCAGTGTAGTCGTGTACCTGTTTGGTTTGTCAGCTTAGTTCGGTTTAGTCTTTCAGGGAGCGTATTTTGTTCTCGTTTTGTGTCGACCTGCGGGTCTGTTCAGTTCACCAGGTGAATGTCTGATCATGGTGAGCCACGGTTCCCTTCGTGAGCTGGTGGGCCCCAGTGTTTGTTTAGCCTTTTGTCGGGGAAGTATAAAATTAAAAAAAAACAAATAAATAAAAATCTAAATATTATGGGTCGTGGGACGACAAGATTATTATGGGTCGTGGGACGACAGGATCATACGGGGTCGTGGGACGACAAGATGATCCGCCATCGGAAAAGTGTGGGACACTTATGCCGGCTCCGCGCCGAGTTTTCTAGTCAGGTTAGAGTCCTGTGGGTTTCTCCCCTTCTGAAGTTTGTGTGACAGTGTATCGATGGATTTTCGATTTGTTCTTTTCCCTGATTGACTACATGCCTGCTGTGTTCTGTTGCTCCATTTGTACATGTTATACACATCTTCCACATCCGAATGGGCAAGTCGTACGACGCACCACCTCGTGGAACCACACCCAAGGTTTTCCCATCTCCACGTCTGCAGCCAGCCACTTGCCGTTGTCCTGTCTTCTTCTCCTGTTATTGTGTCTTCTCAGCCCTTTTGTTTTCCTCCTACTCCATTTTTCTACTTCTGAGAGTCGAGGTCGACTCTCGCCGGAGGGGAAGGCTGTGTAACGAATTTATGTTACGACTATGATTTACGCATGTCGTTGTATTTGGTTCTTGTCTTGTGGAGTCCAGTGTCTGATGTCATATATGGTCTAGGTGTACGCGTGAGCATGGTGTGATGTGTGACGTTTATGGTATGTGGTGCATGCAGGAGTACGCGTTGTCAGAGTGTGAGGATGTGCTTCCGTCTGTGTGAGAGTGACTGTCAAGTGAATGCAGTACATGCGCAGTGCTAGTTTGGTCTGGGAATGAGAGTCGTGTGTGATTCGTCCGTGGTCTGGTTGTCTTGGTCTTGGTCATGTGTTCTGTACGTATTAGTCCCTGATTGGTCGTCACGATTTGTCCTCGGTTTATTACTGCTTGTTCTTTGTTGGTCCTCTGAGTCTTTTCCCGGGAGTCTTTCCCGTCGTCGTTTTCTGTCTAGTCTTTTCGTCTTTCTCCTCCTGTGCCCTTTCCGTTTGTATAAGAAGTCAGAAACTCCACCAAGTTATTTGAGCTGTTGTGTGACACGGGGGCCAGGGGGAGAAGGCAATACCATTTCCTTTACACTGCTACAGAGCCCTGTACATGTCTGAGGGCATCTGCAAGAAGGCACCAAGTTCGCCCCAGGAGTTTCTGGACAGCAGGTGGTCTTACATGTTCGAGCATCTGAGTAGGTGGTGGCAGCATGTGGACAGCTGCATCCAGATGGGCACGGCAGCTCGCAAGTCAATGCCTAAGTCCAGTGCCCACTACGGCATATGGCGGGACATCATCCAAATGGCCACAAGTCCTGTCCTTGCCACGGAGTGTTACCTATTATGGGAGGTGCTGCACGACTTACTCACACCTGCCGTGTCTTCTTGCCACAGCCGCGATGATGAGCTGAATTTTGCCAGTGGCTACCTCTCTCGTATGTGGCCAACCCGGGTCCTGCAGGATCTTCGCCAAGCGTCCTTCATGACCACTCATCCTCACTTCGCTCTGACTCAGACCATCCTGTCAGCGGCCATGCTTGATGAAACATCCCAGCATGTCTTCTATAATGAGATCCTGCCTGTGTTCACTTCTGCGATAGCTGCAGCCTTACAGAAGCATGCATCTCGATGCTTTTGTGCCCCGCTACTGCTGTGCATGGGAGCAAGCACCACACGCCGAACTATGTTTTGGCGTGCATGGCGTACATGTATTAACGTCTGATCCCAGTGCTTCTTGGCTTGACGAGTATGTTGTACTGTCGCTCCTTGCGGATCAGCTGCAAGACCTCAACACCTGGCGGAAACGTTGGGACATGGATCGTCCAAAGCTACTGGAGGACATAGCGGAGGTGGCAATGATGTCAGGCCCATCGTGTCCAAGTCCGACTTTACAGCGGCATCTGTGGCGGTGGTGAACAAAGCACATCTTCTGCCTGCCCGTCAGCAACGCCATCGCTGAACGCCAATTCAACATCGGCTCCATTTATCGCTCCCTGAATGAGTCGGAAGAATCAAAGCAAGCATCTCACCTGTTTGTGGAGAACGTGCTGCACAGTGAGAGAGACGGTGAGGACAGGGTGACCTCCCATCACAAGGAGCAGATGTGGTAGAGGTTGGCAATGTATACATCCACAGTCATTCGGGAGAAGATCAAGCAACCAGAGGGTAACCTTGCGGCCAGAAAAGCCTCCTCCTCCACTGGAGGAAGGACACTGACTACAGACGAAGTCCACCGACATGCTCTGCAGCGTCATGCAAGTCGACCTGCGCATGAAGAGGATGTTGTGAATCTCCAGGAGAGCAGCCGCAAACACAGCGTTTTATATATTCCCACCAGGAAGGGTGATGCTGCTTCCGCGCAGAAGAAATCGATCGTCTCCGCCAGTGCATCCACTGATGCCATCGAGGTTTCTGCCGCTGCAACAGATGAGGCTGAGGTTGAGGAAATCCAGTCCTAATGCTGTAAGTACTGATTATCTCACCAGCTTTTCTTATTAATAAATAATTCGAAGCCCTCTTGCCTCCTTTGACCTGTAGCTTGCTATTCTCACCAATAATAATTGTTGTAGCTCTCTCGTTCGAGAACTTCTCTAGCTCTACTATACTACGATAATTATAGATTTTGTAGCTCTGAACACTGACCATCAAGGCCGGTCAGTGTTGGCATGCAGTCTGGTTCTACATGACTACCGGGTATGTACAGTCAGTGCAGTGGTGACAGTGTACTGCACTGCAAAAAACACCTGCACGGAGCGTAGATAGTTGTTTTGTTTTGTCGAGAAAGAATCCCTTTCGCACTCGCACGGGCCGCGAGGGGGCAGCATGGAAACTGGTCTAATGAATTCATTTCTTGGTCGATTTTGACAACCAATACCTCACTGTTTTTCTTTTTTCACTGGCTATCCTTTCTCTGCTTCCGAATTGCGATGCTGTCCACCTGGAAAGTCTTGAAGTGAAACGAGTGGAGGCCGGTTTCAGAGGTAATTTTTGGCCAAATAGCTATCAAATCGGAAAATTCGAAGCAGACAATCTGTGGGTATCTATAGAATGAAGACGTAGGTCGATTAAAAAATCTTTGGAAACTACGTCGTATGAACCAAGGAATTACGGTAAGTTGAGAGTTTTGGTACGTCCGGTGTACGCTGATTGGTCAATGAGCACGGCCGTTGACAAACGGGTCAGTGATGTTTTATACGGCGTTGGTGAGGGCTGAACTTACACCCCAATCCACTTATGGAGCACCCTTGTCAGCGGAGCTCCATCTACGTACTCTCCGTAGACAACTTTCCGTAAGTAAGGTGCAAACTCGCGAATTCACGGGTTTTCCGGCCCACTTTGGTAAAGTTGCTCAACTTTACGTAGCGCGGAACCTCTCTATTATATCATTGATGGCAGAAAATGGGGGAAAGCATTCGCAAACAATAGTGTTGAGCTGTTTCTAGCAATCAGAGCAGGATATGTTCTTCACAGTAATGAGCTACAATCAATGGCAGTGGCGTGCACTTGCTCACCTGAAACCTGCCCAACCAAATCCGCAAGCTGCGGCAACAGACTTCGGCCAAACTTCCATATCAAGATGATCACCTATTCGCAATGAAAACCAAAATGAAGAAGTCCTGAGACCAACACCATCACAGCATTCTAAGTGACATGAGAAAATAAAGAAAGTGATATGGTGGTTTTTTTTTTTAGACGAAAATGTTCATGTTGGAATGCCTGAGCATACTGGAGTGCCACTTGCAACTTTACATAGTAGTAGGTTGATCAAACAGCAACTGACTGTCAGTCTAGCATCCTGCCAAAACTTCATGAGAGTTTAAAAGAGGACTAGGATTATGAAAGCGGCTAAGGATTTTGTTCAGAATGTTGAGGACATGAAGTTGCATGACTGTGCTAAAATGAATAGTAACTGCCTGTGCAGGGCATTGTACTGCCTACCCTATCCCATTGTAGACGGACCTATTGTCTGGATGGCAGTTATATTCAGTTATGATTCAGGGACGGGAAAGTGTATGTTCCAGTCTCAAGCAACCCAACATTCCTATTCTAACATTATTTGTATCGAACAAAAGTGTTACAATACTTCAGTGCAAATCTAGTGACAAGCTGCACTACATTGAACAGTAGAAACGGATGACATATACAACCAACTGAGTTATGGAAGGTTAGATCATTTTACGAATGTACGCGTGCACACGCTCGCATGCGCACGCACACACACGCGCACGCACACACACGCACACACACGTGCGCGTGCTTGCAAATAGCAACAGCAATAACAACAATGCAGCAATGATCGCCGGGGAAGCTTTGTCTTACTTTTGACTGGCACCCCGAGTTATTTTTTAGCCAATGTTCAGAGCATTTATCAAAGCTGTTATCTTGGGATGCATAACGCTTTGATCTTGAAACTGGCAGTGGCTTTCAAAAAGCTCAGTTGCTAAACTCTGCAGGCCCCCTGATACAAGGAAAAACAAAAGAGAACACACTCAGTTCTTCACCACCAAACAAAATTAAAGTCACCATATTTGGCGGAGTCCTGATGCACTATTTCATGCTCAAAATTCCAGGTGTGCACTATACTCTATATATACCTGTAATGTTGCGTATTAAAGCCGGGCTTATTCCTGTAGAAGCCGATGTCAGGGCTAGGCTTATATTTACATCAGGCTTCTATTCAAACCAGGCATTTCTATGTGTGTCAACACTAAAATTAATACAAGACGCTACGGTATACAAAATGTTTGACATCTATTATGTATGACATCACGATTATTATGTATGACATGATTCCTTTTGCGCATGCAAGAACTTTTTTGCAGTCTTGTTGCTCAGGATCTCGATTTTCCACCTTCTTCTATTATCTGAAACGTCTACCGGTTTGGACTGAAAGGAGGCTATGTTTATGATTACGATATATAACGTTGGTGCTGTGAATGTCAAGACACATGGTGTCGCGTACACGAGCTTTGTACTATCAATATATCATGTACTGTGGCATTTTCTTTACGTTATAGTTCTGTGACGTGAATTTTTCCTCGTGGACGTACGCATAATGCATTCTTGGTTCTTTTTGGAGATTATTGCCTTTAGAGATTTGAGAAAGATAGAGTTCCGAGAGAGTGTTCTTCGTGGTTAAAGCACATGTAGAGAGAGGAGAGAAAGAGAAAAGAAAGAAAGAGAGAGAGAGAGAGAGAGAGAGAGAGAGAGAGAGAGAGAGAGAGGGGAGAGGAGAAAAAGAAAAGAAAAAGAAAGAGAGAGAGAGAGAGAGAGGGAGAAAGAGAGAGGGAGAGAGAGAGGGAGAGAGAGGGAGAGAGAGAGGGAGAGAGAGAGAGAGAGAGAGAGAGAGAGAGAGAGAGAGAGAGAGAGGAGAGAGAGAGAGAGAGAGGAGAGGGGGGAGAGGAGAAAAAGAAAATGAAGAAAGAGAGAGAGAAAGAGAAGAGAGAGAGAGAGAGAGAGAGAGAGAGAGAGAGAGAGAGAGAGAGAGAGGGAGAGAGAGAGAGGAGAGAGAAAGCATGAATGGATGCATGAGCCTTGTTTGTCAGTACAATGAGTGTATGTACGATCAGGCCTGTTTGAGAATCCGTCTATGAGCCTATTGCTTAGTCGTTACTTATAGTTGTCACCAGGTCTGAACTGCCACAACACGTTGGTGTGTAGCAACCTCGCACGTCACATGACCTTGCCATGACGTCAGTCTCCCTCATCCACACGTGTATGCATGCACAACTTCTCTTCCTCTTTGTCTTCAAGAAACAACAACTGGTTAGACAATGTACCCCTCTCGATAGGACTTGTATTTTCTTAGGCCCCGATGTGGTATATCCGCGGAAACATCTGTTGCCACGTGCACAGATATAACCTTTGCCATGTCGGGTGCTCTAAAGGTGCTAAACCCGTTCCTGGAACCTGTTCCCAGTTGTGTTATGAGCCTCGCCATGACGATGAGTCAGTCCACCTTGCTGTTTAGCTGTACAGGGCTGATGTGTTGGTAGCATTTACTGCTTAGACTAGCTATAACCAGATGTGTTCTTTCATCACAATGCCACAATGGCCAGCGCCATTGCTGGCGTGTTCTACCTCTATAATCCATGATCATACATCTCTGCTCCCCTCTTCACATATATTCTGGAACTAAACAGTTGGGGATCAACGTTATTTTTACGGTATAATCATCAATATCGAAAATGCTACTTGTGAGGAGCCTGAAGCTAGTTCTTTTCTTCAGGCTGATCAGCCACACCATGCAGACTTATCGACATTCAGGCCGAATTGGACCACGCTTACCTTTGAGACATTGAGAATGCTTCTCTCTTAGTTTGCCCAGACTACCTGAAGATACGGGTGGTGAAATTGACAAAGAAACACGGCTTGCTCCGTAATGCACACCTTATAAAAACTTTTCACGCACGAGCCCCATTTCAAACCGTAACAATAGTGATGATTTAATGTGCCATAGTTCAAAAGAAGCTGTTTGGTGGCATCCTTGCTCCAATTGACTTGCATTTTTGCGCTGACTAGATGAGAACCTACATAAACTTAATCGGTAGATAACCATTTAAAAGTACAGTCAAACCTCTTTAGGACGAACACCAAGGGACCGACGGGATTTGTTCGCAATAACGGAAGTTCTTCTTGTCCATATCTTATACCCAGTGAATACACAGTGATTTATCCAATAGAGTTACAAATACTAGTTCTTCTTAAGCGAAAGTTTGTTTTATCAGTGTTCTTCTTAATAACGAGGTTTCACTGTATGGAGTATGATCATAGAGAAAAGTTTGCTTCACCAAAATACAGTGTAGCATTCTGCAGTAGAAATACTTTTGAAAATGTTTCAGTTCAGCTACTGTCAACCTCGGATAGAACAGCTCGCGACTAACGACAAACACAGACCTGCAGACCTTGTTCGGAAGGAAATATTGGATCGCTTGCAATTTTGGTATTTTCTACGTTATGCACTGACTATCTCTCTGATAGGGTCTGCTGTCACCCTGACGCTGGGTGCAAGCACCCTCTGACAGACTAAACCAATTTGCTTCATCTCCGCAATACTCATCCTTTCGATTCGAATTTCTGCACCTTTTAGAGATGCACCTCCTTCCAGATGTGCTCCGACTCAGTGTTGGCCTTGGCTTGCTAACTGAGCAAGGTCAGAGAGCATTCACGCTGAATTCAACTCTCAGGAGAAGCAGTACTGCAGATTTCTGCACCCATGAAACAGCTCAAAGCAATCGCCAAACAGCACCTAACAAGAACGCTGCCGAGGTCCAGGCCACTCCGTCGCCACAGCTAAGGCATGAGGGAAACAGCAGCCATCATGATTCTTCTCTTTAGGCTAGCTCACTCCAATGTCATGTCAATAATCAGTGACTCTCCGGCTCCTTTCAAGTCAGTTCTTCTTCGTTTCATTCTGTTACAACATGTGGGCTTTGCACAGCAAAGCCTAGTTAGCCCATGCACACGCATGCTGGTGGTGGAGTGCTGCGAGTGCGTGTCATGTGCCATGTGTGGCCTGGCAAAATTTCATGGACAATCGTGGACCCGGCGTCTAATTATTTGGAGACATGTTTTGCTGAGCTGTCTTTGTGCGAAGGAGCGTTCTTTGCAGTTGGAGTTTCGGTGTCAAGTCAAAGTTTTTTGCAAGTCAAAGTGTTTTCTTCCTTCCGAGGCTTCCCCTTTTCTGCGTTACTTGCTGAGATAAGCACCCAACGTGTCGCGACCCGCAGCATGGCTGCGCGAGCTCCTCCTGCTGCTGCAGCACCCCCTGCTCCCCCGACCCGCAGCATGGCTGCTCGAGCTCCTCCTGCTGCTGCAGCACCCCCTGCTTCCCCGGCAACGCCGGCTCCGGCGCCTGGGTTTTCTCCTGGCCAAATGGCAACCCTCCAGGCCTTGATCGCCACATCTGTCCAGGCGGCTGTTAGAGCCGTCGCCCCTGCAGCCTCGGGTCAGGCGGAGTCGACACGCCGTCCGTCCCGCCCGGCTGCCCCTGCCAACACTGCAGATCCTCGGGTGCAGGTGGAGGAGTCGTTCCTACAGGTACGGGTGTGTGTAGTAGTAGTTTCACACGTGTGCCTACTAGTGCTAGCCTCCCTACCCTGTGGCTGCGTCGACTGTCGTCACGGGCTGTCTCCCCCTAGTGGTGTGACTATCCATAGCTCTCGTGTGCCTACTCCTAGTCCTAGTGTGAATATCTCTAGCAGTCTCCCGTACAATTATTTTGTGTGTAACCCTAGTGCTGTCAATGTCGGGTCCCGTAATGGGGTGACTGACCACGTGCCCCGTAGTACGTACGACAAGGTGCTGCGCGGGGAATATGTGGAGCTTGCATTGTTCCTCACCCCCTCGCGGACGAGCCAGCCGCAAAGCGAGTCCGGGTGTCAGAGGATAGTGGCCAGCTAGTGCTCTCCCTGTCCCTGCCATCCCGCCGCAAGCTGGAGAGCCTGCCCGTTTGGCTGGAGGCATGGTCGGTGTATTGCGCACTGATCTGCGACACCCAACCCGCAAGGGCGGTGTCGCTGATCACATATCAGCTTCGTATCATTCAAGCGGCAAAACGTTATAGGTGGGCGGCGGTGTGCCAATATGACGAGGAGTTCCGTCAGAAACTCGCCCACAGCCCTGGCATGCAGTGGGATGTGGTGGATCAGGACCTGTACACCCGCTGTTTCACAGGCCAGGCGCTCGTTCTCTGCCCGCTGTGCAAGCGTCTCGGACACACCGCCAACACCTGCACCTCCCGGGACCAGCGCAAGCCCGGCACGACCCAGCCAGCGTGCGAGCTGCACAACAAGGGCCGGTGTAATTTTCGGAACTGTAGGTATCGCCACGTCTGCAGCTCCTGCGGAGCTCCTGACCACGTCGCCACCCGGTGCGGGGCTCGCGCCGGCCAGTGAGGCCCCGGCTAGTCCGTATCCTGCTTTATCCACGCACACACCTCACACTCCTGTTGTTTTTAATGCATTCGTGTCTGATTCGCACGCACATACCACACCCTGCCTTACCCACGCACACCCCTCACACTCCAATTGTTCTGCAGGCATTGGAAATTGAATTGCTCGCACACCCTGATCCTGCATTTGTTGCCCATTTGTTAGATGGTTTACGCTATGGTTTTAGAGTTGGCTATGACGGTCCCCGTCATTCGTTGCTTTGTGAGAATCTTGCTTCGGCATTTGTTTCCCCTGAGATTGTTTCAGCTTACCTCGCTAAAGAGGTTCAGCTTGGTCATACGGCCGGTCCGTTTTGGCAACCCCCGTTCGCCAACTTCCGTTCGGCTGGCATCGGTGTCATTCCGAAGAAGTCAGGTGGCCACCGCCTGATAGTGCATCTGTCCGCGCCGGCCGGCGCTAGTATCAACGATGGCATTCCCGAAGACCTGTACAGCCTCGAGTACATTACTGTGGACGTCGTCGTGGGGCACGTGATCCGTCACGGCAAGGGCGCGCTAATGTACAACGTGGATATCCGCCACGCGTTCCGAAACATCCCCGTCCACCCACACGATTGGCCCCTCCTAGGCATGGTGTGGGACGGGCAGTATTATTTCGACAAGGTCCTGCCATTCGAGCTGCGGTCTTCCCCGGCTCTCTTCAACCTGCTGGCAGATGCGCTATGTTGGATACTCCGGCACAACTATTCCCTGGCCGACCTCGAGCATTATCTGGACGACTACATCGGCGTCGCTCCGCCTAGCCCCTCTCCATCGTCATCTACCGCAGCCATTCAACAAGCGACGCTACTAACCGTGTTCGAGAACTTGGGCGTTCCAGTGGCTACCGGCCAGGACAAGGTCGTCCCTCCAACGACTGTGATGACTGTGCTGGGGATCGAAGTTGACAGTGTGGAGCAGGCGACTCGGCTCCCCCCGGGACAAGTTGTCCACCCTCCACACAGCTCTGGCAACTTGGCTCCAGTGCACCGACTGCTCCAAGCGTGAGCTCCTGTCCCTCATAGGCACGCTGTCCTTCGCCGCCAAGGTGGTCCCCCCGGGCCGCACGTTCATTCGGCGCCTCATTGACCTCAGCACAACGGCTTCCTCCATGTCTGCCCGGATCCCGATCGATGAGGAAGCGCGCCTCGACATCGCCTGGTGGCATCGCTTTGCGGCCGACTGGAATGGGAAGTCCTTATTCCACGACCAGGCCTGGTCCCGTTCTCCTGACCTCCAGTTGTTCACAGATGCCTCCGGCGAGGGCTACGGGGGCTACTTCCAGGGCGACTGGTTTTTTGGGAAGTGGCCGGAGGAGTTTGAATCTCCTCAGCTAAGCGTTATTATGGTTAGAGAAATGGTTCCCATTGCCCTAGCTTGCTGCATTTGGGGTCCGTGCTGGGCAGGGAAGAAGCTGCTGTTTCATTGCGATAACGAGGCGGTAGTTAGAGCTTGGAAGAATGGTTCATGTAGGAACAAGCAGGCCATGGCGTTGATCCGCTTTATGTTAGCTGTTGCCGCTAGGCACAATTTCATATTGTATATCCGCCATATTGCTGGTACTAATAACGGCATTGCTGATGCTCTTTCTCGCTTGCAGCTGACCCGCTTCCGTCAACTGGCGCCAACGGCGGCTGCTTCGCCAGTGCCATGCCCCTGCCCGACCGTGCTGCTCTAGGCCTCGAGGCTGATGCCCTTGTAGCAGGTTCAGTGTCAGAACGCTCAGCGAGAACGTTCTCCACTGGCATTGATGCCTTCAATGATTATTGCGTTAAACATATTGTCAATCCCCTTGCACCCTCTAAGGAGGATATCGTATTATTTGCTACCGAGCTGTCTCGTACGAGGTGTGTGGCGACTGTGCGTGTGTATTTGTCAGCGGTACGGTATTATTTGCTGTGCAAGCGTGTTCCTGTGACTTGTATGCAGTCCGTCCGTCTTTCTGCAGTTCTCAAGGGCCTTGAGAGAGGCAGGGTCCCGCAACCACGACGCGGAGAGGTCTCACTGGGCAAGATCTGGCCGACTTACAGCATTTCCTACTCCGGTCCAACTACAGCGAGTCGGACCGCGCAATGATCTGGGCCAGTGTCTTGACAGCGTTCCACGGCCTCCTGCGGGCGAGTGAGTTCCTGGCACCGCATGCAACAAGAGTCGATAGCACGCGCACGCTAACCTGGCAGCAGATCAGCGTCCAGGCATCATCGGCAGTCGTCCGCTTGCGGGTGACGAAGACAGCCCAGCTGGGTGACGGTGGCCAAGTACAGCTGCGCGAGACGCGCGATGACTTCTGCCCTGTGCGTGCCCTGACCGCCTATCTGGACCTTGCGGGTCAGAGAGAGGCGACGAAGCCAGTGTTTGTGTTTGCGTCTGGCCGGTTTCTGACCAGGGAGGAACTGACCAAGATTCTGTGGCTAGCCCTGAGGACGAACGAGGTCAGCTCTCACTCCATGCGTATCGGTGGCGCTTCACTCATGGCTCAGCGTGGGGCAAGTGAATGGCAAGTAAAGCGGGCGGGCCGCTGGAGAAGCTCTGCATGCGAAAGTTATGTGCGGCAGGCAGCCGAGATGCCTAGCTTGTAAGTTATTGAGCGGCGCTCGCCATGATAACTAGTGTGTGTATGCCTGCACGGGCGCGGTATTATTGTGAGGAATTCGCGGCACCTGCAGCTGTGGTCACAAAGCTAGCTCGTTGTGGGTTGCGGGGAACGGGATGCCATGGTTTCTAGGACTACTATCTTTTTGGGGCAAACGGGCCTCCTATTATGTCTGTATGTTGTGACGCCTGATGCCAGGCAGTCGTGTAAGCCCTTGGTGGGCGATTGGCTGGCCTCGGTGGCCGTTTGTGTGCCCTCGGTGGCAATTTGCGCACCCTCGATGGGTTGTCTGCTGGTTTAGCCCTCGACGGGCGGTTTGCTGGCCGCGGCGGCCATTTGAGCGCCCTCGGTGGGCAGTATACTAGTTTACCCCTCGGCGGGCGGTTTGCTGGCCTCGGCGGCCATGTGTGTGCCCTCGGTGGGCAGTATGCTAGTTTAGCCCTCGGCGGGTGGTTTGCTGGCCTCGGCGGCCATTTGCGCGCCCTCGGTGGGCAGTAGGCTAGTTTAGCCATTCGGGCGCCCTCGGTGGGCAGTATGCTAGTTTAGCCCTTGGCGGGCCGCGGTGGCCATTTGTGCGCCCTTGGCGGGCGGATGCTAGTTTCAGGCATGCATCTTTACTCAATCAATTATTATCAAAGAGCATATTCTTGAATATTTGAATTGTCCAAAAGAAATCATGGCAACCCCCAACCCAATGTGTCTATTGTATGTTTGTGCACGCCATAGTGAGCGGTACGTTGTGCGGGTGTCTGCGTGTCAGAGCATGGGTACACCAGTGGCGTGTGCGTGCATGTGTGCGCTTGCGTCTGTCTGCATGAGTGCACGAGTGCCCAAGCTGGGCGTGCGGGTGCACTTGGAGGTGCTTGCATGTTGACGGGTGCAGGGGCTAACATTTAGTTTGCTTTGATCTTGAATTGATTTTCTTGTTTCGGGACTCCCAAACCTGAATTTACCTTAGGTAACCTACTTGATTCGAAAGGATCCTAATGAAGCGTAAACTTGCGATTTACCAGTTGAATTTTATTTTTTTAAACTTTTACTTCCTTCGACTGACGAATGTTTTCTTGAAAAGCTAATGGTTGAGGTAGCCCAATGGCTAAGCAGCCAGTCAGGTCCAGTAACCCCCCCCCCCCCGTTTACTGGAACAAAAAAATGCAGTAGAACATGGACATGTATGTGTGTGTGTGTCAAAGGGGAGTACTCTGGCGATTAGACAATCTGTCTTACAAATGGCTGTGGGCAGGCTGCATTGAAGGAGACTGTCACAGGTTTCCAGAATGCACAGTAGCCGAACTAGATAGTTGCCATGAGTACTACTCTCTTCATCATCTGGGTGTGAGAAAACGCAGAGCAGACACAAGACTGGAGTTAAGATTTAACATTTTACAGCTTACACTAGAGTCAGCCAGAAAACTCAACGAATATCATGTACACAGCCAAGCAGAAGATAGTCAAATGATTACAAAAAGGTCCCAACTGAAGATTGCCCCAATCACGCTGTCTGCAATTGCAGATTCCATATCGAATACTTCCTTGACATAAACGTCATGCTCACCATCTTGTTTCCAGGAATTGACAAAGAACAGGACTTGATCCACGGAGATCGTATCCATTGTGACACCGTTCAGCAAAGATCTCTGACTCTGAATCTGAAGCAGAAGCACTTGTGCTTGGCTTCGCAGTCGATTATAAAGCTGAAGAAAGACGCCTGTGTCAAGAACATCCAGGGAAGGCAATGCAATTCTTTCATGTCTACAACGTTAGTCAACACAATCAATTCCACAGAAAGTCGTCTTAGACTGCTCAAATTGTGCTACAGCTGCGTATAGAGGAAGGACTTTGAACAGTCGCCTACTTGTGCCAATACGTTTGATGCAGTACAGATTTGTAATAAGACTCCAGTATCTTTGTTCTCGTTCTGTTCTTGTACATTCATGCAGTACATGTATACTTTTAGAGATCCTACTCTGGTTCTGCCCGTACTAGTAGTAGTAGAATCCTAAAGGACGTTTTGGCTCTTCGTTGAGCTCATTTAGTTATTACACACAGACACTCAGTGTCTTTCCACTCGGAAACAATTCTCCTCATACTTCAGTAAGAATCATTATCATTAGTATCAGAGATACTCAAACTCGTGACTGTCCTCCAAGTAGTTATGATGAGGAAGCGTCTACATCATGACGGCTGGGGTAGATATTCCCACCAGCCGTACGCGACGCAGAAAATGCTAGTGTCAGGATAAGGACATCGTGGAGGCGAATAGAGACATACCGTAGAAGTCTCCGGTAAACGAAAGCAATACGACAGGAAAAGAAGAAGACTGTATAACCATAAACGGGACAAGTCATGGCAGTAAGTATAGAACTAGAAAACGAATGGGAACAGGGTTGACTTGACATAGAACGTACATGTAACAATAAATCGTAATGTTGTCCGACGGTAACACACAGTAGCCATAAGTACAAGAGATGCATGCAGCCGTCAAATCAAGAGTCAATGTACAGAGTGAAGACGCATGCAATATCTAACACTCCCTCCGTTGAGGTACAATATCTAACACTCCCTCCGTTGAGATACATAAGGCTGAACGAATGCATGTATTGTAGCTCAACAACGAATACTTATGATATTGCAATCAAAGGTGTAGGATCTTCTTGAGACAACGCTTGACGCATCTCACCATTCTCTCAAAGAACTCGCCCCACCAGGGGGGCTTCTCAAGCAGATGGGGCTTCTCCAGCAGATGGGGCTCCGTGTTGAGGCAGACGTTGATCGACGGGCCCTTGCCTGAGCGGAATGACGCATCGTACACAACACGCACTCTTGTCGTGGTCCTATCTTCTCCACCAACGGCTTGATGTGGCGCATAGTGTATATCTCTCACATCACCAAATTCCGGGTTCTTGACTTCCTCGATATTGCTGAATCGGAAGTTGTCAGGTAGCGTTGCATGGACTTGATTCTCCGTTGTTGGATGTATCCCAAGAGACTCCAGCTCCCAGGATTGTTGAAGCTGCTGATCAAGGACCTGCGCTGTCGTCGTTAAGCTGTGCACCTCAGTAGCGAGGCATGTACCTGTCGTACTAGTTGTTGGGCCTGATGCAGGACCAGACAAGACCCAGCCAAGACGCGTACGGATGGCTGTCGGACCAGAGGCCGTCGTGATCGTCTTGCCCATCATAAATTGCCAGTACTGATCGGCTCCAATCAATAGATCAATTGTGGCTGTGCCGTCGCTGTCGTCTGCCAGTGTGAGGCCTTGTAGCGCACCGCAGCACTGGACTGCTTGTGCAGGGTGCTGGTTCTGGACTGGTGCACAAATTGATTCAATCACGATACACTCCAGCTGCAGGGGGTCTCCCTCCGTACTCTGTACGGTCAGATTCACCACGTCTCTTAAACCGCTGTCCCCAACAGAGCAATCACCGAAGGCATTGACATTCAAGCCTTCCTGCCTGTCTGTCTTTAGGTCCAGCCGCCTTTGCACATCACGTGTCACGAATGAGCGCTGGCTCCCTCCGTCGAACAACAACCTCACAGGGATCCCGTTTTCTCGGACTGGTAAGCCTGGTGCAACTATAGCTTTAGCGGTCTGCAGCAAAACCATATTGTTGTCCTTGCTAGATGATGTCAGAGCGCTGACAGACGACAGGGTAACGCTGCTGGCGGATGGATTGGTAGGTTCCTTCTTGCTTGGAGCCGATGCTGCCCTAGACTGGTTGTTAGCGGCCGGCTTCTTTTCATAGCGCGACGTGGGTGGTGTCACAGGTGATGGCCTGTCAGATGTTGAGTCACACAGGGTAGTGTGGTGTCGACGTTGGCACTTGGCGCATTTCAACTTCGACTGACAGTGACGGATTATGTGGTTCGGTTTCAGACACAGAAAGCACCTTCCGTTGCTCTTAACTATGTCCTTCCGCTTCTCTGTGTTTGTAACGACAGAGCACCTGGCCGTCTCATGACTCTGTCCACAGAACACGCAACTGGCACTTGCCGGGGACGTAAAGGCTGCTAATGCTGCTGCTGTTGGCTGTTCTCTGTAGGTCTGTTTGTTGCGTGTACTGGTCCCCTCAGGCTGTGTGGTGATGCCAGTGAGTGTCTCCTGTGCTGTTGTTCTGTAGTCCGCTTCTCTTAATGCCCAGGCCAGCAGAGTGCATACCGTCTCCGCTTCACCTCTTTCTGTCATCTGGCGGTAGTACTGCGTCAAGAGAGACTGTGGCAGTTTCTTCAGGAGCTGCTGATAGAATGCACCAGCCTGAAGTTCCTGGCTGCGTCCGGCGTCTTCTAGGTGAATGACAGCTACTTGGAGAAGATCAGCGAACTTCTCCAGATCCTGGGCAGCTCGTTCCATTCGTATCACTGGTAGCCGCGCCAGCGCCTCTGTATGCACTGCTGTCTGTCTTCTATCGCCACCAAACTTCTGTTCTAGACGCCTGATTGCTGCGGTGTACGCTGCTGCTGAGTATCCATAAGATTCTATCGCTTTCAATGCTGAGCCCGTCAAACACTGACGTAGTTGCAATAATTTCAGCTCTGGCGATAAATCTTGCTGCTCAACGCAAACCGAGAATGCTGCTTTCCATGTTCTGTATGCTGTTTTATCACCACTAAACGTAGGTATCTTCACTTTCTTCAGGTGTCGGTACACGTCTGTTGGTGCTGCTGTTGACGATGTTGAGCTGGCTGTCATTCCAGACCAACTGGTCTGCGCGGGTTGCTGCTGCTGGTATTGTTGCTGTTGACGCTGCTGCTGCTGCTGCTGCTGTTGTTGTTGTTGTTGCCGCTGCCGCTGTTGCTGCTGTTGCTGTTGCTGTAGTTGTTGCCGCTGCTGCTGCTGTTGTTGTAGCCCAGACAACGGCTGTGGCCTGGGCCTCGGTAGCGGCGTGGAAAACCGCTGCGGCGGTAGCATGCGTGATAACGGCTGCGGCATAGACGACGGCTGCAACGTAGACAAAGGCTGCGATGACTTCGGCACATAGACCGACTGGGACGCGTACAACGGCGGCAACGAGTGCTGCGACACAGGCAACGGCAAAGACTGATCTGCCGACAATGGCGGCAACGACTGCTGCGACACGGGCAGCGACTGCTGCGATACAGGCAGCGACTGCTGCAACACGGGCAGCGTCTGCTGCGACACGGGCAGCGACTGCTGCGACACGGGCAGCGACTGCTGCGACACAGGCAACGGCAAAGACTGAGACGCAGACAACGGCGGCAACGAGTGCTGCGACACGGGCAGCGACTGCTGCGATACAGGCAGCGACTGCTGCAACACGGGCAGCGACTGCTGCGATACAGGCAGCGACTGCTGCAACACGGGCAGCGACTGCTGCGACACAGGCAGCGACAAGTACTGATACGCAGACAACGGTTGTGACATACATGAAGGCAAGGGCTGCGACAAAGACTGCGACACATACAAAGGCTGTGTGTGTGTGTACTGCATGCGTGTGCGCTGTGATTGCATCCTAGACACAGGTTGCGATGCAGTCTCTGGGGTCTGTTTGCCAGGTTGCCACAATGTGTCCATGGAGTTGTTGGTGTGGGCCAATGGTGCTGTCCCAGTGTTGAACTGCTGTGCATTCTCAATCATATACTCGGTGCTTTCTGGAACAATCACTGGCGTAGCAATGTCTGGCACGAAAGCGTTCGCCCACGTTGTATCACTATTTGCAGTTGCACCTTCTACGTCGTTTGGATACTCTTGCCGATCCTTCGTATCTGCCTTTTGATGATGACCATAGCCTTGTAAAGCCGTCTGATCACCAGCGGGTTCGCATAACGGCGCACTCTCGCCCGTTTCGGGAACCTGTGCGTCTGCCTGTGCACGACTCGTGCTGTCTGTTTGCTGCATATGGCCGCTCAGGACAAGGCCTGCAGCTCCTGGTGCGTGATCCGTGTCCTTATCTAGACTCGCTAAGTATGCTTTCACCTTATCGGCATTCCGGGTGTACTGTACACCGCTTATAGAGCTCGCACGTGAACTGTTGTAGTTTGAACAAATTCCGTACATGTACTCACTAACCATAGCCACTGTGTTTGCATACATTTCTTGTGTTGCTACATACTCCTCGAACAAGTCTGGATCCTCCCGCAATGTACTAAGCAAGCAATGTACTTTTAGGTCCAGCTCCACGAGTGACAGTTTGACAGCACTTACAGGTGATCCATTTTCGATATCGTTCAGAACCGCGATTCTTGCTTTGGCGAAGGCGACACTCTGGTCAGCCTTTCTCGACCTCGCATCCATTGAATCCGGCTCGAAGGACCAATTTTAGAGATCCTACTCTGGTTCTGCCCGTACTAGTAGTAGTAGAATCCTAAAGGACGTTTTGGCTCTTCGTTGAGCTCATTTAGTTATTACACACAGACACTCAGTGTCTTTCCACTCGGAAACAATTCTCCTCATACTTCAGTAAGAATCATTATCATTAGTATCAGAGATACTCAAACTCGTGACTGTCCTCCAAGTAGTTATGATGAGGAAGCGTCTACATCATGACGGCTGGGGTAGATATTCCCACCAGCCGTACGCGACGCAGAAAATGCTAGTGTCAGGATAAGGACATCGTGGAGGCGAATAGAGACATACCGTAGAAGTCTCCGGTAAACGAAAGCAATACGACAGGAAAAGAAGAAGACTGTATAACCATAAACGGGACAAGTCATGGCAGTAAGTATAGAACTAGAAAACGAATGGGAACAGGGTTGACTTGACATAGAACGTACATGTAACAATAAATCGTAATGTTGTCCGACGGTAACACACAGTAGCCATAAGTACAAGAGATGCATGCAGCCGTCAAATCAAGAGTCAATGTACAGAGTGAAGACGCATGCAATATCTAACATATACTGTGTATTCAATGCAACGTGAAAAAGACACTAGTGTCACCAAGTCTTTGCTTCCAGCAAGGCACATTAAAAAATATGTATGCCTGGTTGCTCGTCAGCAGCTCGTCCTTCAGCACTTCATGTTACTGTAGTTGCTGTACAGTTTATGTGCATGCGCAGCTGACATGCCATGAAGGCAACTTTGAACCTGTGGCTTGCTAACGCACGATGCTGAGCAAGGAATAACAACACAAGCGTATTATAATCAAAATCATATCATCAAGATTTACCTTCCATCCTGACATACTTGATACTACGGGCCACCGACGGCCCCTTGCTGTTCGTGGTAGCACCGGTGACCTTGGCAGCAGAATGTCTCAACTCGTCACTGTCATGGGAAGGTACCGCTCGTAGCGTGGACCCGGCGCTCTTGGAAGCATCGACTTTCGAGTGAGTGCCGGCTTGTGAGCTGCAGACCTGCTCACTGCTGGTGGATACATCAGGAACATCTCGCAGAAGGAGAAAGTTGTCTAAACTAGCCCCGGGCTGAATTGGCAGCATGGGGAAATTGCTTGCCTGACTGCCACTATCATAATCGCGTGGAGCTTCTGATGTAGGCAGGTGCCGTTCTGAATGGCTGGTTGTGGATTGGTATACTGGTTTGCCTGTACTGCAGCCTGTACTGATCCTGCCAAGGTGCCCGTCACCAGCAACTTGAAGGGAAACAAGAGACACACAGGGGTGAACACGAGAGGCAGTCAAAAGCAAAAACTAGAACCAGCAGTGTATTTCTAACCAATTATATACAGTACTCCACCAGAACGTCCTGGTAAATCAACTGAAGGGCATATCGTAGAAAAGGTACATGTAGTCGTGAGCGGAGCTCATGGCAGAATGAAATAAGAAAAGGTGGACTTTGCCCGGCAACGCCTAGATAGGCCAGGCACACACACACACACACACACACACACACACACACACAACACACACAGCGAGGCTGCGTGCTCAGCTTGTGGCCTGGCCAAATTTACGGACAATTGTAGAGATGGGCAACAGCGCTAGCTAAAACATGTCTTAGAGTGAAATATAAAAAAATTCCAGAAAATTGTCACTTTGCTCGCCAGCTGTTTGAACTAAACCGCCTAAAAAGATTAACAACAAATGTCGACAAGATGCTATCGCCACCAGTTGATGAATGAAGCACAGCGTGAACGCGCTCGAAAGAAACAATTCTTCATTCCGTCATGTCTTACAAAACCCCGAAGACATGTTTTAGCTGACTGCGGCCGATATGGCATCAAATTTGGAGACTTGTTTTGGTGAACTGTCTTCGTGCAAAGGAGCATTCTTTGCAGTTGCAGTTTGTTTGTCAAGGCGCAGTTTTCGTCTTTCCACAATTTTTTCCTTTCTCCCATTCCAGTATGAGCAATCGTCGGGTATCAACCCGCAGCATGGGTGCTCGAGCAGCTCCTGCCATAGCACCCCCAGCTCCCCGGCCAAGCCGGCCTCGGCATCTGGCTTTTCGAGTGCTCAACAGGCTACCCTTCAGGGACTGACCGCCCTGTCAGTCCAGGCGGCTGTCAAGGCCGTCGCCCCTGCAGCCATAGGTCCGGCGGAGTCAGCATCCCGTCCATCCTGCACAGCTGCCTCAGCCACCGTTTCCAGTCCCCGGGTCCACATGAAGGAGTTGTCGCCGACAGGTACGGGTGTGAGTAGTAGATCTACACGTGTGCCTACTAGCTTCCTTACCCCTGTAACTGTGTCAAGTGTTGTTGTCGTGCCTTCCTTTCCTAGTGGGGTGGCAAGCTCTAGTACTGGTGTGAATAACCCCAATCAGGTACCATATCCTCTCCCGGTGAGGTAGCTAATGGTAATCCTGGTGTGAATAGCCCCAGCCTTCTTGCTTGCAGTGTGCATAATCCTAATGCTGTAGCTATCTCTAGCAATCTTGCATCTCTCAGCGCCTACAGGCACCAGTATCAACGATGGCATCCACGACAAGCAGTACAGTCTCTAGTACATCACAGTGGACGTCATTGTGGCTCATGTCTTTGTCATGCCAAGGGCGTGCTGATGTACAAGGTCTACATCCGCCACACGTTCCGCAACGTCCTGGTCCACCCACTTGACTGGCCGTTACTGGGCATGGCTTGGGATGGGCAATACTATTTTGACAAAGTGCTGCCATTCGGGCTACGGTCTTGGCACCGAAACCCGATCGAACAGAGCCTCAGGACCGGTTGAGTGCTCGTGTGGAACTGCAGGAGGCAGTCGAGTGAATTTTAGTATTTGTAGTGTTTGTGGTGTTGGTTTGAGCTACACCAGTGCAGTGGCAGTGTAACCATGGCATCCATAAAAATGGATGGTTACTTGAGAGCGTTTAAAGGAAAAGGCGAGGACTTCCAGTTGTTTTGGAGGAAGTTTTTGGTTCTGTGCTGACTACAGAAACTGTCGACTGAAACTGACCGCATGGCATCGTTGCCATTGTTTTTGGATGGTGATGCCTTCCACCTGTATGAGCAGTTGTCTGATACTGACAAGGCCAGTGAATCAGCAGTACAGAAGGCCCTGGAGTCTGCTTAGACCATGCCCCCGACGGATGCGTTCCGACAATTTAAAGCGCGGACACTCCGGGACGATGAGCCTGCGGATACTTACGTCACCAACCTGAAGCACTTATTGGCGCTGTCCGGTCACAAATGTGCCGATGACAAAGATATGGTGTTGCTCGAGCAATTGTTGGATGGCCTGACCTTGGATTATGGACGTCAGGTGCGCATGGCGAGCACGGAGTCAGGCCTGACTGTCACTAAGTGCGTCGCCAAAGTCCGTGCTCTACGATCTACGGACGACTCCTGCCGCAAGCGTGCCAGTGCATCGGGAGCTGTTGCCGCTGCTGCTCCGGAATTTCGCCAGTCCAGTGTTTTGTGCTTCAACTGCAATGAGGTGGGACACGTCCAGCGCAACTGTCCGCACCGCCGGTACCAGAAGGGCGGACGGCAGAAGAGGGGCAGTGAGAAGCAGCGCCATCCGTTCAAGGAGCAGAGACCGCTTATGTGCTTCTTTTGTGATCAAGAGGGCCATATGAAGAGGGACTGTTGGTTGCGCCGCAAGTTCCTCGCCTCTTTGACTCAGTCATCGGCAGCAGCTGCAGAGCCAGTGCAGTCTGAGAGGTGCCTGTGCATGGCGAATTTGGCACGGCCAGGATTGCCAAAGGTGTTTGTCGATGTGTCCTGTGACACTGCATCGGGAGTCCGTGTACGGTCCGTCATAGACACTGGTTCTACCCGGACGTTGGTGACCTCAGCACTGGTCGACCAGCTCGGGACTCCAGTGACGGCCCACACAGGCCAACCAGTGGTGGCGCTGGATGGCCAACCTTTGCGTATCCTGGGCAGTGCGCAGTTGAAGTTCGTCCGGGAAGATGTTTCTGTCAGAATCCCCGCTGTCGCCATGGAGGTTCTTGTCGTTCCAAGTCTGTCTGTGGTCGGCACTGATGTTCTGCTCGGGTCTGACACTATTGCGCAGTGTGGGGGTCTGCACTTGCGCTACGATGACGATGGCAGCTTGTGCTGCGTGACGCTCGGCCAGCATGCCGACGTGACAGCTAGTGTGGCCGACGTTCCACTGCGGCATGTCAGCTGTCAGACCGACGGAGACGACATCATCCTGACGTCCGACGATGGGTCAGTACGTTGGGACGCCACGCAGCGTTGCTGGACCCTCAACTGGCAGTGGCGAGATTGCGAGCCACCACATGCACCAGTCGGCCACGGGATCGGCGAGTATTCCCGCTCCAAACTGACAGACGAGGAAGAGCGCAAGTTTAGTGCAGAGATCCAGGGCTGGATCGATGCTGGGTGGATGGTGCCTCACAACGAGGCTATTCATGGTGCTCCGGAATGCGTCTTGCCGTTGTTGGCAGTCAGCCAGCCGCACAAGGCCAGCACACCTGTCCGTCCGTGTCTGGACTACCGGCTACTGAACGAACGACTGATATCAAGTCCTGGTCAAGACGCCCCAGCATGTGCCGAGACGCTGCGGTCGTGGCGCGTCAAGGGCCCTGATGGTTATGTCCTGGTTGACCTGAAGAAGGCATACGTTCAAGTTCGTGTTCACCCTGATCTGCTGCGCTACCAGATCGTGGCATGGCGAGGTCGCTCTTACGTCATGACCCGGATGGGATTCGGCCTGAACATTGCGCCGAAATTTATGGACATCATTGTGCGCTAGGTGACTTGAGAGTTTGATGATGTCAACAACTATATTGACGACGTTCGTGTACCTGTTGCCCTGACAGTGACGGTGACTGCGCGCCTGGCTAGCTATGGGCTGGAGACCAAGCCTGCGGAACCAATGCCTACCTCTTGTGTTCTCGGCTTGCAGTTGTCAACTCCGCCAGATGGCCGTACTGAGTGGCGCCGTCGTGGCGGAGTCAAGACAGCGTTTGATGAGCCACTCACAAAGCGCAAGGTGTTCCAGTGGTGTGGGCGTCTCACCAGCCAATACCCTGTCGTTGGTTGGCTGCGGCCCGCGTGCAGTATGGCGAAGCGTTTGGCATGCCTAGAGAGTTGCGGCTGGGATGACACAGTGTCACCTGAGTTGCTGCAGATATGTGTTGACCTGCAGCAAAGGCTCCACAATCATGATCCGGTGAGTGGTGTATGGCATGCAGATCTGACCAGTTCTGCTACTGTGTGGTGCGATGCTTCGGACCTTGCCCTCGGTGCGTCGTTGGAGATCGGGGGTAACGTGGCTGAAGATGGCACGTGGATGCGCCAAGTCAGCGATCGTCGCCACATCAACGTGGCTGAGTTGGACGCTGCCATCAAGGGCGTCAAGCTTGCAGTGTCATGGAATGTGCGGGATTTGCTGGTCAAACCCGACTCCAAGACAGTCGCCGCATGGTTGGACCAAGTGTTCACCAATGCCCAGCGAGTGCGGACCAAGGGATTGAATGATGTTCTCATTCAACGGCGTCTCCAGGTCCTTGCTGATCTACTCGATGTAACTGGTGTACGTGCACGAATCGAGTGGGTGCCCAGTGCAGAGAACCGTGCCGACGTTCTCACCCGTGTTCCGGACCTGTGGAACCAGCGTGCCAAGTTGTTCTTGCAGCGTGCTGAGCAGCCGCCTGATGTTCCTGAGCCTTAATGTAAAACAAACAAGTCTTGTCCTTTGTGTCCTGCGTCCCGGGGAACGGAATGGCTGTGATTCCGTAACAGTCTTCACCGGCTCTCTTCAATCAGCTGGCAAATGCCCTGTGTTGGATACTCCGCCACAATTAATCCCTGGACGAAACGCCCAGTGCATGCCCTGACCACTTATATGGACCTCGTGGGCCAGAGAGAGAGAGAGAGAGAGAGAGAGAGAGAGAGAGAGAGAGAGAGAGAGAGAGAGAGAGAGAGAGAGAGAGAGAGAGAGAGAGAGAGAGAGAGAGAGAGAGAGAGAGAGAGAGAGAGAGAGAGAGAGAGAGAGAGAGAGAGAGAGAGAGAGAGAGAGGGAGGGAGGGAGGGAGGGAGGGAGGGAGGGAGGGAGGGAGGGAGGGAGGGAGGGAGGGAGGGAGGGAGGGAGGGAGGGAGGGAGGGAGGGAGGGAGGGAGGGAGGGAGGGAGGGAGGGAGGGAGGGAGGGAGGGAGAGAGAGAGAGAGAGAGAGAGAGAGAGAGAGAGAGAGAGAGAGAGAGAGAGAGAGAGAGAGAGAGAGAGAGAGAGAGAGAGAGAGAGAGAGAGAGAGAGAGAGAGAGAGAGAGAGAGAGAGAGAGAGAGAGAGGGGAGAGAGAGAGAGGGAGAGGGAGAGAGAGAGAGAGAGAGAGAGAGAGAAAGAGAGGGGGGGGGGGGGCTAGAGCCTGCGTTCATGTTTGTGTCCGGTCGGTTCCTGACTAGGTGACCAAGACGGCTAGCCCTGAGAGCGCATGATGTTAGCTCTCATTCCATGAGCATACGTGGTGCATCACTCATGGCTTTTATTACCGGCATCCTATGGTACCCATGGCTTCACACCCGCAAAACCACAAACCTGCACAGCTTACCACACACTTTAGCACGCACAAGCAGACAATGGACATACTGGATTGGGGGTTGCCATGCAGAAAATTATGGCAACCCCCAATCCAATATGTCCATTGTCTGCTTGTGCATGCTAAAGTGTGTGGTAAGCTGCGCAGGTGTGTGGCTGTGCGGGTGTGATGCCATGCTAGTTGTTTGTGCGTGCGTGCACGTGGGTGGGTGTACGTGCACGTCCGATTAGATCAGCAGGTGTAGGTGTGCGGGTGCACCTGGAGGTGCTTTCATGCTCCCGGGTGCTTGTGCTAAGGAGTTTTTAATAAAAGATGTGCCAGAACAATCCAGGACTACTATAGTGTACCATGCAAGCCATACAAACACCATAATATTATTGTGTAGTACTTTTAATAGCTGGTGCAGAACCTCTTTGTCGAGAAAAATGTTTTGAACACCTTCATACCCCTGGTCAGCGCCATGCCCTTTGAAGCCTTGGAATTCTTACCATAGGATGCCGGTAATACGGCTTTCTCGGTGTCATACAGTTGTTGCAAGGCAGTTTCCATCCTTTTCTGTAGCTTTGCATGCACTTTGTCTGCTTGCCAGTCCACATAACCTCCTGAAACGGATTCTGTCTTCAATTGACAGGCCTTCATTTCCTCAATGCACCCTGCCAATGGATCCCAGGTGAGCTGCAGGTCAGCTTCACTGCTTATTCTCCATTCTTCAATTGGAAAGCACTGACGCAGTTCATCCAACGCTGACCTTCGTTGCAAGAGCAGGTTGCAGCTCACCACTGGTACTGGACGAAAACAAAGAATCAAAGTAAATACACTTGGGAGTAGTATTCGGCTGACCAGAAGTGTACAGTAACCTACACATGCGCACAAGCACACAAGCACACACACACACACGCACACACACAAGCGCACCCTCTCTCTCCCCCTTGTTCATGATAATTTCTGTCCTGGCCATGGCTTGTCTCCAGGGCAGAGTGATAGAGATCCTTTGCATGCTTGTCTCCAAGTAACGTACAATACGAATCTGGTGTTTGTTCTAACAATCCACCCTCGCCAGGCTTCTATTCACTTTTACATGCAAGACTTGAACTTCCTTTACCTGTCAGCATATGGACACTTTCCTCATCAAATCTGCTGTTCGCTTCAATAAGTCCTCGCTCTGCTATTAGCTTGCTCTCTGGACTCAAGATCATCCTTCAATGGCAGTGAGATGTGGAGAGTGAATAACACCAGAACAACACAATGAGCACATGGGTAGGAGGCACCAGTTACCAGACGAAATGAATGTATCCTGTTAAATGATAGCTTGCATAGACCCCTGTCAGGACCATCATACACAGACATGCTGTGCGGCCTCTGTTCTAACATTGAGCTTAAAAAAACCTTCCCTAACTAAGCTGTAGCTAAGGGGCTAATGAAGCAGTCCACAAATATGCGACAAACTTACAGTTTTCCTTTTCAGTTGCCAATATCATCTCTCTAGAAATAGGCCCCTCCGAAATGCAATCAGTAAACGAGGTACATACAGTCAACTTCGCTTATAACGACACTCGGCGGGGCATCAAAAAAGTGTCCTTATTCGCGAAGTGTCGTCATACCCGAAGTCTCATTGTATTTATTACGGTTAGAAGGGAGTTTGCTCTGGGCATGGAAATGCTGTCGTTATTCGCGAATTGTCGTTATATCCGCTGTCGTTATTAGCGAAGTTGACTGTACCGTATTTCCGCAAATAAGAGGCCGTCCTCGTATACATCGCCTTCCTCGTATACAAGGCCGGGGCAGGGGGCGATTGAAAAAATAAAAGACCGTCTCCGATTAGAAGACCGGGCCTACTAAATGAGTCTTTGTTCTTGTGTTAAAAACAGAAGACCGTGCTCAAACTGTGGGGAAAAATAGAAGACCGTGCTCAAACTGTGTAGAAGAAAATGGAAGAACGGGGGTAAAACTGTGTGGCGAGAAATAGAAGACCGGGGTCAAACTGGGTTGAAAGAATAAAAGACCGTCCTCGAATACAAGACCGTCCTCGATTATAAGGCCGGGTTAGGACGAATGAAGTCGAAGACACCACTGCAGCTGTACTTATGGTTGATAAATATGGTGGTAAAGACACACCTGGCAATATGGCGGTAAACACACGCCTGCCCACACACGCTCTCTAGGACGAGGTTGAAAAAATAGTAGACCGGCCTACTATTTGTGGAAATACGGTACATGTGGTACCCAAAGAGGCAAAGAGGTGTGTGAGATATTGCATACGATCACCAGACAGCCTCGTTCTCTAGTCACTCTCTCTCTCTCTCTCTATCTCTCTCTATCTCTCTCTCTCTCTCTCTCTCTCTCTCTCTCTCTCTCTCTCTCTTTTGATCTTCCTTTCTCCATTCTTGATTATCACCAACTCCTCTCTTGCATTTACCTGAGTTTACAGCCTTCTCCTTGTACCTTCTTGTTTTCCCGCACTATCTCTTTTCGCCGTACACTGGCTACGTTGCTGGCGATCCGCCGTGGCAACGCTCGTACCTTGATTCGCTGGCCGCATGTTTCACTACCTTGTTCTTTTGAGTTTTCTCCATCGAGACAAGAGAGAAATATTTCCTTACAATAATGAATCTTTGAGTCTGATTCTAGAAATTGTAAATTGGTCCTTCGAGTCAGATGTAAATTGGTTCTTCGAGCCTCTCAGACGATGGCTGACACAGTGAAGCTGAAGCTCGCCAAGGCGAAGGCGAATGCAACCTTCACGAACCTTCGCCGCGGACTACTCGTCGCCATCGACGAACCAGATGTAGATAAAGACAAGATCAAGTACAATCTTGTTTTACTTGAGAACGGCATGAACGCCGTGATGGAGATCATCATCGAGTTATCCAGTACATGTAGTAGTACCAGTCAGGACAGTGTGTTGCTTGATAGTCTCTGCAGGGATGCTGATGATCTGGAAAAGCAGTATACGGATGCTGCCACTCGTGCGAGTACAGTTTTGGCTAGCATGAGCAGTTACAATAGTACGTGCACCAGCGAGGCGACGGGTGTACAGTACTCACGCAACCCTGATCGAGTACGAGAGTATTTGGAGTCTGTGTCTGCGGCGAGGACAGTGCGTACTGCACAGGATCAGTTGCAGTTGCGAATGCAACAGGAATCCACACACATGCAGAGTAGCACCACATGTAGTGCGAGTGACAGAGTGTCTTTGGGTGCACCTACAGCTACTCTGTCCCGTAGATCAAGAACGCAGAGCCAGGCCGTCCCGTCGTACGAGTACCATGAGTACGTCGTTGACCAAGGTCCGCCCGACATACATGTTAACGGGGACCCATATGCAGCGCTCACAGATGACCCCGAGGTCAAGCCTCCACGTGGGCTGATGGCCACAGCTACAGAGAGCCTTTCAAATCCGAGTTCAACATCACCGGCTCAGCCGCTGTGCACGGAGTTTTCAAACTCCCTGACGCAGCAGTCGTACGCAGAGTTTTTGAGCTCCCTGGCTTCGCAGCAGCCGCCGTGCACAGAGTTTTCAAACTCTCGGCCGCAGCCATCGTACACGGCGTCTTCGAGCTCTCCGGCTTCGCAGCAGCCGCTGTACACAGAGCTCTCAGGCAGCAGCCGCTGTACACAGCGTTTTCAAGTACTGTAAAACGACAAACTTTCGCGGCGGCTAAATTTAGCGTTTTGGCAAACTGGACCAGTTAGCGGCGATTAATTTTAGCGATTTTACCTTCCACTGAAAATCTTCAAGAATGTTATTTTACGAAGTCTTGGAGTGCTGGGACGCAGAGCGCACGAAGAATGAGAGAAGAAATCAAAGAATGAAAGAATGAATCAAGGAATCAAGGATAATCATAAGGTGAGTACTAGTACTGCAAGAAAGGATGGCGTTTTCGAAGAGGGATCATCGGAAGGCTTTCTCTTCGAACTGCTGAGCCACTGCGATACTAATGGCGATAAACTTCAGAAGACTTCTTCGCGCAGTACAACACTAAAATCTACGCAACAGCAAGCTGGCCAAACACTCTCCACAACACTGAGACATTCTCCAGTCGATCGTTTTATTCTCTTCTACAATTCTGTTCAAGTCGCCGTACTCCAACGACAACTTGGAAGACTAGTGTTGGTACGTAACTTTCAACAGCTGCGCGCTTTGGACTTTAGCCGTGCAAGCATCGATCAGCGCTAGTCCAGAGTCTGTGCAGTGCATGTACAGACAGTGCACGATCGATCATCGACGCATCGCGTAGTACATGATTGTACAAATTTCTTATTCGCGTGTCAAACTTTCGCGATTCGGCTCTGCTCGCGAAAGTCGCGAAAGTAAATCGCTCGCGAAAGTTTGTCGTTTTACAGTAGTTCTGTGCAGCAGCCGTCCTACTCTGCGCCACAGCAGTCGTCAACGCAGGTGCAGCAGCCGTCCTACTCGGCGCCACGACAGTCGTCAACGCAGGTCAGGCAGCAAACAAACAAGCAAAGCAGACTCACCACTATCCTGCTGCAATGGAATTTCTACGATGTTCGACACTCAAACAAGCACAGCTCATAGAGTTTGATAGCAGATCAAGTGAGTCAGCTCTGCCGGACCAGGCTAATTGTGTAAAAGTAAGAAATCACTTACATGGGTGCCTTGCCTGTCTCAACGCCCGCAAGAGGCTTGAGATATGGCTGACAGACAACACGTGCCATTTCCAAGCAGCTGATAGACCCTACTTGTCCACACCTTGCGACGTTGCCATCTGGGGACATGGGCTCTTCAAACATCTGCATCCTGTTGTGAATGGCATCCGAGTCATCAATGAGAGCTGTTATATGGAAAATAGAAAAGCATGACATCACCAAAGTACTATAATTGATAACATGCTAAGAAAGGTTTTGCGTGTGTGTGTGTGGTGCAGTGGTATGTGCAGCGATTTCCAATCGATAGATTGCGGGTTCGATTCCCGACAATTATGGTCACACACGTCTTTCTTCTCTTTCTCAGACTCTTCCTGACTTTTCTTTCATTCTCCTGGGTGGTTACCAACAGCCAGTGCATGCCGGAGTATGTGGTGTGATGTGTCTGCGGGGAAAAAATGAAATGAAAAGACCAAAAATAGGAATTCACTGGCCAGAAAAAGTCACTCCAAATAGCTGTATGGTGTAGACCAAGCTGAATAGCGACGGTCAATTCTTCAGCCTTGCAAGCTGTTAAATGGTGCAATCCCAGCACAAGTTGCTATGGCTTCTGCCGTAGCATTGCTATCATCGCCTCCGGCGATGGGAGTCAAAGGTCAGGTCAGGTCAGGTCAGGTGTGTGTGTGTGTGTGTGTGTGTGTGTGCGTGCGTGCGTGCGTGCGTGCGTGCGTGCGTGCGTGTGCTCCTGTGCTGTTCAACCTGTATTTCGGATTGGTGATGGAGCGGTGGGGGTCTGTTCTCAGGGAGCGCGGCATCGAGTCTGGTGTGGATTTCAGCTTCTTGATTGATGGGCAGTTGTTTCCCTGTGCAGCTGGGCGACGTCGACAGTGTCAGACTGGTCATGCTGATGATTTTGAGTTTGCAGATGACGCCGTCCTACTCGCAACAACTCGTGCTGCAGCCGACCTCTCCCTATCCGCCTTCTGCGATTTGGCATCCAGCTTTGGCCTCACGGTCAGCATGACGAAGACTAAGCTACTGGTCGCGGGCTATGGAGTCGCTGCCACTGATTGTTCCGATCTGACAGTTGGCAATGAAAGGGTTGAAGCTCGTTACCTCCTTCCCCTATCTTGGATCTGTTATAACTCTGGATTCGCAAGCTCATGCCGATGTCCAGAGCCGCCTTGCGAAGGGTGCCAGGGCCTTTGGCTGTCTTCGGCGGATTTTACATGATCAGAGCCTGAACCTGCCTACTCGACGGCATTTGTACGTGGTATGTGTTCTCACCACGGTTTTGTATGGCTCGGAATGTTGGACCCCATTGAAGTCGGATTTGGACAAGCTGGACAGGTTCCATCACGCCAACCTACGGTCAATCCTTGACATTTCGCGCGGCCGCCAGTGGGAGCAAAACATTACATCGGAGCAACTACGCACACAGTGGGGTGACCCTACTCTACTGTCGTGGATGGTACAGCGAAGACGCTTGGAGTGGCTTGGGCACTTAGCTCGGCTTGATGACAATCGGTTACCCAAGCAGTTGCTCTTCGCTCATCTCCCACGAACCCGCCCGTTTTGCGGCCCCCGACATCGCTAGAAGGACGTTGTCCAGGCTGATCTGACTGTGGCCGGTGTGCACAATTGGTTCCAATCGGCCAACGATCGCGGAGAGTGGTGTGATATTGTGTCGGCAGCAGCGGGGGTGAAGGAGCCTGCCCCGAAGACGATTGTGTGCCACGTTTGCGGCCGCCTGTTTCGTCGTCGCGCTGACATGGCCCGGCACAAGTGCACAGCAGTCCGACAGCTCCCCGTACCACATCGGCCTGGGTCAGTGCAGTGTCCTGCCTGCGGTAGATGGCTCCGGAGCAGGGGTGGGCTTGCAGTGCATAAGTGCCAAGAGAGTGACAACTGTGACGCCCGACCGCCTAGTGATGCTCCTCCTGTTGCCGAGGGTCCCGGTGTGTACAGCCTGCCAGCGTACTTTCAAGTCTACTGCTGGCCTCAAGCGCCATCGCTGTGGACCCCGCCCGTAGCGCCCTACAGTGACTGATCGCCAGCACTTTGAACATTGTTGCCGAGTCTGTAATGAACGCCAGTTTCGGAGGCGACAGGACCTGGAGCGCCATTTGAAGCACTGCCTACCTCTCCCCTAACCTCTCTGATAGTACCTCCCTTCGGGGAGCAGCGTGGCCATTTCTGGCAGCTGTCAATAGTAGTAGTAGTAGCAGCAGCAGCAGCAGCAGCAGCAGCAGCAGCAGCAGCAGCAGCAGCAGCAGCAGCAGCAGCAGCAGCAGCAGCAGCAGCAGCAGCAGCAGCAGCAGCAGCAGCAGCAGCAGCAGCAGCAGCAGCAGCAGCAGCAGCAGCAGCAGTAGTAGTAGTGTGTGTGTGCATGTGTGTCTGCATGCGGGGTGGTGGTGGTGGTGGGGGGGCATGATTCTGGTTCGGAAATGTCTGAGTTTTTACGACAAGTAGATGTCAGACGTTGATATTGAAAAGAAATGGCTCCACTGCGAGAAAGATGTAAGTGCAGCAGTTAATTCTCCGGGTCATAATTCTGGTCTCCTTTGCACAATTTCTGCAATCTTGGGCTTCCTGGAAAGCTTGTTGCAATAGGAACACATGAGGCAAACAGTTGCTACCACGAGGGTCAAAACATCAGTGCCACAGCCCAGCACCTTAGTTGCAACGCCAATATTCTGACAAAAGTCGCCTGATCTCCACCATTCCACTCTCCTTGCTCGTATGACTTCAATTTTTAGACTGCCACGAGGCCGTTTGCCATGTTGAAAACTTTCCACATCACTTCAAGGCTAGGTAGGTGGGGAAATTTCTCACTCAAATCGGCTATGGAGCGACATTCCCCTTGACTCGACTTTCCAGCTTCATAACTCTGGAACTGAGCATCGGAACGCTGTAGCAAGTTTCAATGGACAGGTTGGCACTTTCTCTTCAACCTGCATATTTTAGTTTTTTGAAAACAGCAACTGCAGAGTGGTTTAGTTTAGGGTGCAAACAACTGACCTTCATCAGTACAGATATATTTGCTATCACTCTTGCTGTCGACACGTGCTTCTGGACTCAGCACTGAAACACAAGAGGGCATACATTACAGCGCATAAAATCACCAAAACGAAGTCCCAAAGGTCAAGAGTTCACCAAGGTCAATCTGGAAGGACGGCAGATGAAGAGCCCTGCGAGGAAATGGCAGTGAGAGGTACTGCATTACCATAGCCAGATTATGTCAATGTGATGTTCTCTGTGCTGATGAGGCTCAAAGGCAATGACTGTACATGTATATTGCGCTCTCCCAAGCTTCAAGGTACTTATCATGCTGTGTACTTTCTAACCTGCAACTGGTACTTTGTACTTTTCATAGAATTTACTTCCTCCGCGTCATTAAAATTGTCGCTTCCCAGAGCGATTTTTCGAATTTATTTTGTCCACTCGAAGGGCAAAGAAATCAGCTAGAAATTGAGGCAGAGCATTGTCGACAGACCAAAATTTAGTTTGGGGCCTCCCGCTTCGCGGCACTTGCAGGTAAGGTCGACGTCTTCATCAGAGTTTGAGGCAGACCCTTCAGCACTCAACAATACGCTGAGCAAGACGCACGTTCAAATTCAGGTCAAGAAACTTAGTTTTCAAGCGATCCATGCCTCCAGGTGGCAGGCGATGAAGGCAAGCTAGTATTTTTCAAGTACACTGTAACGACCTTCCAGCGGGATAGGGTAAGCAGTTCCACACCTTCTTTTCTTGGCAAGCGCTTCTCTGATTTTGTTGGTGTTTTCAGACCTGCTACCTTCGCAGCAACATGGGCCACAAGTAGCGCATTTTAGGAATTTGAGAACACTTTCTTCTTGCCATCGTCAACTTCAGCATTTCGTATTCAGGAGAGATGCCCGGATTCTATAGCCGAGCTTTCAGTCTTGATAAATGCCCACGCGAACGATGTGGGACGGCACAAACTCCAGAAAAACGATATGCGCTCTGGGGTGGAATAGTGTGGAGCGCGATGAATTTGCTTGGTGCGGAAGAGAGCTCCGACAAAGTCCGAGACCACCACGGCTTCAGTAACAAGTAGACATTGCGCAGGAAGGGTCGCACCAATGTTCGAACACAGAAAACAGCGATTCCGACAGTCTGACTAAGACGAGCCAAGATTGCGTTGTGCGAATGATGCGGAGGAAGTAGACCTCGCCCTATTTCCTCTACCGACGTGATCTACATGTATAACATGCCAGATTCATGTTTACTGAAAGTACAGTTATCTCGTTGTGATACAGTCAGACCTCGCTTATCCGGTCCTCTTTTATCCGGATCCCTCGCCATCCGGAAGAAAATAGCTGGTTACATATTTACAGCATACGCAATGCATCCTACATAACCGGTGTTCGGTTATCCGGTTCCCTCGCCTATCCGGACATTTTTGTGGAAAACGGATGTGTGCGGTTAAGCGAGGTCTGACTGTAGTTTAGTCCCCATGAAGAAAAGTGGTTGCCTTGTGTGACAGGCTGGGACAGTTCTGCCAAAAAGTGTGACTTCCTGACCGAATCGAAGTGACTTGTTCTCACAGAAATCGGAGGAGATAGGATAGCAGAAGACAATAGCAATATCGGAACATGATCGGACATCAAAGCAAAGGCAGAAGTACTGCACTACGCAGCCAGAAACTTCTGCCAGTGATGCCCTCAACATTGGACGCACTCCAGTCAAATTTAGCTGAAAATAGCACACATGTGATGCTATCATATGTCGAGTAAAGTTGTCGTAGCTCAGGATCCAATGTGGACAGAGCAGCAGCGAGCAAGGGCAAGCATGAGAACAACTTAATCTCTAGTATGCGTAGAGAGCTTGCTGGAGTGCCTGGAATGCTGCAAGCTATGTATGAACGGTTCAGCCATAGTGGGAAGATTATGTACCTTATAGTCATGTTTGAGCAACAACCATCTCTGCACATCCCAGTTACCCCAAAGCAGTCAATATCAATCTTCTGAAGCTATGAAGTGAATCACTCTTGAGACACCTTTTGAAATCAAGCATATTGTACAACTTTGTGCACACAATGTCGGCTGAATCACGACAGCGCAAGAATACTTTTTTTAATTACCTTCTGGACCACCAGAAAACTTGACAAGTTCCTCGAGTTCTTCTGTACAGCTGCTTGACTCAAGGCCGCTGTCACTTTGTAACTGCAGCTGCTTCATCACATCACTACACGATCGGCTGTTCAATGGAGGCGAAGCAGAGTGGTCTATGGTTGGTACAGTGAGGTCCATCACCGTGTCGATAGCATCATCCTGAGGAGAGTACCATAATTATAGGGAACACGTCAGAACTACAGTGGCGCTATGAGATAGCGCCACTGAGCATGAACTTGATCTAAGTCATAGCAATACACAGTCGTGGATGTGTATGACTACGCCATGACAAGTACTGTGAGATTTTTTCCATCGTATATTCAAGGACTGTTAGAACCTTTGTTTGTTTAGATTAGAAGGATTCTTCAGCCATTTAGAACATTTGTCAGCCATATTTTGAACTAATGAATCTATGGACATTTGAATCGAAACAGATCTGGCTGAATCTACAAGTAGAACAACTCTAACTGGCCACAACCAAGAGTACATGCCCCCCCCCCCCCACACACACACCGAACCCATGTGTACTCTTGCTACAACTGCACACAGTCACAGGTGACTCCCATGCAGCTGCACACATGCAAGTTCCCATAGCAACCACAGACATGCAAGTTCCCATAGCAACTGCACACAGGTAAATTCCTGCAGCACCAACATGAAGAAAGTAACAGGTGTGGTTTGACTACACATGAGGAGCACAGTACAGAAGGGGAGGGACTCCAGGCCAATACGTCAAGCATCTTGAAAAAGAATATAGTTACAGAACATTCATTATGCCACAGACACAGTTAGAGGCTGTGTTTGGCTGTGCACCTGAATGACGGGTGCCATGCACTAGTACTATACTCGAGCGGTTGTTGGCATTATAATTATTTAAAATCGCAAGGCAAATGGGCATGTAAACCCCAGTAATTACCATGGTAGTGTATGTGCATAAGTCAGTGCGCTGCCATTAGTGCGCATCATAGCTTTGCAGTTTTCAATTTTGACGACCGTTATTTCACATTAGTTAGTCAGCTTTACGTACACACATTTATGGCATCTACGACAGTAATGTCGCGCACCAAAGAACAGGATGCCAAGGAATGGGGAGGCTGGAATCTTCCTTTGCTTCTTTATTCCAGTTCTTTGATGCTGGCCCACAGTAGGAACAGACATTCCAGGTCGAACGACCAACAGTACATAACTGAAGCGCGAACCCACCTCTTCATACAGAATCTCATGTTCAATGTCGTCCAGAACACAGCTGTCTCGTTGTAGGGTGCACAATGCTAAGGTATCAAGAGCACCATCATCTGCACAAATGTCACGTGATGTGCTGCAGTAGACGATTGGCAGTGGACATGCACGTGATAGTGAGATGAAGCACTGTGCCATACATTTAACTTAACCAATCAACATCTAATTGACTCTACTATACGTCTACGAATATTCAAAACAGACCATGTCATCTTGCCAATACTCTAACCTGAACACCATGCTTGACAGCGTTGGAAGCTTGCCCTGGGAGTCAACAAGTGGATCTGAAACTTGCTTCTGCTTCAGCCTAGCGGACAAGGCATTGAGAGATGGCAATCCATATGTCCCATCACACAGTTCTGATGCCGGCAGTACTTCCTCAAAGTAGAGTGGTGAATAACCATCTGCACATAAAGAAAAATAAGCCAAAGTGTGAGCATGCGCGTTTGAGAATGTGGGACTACGGTAGCAAAGTCAGAGTCGAAGAGATGATGAGCAGCATATACTTTTTTATTACACTCTTTGAATAATCATGGAAGCAAATTATTCCACCACGGGAGGTCAAGACACTTTTAAACAAACTTCATCACTGTTGCCATGGAATGGTGGAGCAAAACAGCTGTCAGGAATGAAAGCTTGCACCTAAAAGACCAGTGTTCATTCTTTGTTGATGTGGCTCGGCACTTCACTTGGGCTTTTCAGCAACACGTGTGGTAAAATTCCAGTACCATCAATCGATGGCATTGCTTAGTTAGAGTATAAATATTCCTCAGTTTTTGACTGTAACTCACAGTACAAGAAAAAACACACCTCACGATGCTTTGGCAGTAGTATAGGGGTTCTGACCGTCTACATACAGTCAACCTCGGGTGCAATAACAGCTTGAATACAACAAGTTACCAATAATGACACGATGGGTGTGCCTAAAGAATAATGTAGGCCAATTAGTGGCATTGGAAGTGAAGTTACTCAAGCCGATTTCTCCTTGCAACAATCCTAAAATTGGCTCCACATCAAACCAAAAGATGAGCAATGCTTAGGACGCTCACTGGGCGCAAGCATGTCAATGACTGACCTGTCTCAATGGGCAGATGAACATCCTCAGGACAAGCCTTACCTGCAAATGATTCCCAGTCATCAGTGGTGACAAAATCGCCACATGGAAATTCAAGAATATCTAGGAGCAAGAAGGCACATGACAAATGGTGCGAACATGATTTGGCAATACAGTCAGACCTCGCATAACCGCACACATCCCTTTTCCACAAAAAAATATCCGGATAGGCAAGGGAACCGGATAATCGAACACACGTACTGTATGGCATATGCTGTAAATCGGTAACCAGCGATATTCTTCCGGATGGCGAGCGATCCGGATAAAAGAGGACTGGATAAGCGAGGTCTGACTGTAGCAATGAAACCTTGAAAAGTATTGTTTTCCCTTCTTTGTGTCCTCAGTTCGTGCATGTGTGTAATTTTCCTCCTTCTGTTTGTGTTGCTTTCCACTTCTGAAATGTGTGGTACTTAGAATGTTCAGTGGACATAACAAATGGCGACGAATTTTGTACGAGCCCCGAGCCGTTCGACGGTGGTGATTTCGCTGAGTACCGCGAGAGAATTGAATTTTATTTCTGTGCAAACTCTATTGGAGTAGTGAGGCAGTGCCTCAGCGGGGGAGAAGAAAGCTGCGGAGAAACGCGTAACTGCTAGCTTGATTTCGAATCTGTCGAAAACGGTGTACTCCACCTTGAAGTCTCTTGTCTTGCCGGACTACGTGGCAGACAGAAAATATTCCGAGATTTGGTGATGTTCTGGAGAAGTACAGTATTATCGAGTCAAGATGACTCCTCCCACCACAGCATATAAGTTCCGACAGCACTGTCAGAAACCAATGGAGTCTGTCCAGGATTATGCCAACTGCCTCAAACGTGCTGCTGTAGATTCTAATTTTGAAACTCACAGGGATCAAGCACTGAAGGACCAATTGATTACTGGCCTCAACGTGGACAGCATACTTCGCAAACTGCTCACAACAGATGAGAATTATATGGATACCTTTGAGACACTGGCGATCGCGCTGCGTCAAGAACTGACCTCAGCCCACTACAAGGAGTTGTCAGCTGCAACAATGAGTTCGGCAGCTACTTCAAGTGTGCATAAAGTGCAATCATCTACTCGTAAGTCAAGCACCAGTAATTCGAAAGGGAGAAGTAATTTGAAGTCACACAGCCGCCAGTGTTAACGTTGTAGCTCTGACATACTCCTCGTGGACAAGTGCCATCATCGTAACACTGAGTATTGACATTGTCACAAGCTTGGACGCCTGGAACATGTGTGTAACAGCTTCAAATCTGCACTTTCTATGGAAGGAGAAGCAAAAAGAACTCTATGAGATCAAAGAGAGATGCGATATGGCTCAAAAAGGGTATGAGACACTAACAGCAAAAATCAAAAGCAGCTGGCCCATGCATAACTGCCTGAGAGTCAGTAGTGCAACAGTACCAGATAAAGCGACAAGCGTACCACTCTGGAGCGTTCGTCGGTAATCATATAAAACCAGGTGTTATTGCTTCCCTCATTTCTGTTTCCCTAACAGTTGTGCAGAGCCGCACAACTGCCGACAGCACCGACGTTCAGCTGCTTGCTGAGGCAAAGTCCTTGAAAGATCGGTCTCAAGGCTCTTCACCGAGTTAGCAGCCTGCCGCAAGCTGTTCAGTGGAAAGCTGATTTTCACAATGGAAACAAAGCAGGTTCTGGGTGATGTCATCTCCACCTTCATGGCCACCTGCAGAGCTGAGGTTGTGGTACGGAAGTTAATGTGACCCCCAAACTTCACCTACTCGAATGCCACGTCCATCCTTGCATGCAGCATTTCTGCATGGGATTGGGATTGCTGAATGAGCAAGGCATGGAGAGCATCCACAAAGAAATTAAGAATCTCCTTGAGAACAAAATTCTGAGCAATTCCATCATCCCTTGCGAGGCTCAAAACATCTGCTGGAGAACATGGCTCTCCGTCCGCAGTCCAAGAAGCGCTGGCGAAGCACTGCCAGCCTGGATTCAAACTCGGAATGACTGTTACATCATTGTAGTTACGCTTGCTGTGCATGTTGAGAACATTGGTGCGCAGCATCCAATTTGCTGCGCCGTGCTCCACTCTCAAGGAAAGGGTATTTGGTGGGTCATCTCAACCTGTGGTCTTCTTGGTCAGACACTCACCAAACTTAATAATTCTTGCCGATCTGTTCGGCCACACACTCTGAGCTAAAGGAGATGTCACCGGCTTTGGTGACCTATCAGAATCTGATGACTCCATGCTGCTGCACATCATGATGGAGCTTTAGGGTACCTACTTCCGACTATCACAGTACATTGATGAAGATATTTCAGACACCAAACGTGTGGAATCAGAGGCGATGACGCTGAAGGCCATTCCTACCAAATATACAAAGGTCAGCATTACAATGGAGTGCGTCGACGTCGCAGCTGACGGCACGAATGACACAGAAGAGAGGCAAAGCGTTGCTGCCGCGAGACCTCCCTCAACGACCTGGAGCAAATTGTCGAAAAACAGTGATCCGAACTTTTTGAAAATAGAGTTCAAAATAACGCAAATCTATAATTTTGTCCCCTTGGAGTGTTCGATTGTTACCTTTCACGCACATGGTATCGTTCAAGAATACCTTGTGATACTTTTTTGGCATTGTTTAGGTGTTATAACATCACTATTGATCCTTTATAGTAATCTGTGTTGCAATTTGTTAATTAGTACAACGATGCTTCCAGGAGCTTGTGCGAAACCTAGTTCGATACAATAATCATGTTTATATTTTTCATCGTTCCTATTATTGTTTTTCACATTTCCATCACAGTTATTTCTTTGTCCATCACCACTTTACATCTCAATAAAATCTTCGTAACATGTCGCTTCAGCTGATTCTGTTTATTGCCATCTTAAAATCTATCGTAAAATTCCGTAAATAAGCCCACCCTAAATAACGCCCATGTCCGATAATAAGCCCAGTTTTGGGCGGTGTACACTTCAAGTCCGTTTTAGCGCCCATGCCCGAAATAAGCCCAGGGCGTAAAGTGGACTCAAAATGACCAGCGCGTGAGCGTGCTTTAATTTCAGTGTCATCTAGTTTTCTGCCTTACCTGCTTCAGCGTCACGACATTTTCAGCCATGCCGGTACCTGTTGTGCCTTGTACTTACCATAGCAAGTGGTTTACCTATCAAATCTGTAATTTATCGCTACATTCTTGGTTACGACCAAATTTCCAGCTGTGGTTTGATGTACCTGTACCGCGCTCCGTGTGAATGGTGGTTCACTGAAACTAGTGGGTTGCTGATAGATTGATCTTCTGCAGATTGCGTCCGAAATAACGCTCATGCCCTAAAATAAGCCCATACCCAAATATACGCCCCGTTTTTGACGCTCTGCAAAGTATACGCCCGGGGCTTATTAACGGAATGTTACGGTATGAGTTTTCATTTTTCATTGTTTTTCAATACTAGTAATCCATCACATTCCAGAATCAGAGGGTCTTGCCCCCCCCCCCATCTCCAGCACCATAAAATCATTTCATGTATAAAAATGGGGGTCCGGTTTTACCCCAAAAATGGGGTACTATCAATAGACAATAATTCCCCTTTTTGTGGCAGGGGGCATGTGCCAGTCGTCAAACCGGCTCGACACATACTACTAACAATTGTGCCAGTAACCATTAGCTGCTCTATAGCATACCTCGGCACACATCATCACAGGCTTCTTCCACTAGTCGGTCAATGCTCGGTGACAATGGAGAAGAAGGGTCAACAAAAAGCGAACTTGCTACACTGGTTTCTTCAGCGATATCCGAGAAATTAGGTGCAGTGCTGCAGACAATGCAAAGAGAAGAGGAATCAAGACTCGGCATACATATGTTGAGTACGAAAAATGTTGAGTACGAAAAGGACGACGACGTATTCTCCAGACATTACAATGGACAACGGGAACAGGTTAGGTCGAACAACATGTATTAGGGAGACGAAGAGACAGAGACCAAGACGAACGAAACAACTACATTGTGGAAGAGAGACGAGAGAGAGATCAAGTGTGAACGGCAAGATAAAGGACCTGGGTAGCTATGGCAATTATGGGCGTGCAAGTAGCTATCCAGGCCAACAGAACAAAAGGAGACAAAAGGTGAGTACGAGAGTGCATGCAGGCCAGCTTGGATAAGGTTGTAGAACGTACGGGAGGAGGTACCTAACATACCTCCCTGCGCAAAAAAAGAACCGCGGCCTCGCGGGAAATAATAAGACGAGAAAGAATAGAGAAAAAATGACTGAGGAAGTAGAGAAAACACACACACACACACACACACACACACACACACACACAACGCAAGGATGTCACAAAAGTGTTATACTAAATATGCACTACAGTTATCACGTTCCTATACTGGTATTAGTTCAATAATTCTATGATACGCATCACTCAAACTAGTGCTATAGCGCAAACATTGCCAAAGGCGGCCAAACACCCCTTCACAAAAAAATTGGCACGAAAACTACGAGTTCAAAGAAACACTGCGTTCTGTACTGGCACGGCTAACCAGCATAGTTACACTTAGGCCGCGTTCGAATTGTCACTCTTTGACTTTTCGAGGAGTTTCGTTTTTCTGAAGAGGTAGCCTTATTGGCCTCTTCAGAAAAACGAAGCTCCTCGAAACTCCTCGAAACTCCACTACCTCACCCGATGGGAGAGGTGGATTAGTTTCGAAGAGTTTGGAATAGCTACGTCACGTAGTACGTGGAGATGGTCGATCTGATCGGACGTCATCATCGCCATGACAATTCCACTGAAAACCTCTAAAAATGATAGATATCGTTCTAATGGGACACTTCAACTAATCTAGAAAGGAAAAGGACATAAGGATACGAGTTAAGAGTAACTCTCCATCACTGTAACTGGATACTATATACAGTCAGTTACTCAGTCAGTTACTCCTAGCTCGTATCCTTATGTCCTTTTCCTTTCTACATTTATTTATGGCTCAACATCCGAGTTTCAAATTCAACTAATCTCTTTATAAAATTTGTTGAACAGTTGATTAAGACAATTTGCGCAATTTGCGCTCTAATACGACATGAATAAAAGAGCGTGACTCACCATCGGATCCCTGATATTGACGAAGGACACCCGCGAGAAACACACACCACAACAAAAAATCACAAAATAAAATAAACCGAAAATAAATTTGACGACGAAGGACGGATGAAAAAGAAAGAGAGAAATGAAGAAAATAGCTGACCTGCATGACTTGGACGAGACGAGATTGACATAGAAGAGACGAGGCTGACATGAACGAGACCAGGTTGACATAGACGAGACGAGGTTGGAGACGAGAAGAGAATGACATGGACGAGACGAGGTTGACATAGACGAGACGAATGGCGGTTGAGGACGACTGGGCATGGGATCTCAGGGTCGTGGGTCGAGCCCCACGTTGGGCGCCAATGTTGAGTACGAAAAGGACGACGACGTATTCTCCAGACATTACAATGGACAACGGGAACAGGTTAGGTCGAACAACATTTATTAGGGAGACGAAGAGACAGAGACCAAGACGAACGAAACGACTACATCATGGAAGAGAGACAAGAGAGAGAGAGATCAAGTGTGAACGGCAAGATAAAGGGCCTGGGTAGCTATGGCAATTATGGGCGCGCAAGTAGCTACCCAAGCCAACGGAACAAAAGGAGACAAAGGTGAGCACGAGAGTGCATGCAGGCCAGCTTGGATAAGGTTGTAGAACGTACGGGAGGAGGTACCTAACACATATGCACAGCAGTTTTGATTCTAACACTCTTCATGGCACTGAGACATAGGTTAAATCCAAGTGGATTATCAGAGCACACTTTCAAGACAGCTTGCCCCAGAAACATGTAGCACAGTGTGCAGCAAAGGCGACCACATCATCTAAACATAGCTATAGTCTTATTTTCATGTGATGTGTTTGCGTATGACTTCAGGCACCGAACAAGCACTGGAAGGGGAGGTACTTAAGTCAGAACAAGGCTCCCCTGTAGCGCTCCGCTAAGGTTGGTGAAAATAATTACAATCATTCGAACGATCGTGCTTCGCTGAAACTGTAACGTAGAGAGCTTGGAGTTGTTTGAACCAACAACTGAGTCTATCCTCTAGCTGAAAGAATTTGATTATTGAATTTGATTTCAAACTGTTTATAAACAGTTCAGATCCTTATTAGATCATGGTGAAGCTCCAAACTCTACCCAACAGGCATGTGCCCTCGGTACTTACATGATTCCACTGCAATGATCTGACTGGAAGCATGAGAGCTTGCAAAATTCATTTGCCAAGGATGTGGTGCTACTTGGTTCTGCAAAGCCCAATTCTGGCAATGGAGCTGAAATGGATAAAAAGGCAAGTACACAAGCACAATCTCACACAAGTTTGAATTGAAAAAGCCCCATCTAATGTGTGATTTGGACAGGTGGGATGCGGAGAATAATCGTAATATGTTATCCTCTCAATGTTGTGTAGATGTGTGCATGCAGATAGGTGTGTAAGGGCGCGTTCAGACTACCGATAAAAAGTGACCGATTGGGAAAGTCGCCAAGGTGATTTGATCACGTGACGTTACTGGCACGTTACCGGTGGGAAAGTGTTACTGCCGCGGCTGCTGCGGCAGTAAACTTTTACCGGCAGTAAAAAAGTGCTCAGGCTGCATGCACGCTGGGAAAAAAAGGGAAAATCCCTTGTCAGTGCCGCGGTGAGAGCTGAAAACTTAACGGTAACGTTAGTTTGTTATCGGTAGTGTGAATGTCCTTCATGGTTTATCGGCATTCACGGTTTGACGGGGTTCACGGAAGTCTGAACGCGCCCTTAATGGGAATAAAGTAAATGGGAATATAAAACTGCAATTAACACACCCATCTGCATGCACACTACACAGCATTGAGAGCATTGAGTTTTGAAGAGTGTCACCAGTCAGCCATGCAAATCTGAGCAGGAAGCAAACTGTGAAGTGTCCGGCGCGGCGCATGCACCTTCTGTGTTAACTTATTTTTGCGCGCTCGCAAAAATTCATCAAATGGCGCCGAGGTATACATAGACAGTTTTCATATTCCTCCGCCCGAAGACCTGCAAAAAAAACGTTTCGTCACCAGTTGACCTTGAAACCTTTGTTCAGGAGTCCAAATCCTTGAGAATTGAGAAGTCCACGCAGGTAGGAAGTAATGTCCACTGTTTGACTATTCTACGCTCTGCCTCCACGGCATTTTGAGCATTCTTTGCACACTAGGTGCATCCTTTGTAACTCTAACTCATAACTCTAAATCGCAGACATGCAGCTTCTATCAAGAAGATATTTCACGCAAACTTTTTCTTTATTTTTTCCCGGCACATAACATGGGATTCAAACCCGCACTATTGCCTAGCATGCACTCCCTCGATACGCATCGCATACATACATATTCTACTAGTTGTTTCACGTTATGATCCTGCCATTGAAAGCCCTATTTGACTATGGGGATGAACGCTGTTGGCCAGCTTTCTTTGACGGTACAGTACGGGACATGTACGGGCTAGCACGCTAGGCATGGCACGTGATGATGGCCCGGCACCCAAAAGTTCAAAGAGAAAATAATCATGAACAGTCGACTCCCAAACGGGTTTCTTCTGATCTGTCAAATCGTGAATTCCTTTTGCCCTGCGAAGTACTCAGCGGGGCAAACAAAGGTTCAAGGGTGTGGGCTTGAGGAGCACCCTGACCACGGAAATCAGTGCTGTGTCCTCTCCGTGGTCTATACAACTCCCGGGCTAGGGCATAGTACCCGACTTTCAGAAAAACAAAACCTGAACACACAAAATGTGCCCATGTCCTGAGTAGTTAGCTCTCTGCTAAATGTAAGGCTTTCATACAAAATGGACATGCCAGCAAAGGGTTAAATGAATGGTCCATGAATACATTGCAGGCAAATGAACTTACGCAAGCACCATGGCAAAGACAATGTGTTTACTTCAGCTGCCAAACCCTGGTGAGGATAGCCTTCAATTTCATCAAGGTGCACTGGTTCATCGACGCCCATCCGCTGAATTAGTACTCGTCTGTATGCGGATGCCTGCATCACAAAATACAGCATCCTAAATGATAGTAATGCCGCGTATTTTAACGCCGGGCTTATTCCTGTAGAAGCCGATGGCAGGGCTAGGCTTCTATTCACATCAGGCTTTTATATTCAAAGCAGGTATTTCAAGTATGTGTGTCAACACTAAAACCAGGCTTCTGTGGCGACAGTGAATTTTGATAATCAGGCTTGTACCGTATATAACGAAGTGCTAATTCTGAGTTAACGAGGAGAAATCTGTCGTTAAAATAGAAATCGTTATCCAGAAATCGATACATATACTGTCCTATTGAGCGATGAGAATGAGTGAGAATCGTTACCTTTGGTACACGTAAACTTGTCAATTTTGGGAAATCGTTATATATGCGCCTCGTTAGAATAATGGCTTTTACAGTATTCAAAACAGGCTTCCATTATGAGACACGCTATAATACAATACACTACGGTAGTCAAGAAGAGAGCCAATATAATACAATTTCACTGTGCAGTGGCCAATTGAATTCGCATGGTCATCATCCGTTATATTTTCTTGAGCACACTTATGTGTCCCCAGACGACATAACACCATTTGCATGGGCTGCGGTGAATTCAGTAAGGCACTGATATATCCAGCATTTGTAAAGCATCATTGGAAAGATCGATCCACTCGACGTGAACGTGATCGTACTTGTATGTATGTATGTATGTATGTATGTATGTAATTGTATGTAATTAGCTCTGCTGTAGTACAGGCATCCACCAGCTTGCGCCTTGGCAAATTGGCTCTGCTGTAGTACAGGCATCCAACAGCTAGCGCCTTGGCACCTAACTGTAACTCGTCGGACTTAATTGGCTCTGCTGTAGTACAGGCATCCAACAGCTAGCACCTTGGCAAATTGGCTCTGCTGTACTACAGGCATCCAACAGCTAGCGCCTTGGCAAATTGCACTGCCCCACTATGCTATAGTCATCTAGCACTCAGCTTCACACACTTCTCAGCCGGCAAGTTAGCCCATTGATTACATATCAGGGGTCCCGCTAAGCCTTACACTTGTTTCCGCCTGCATCCACCTTAAATTCCCATTATGCTTTGACCAGTCTGCATTGAATATTGTTTGCCTGATGATTGCACACGGTGCATGAAACTCAGAGTAGCAAAATATTACGAGTGATCCATTGTTTGTTGACATGTGTCATTGCTCCCCCCCAAGAAATTGGATGTTGAGAACTTTTTCTGCAGCTGCAGGCATAGTCTTACTGAGTATGTATGTATGTATGTATGTATGTATGTATGTATGTATGTATGTATGTATGTATGTATGTATGTATGTATGTATGTATGTATGTATGTATGTATGTATGTATGTATGTATGTACAAAGTAGGTGTGTACTCAGGCTGACAAGTCAAATGAGTTATTTGAATTTTGCTAGGATGCACCCGGTATAAACGTGGGCTCATGCATCTCTGTACTCCGGTCGACACATAACACTACTGTATGTGGCAGCATTCATTCCCATGCATATCGTTGAGCAACATGTGTACAAACAGAAAAGAAAGGCTTCACTATAAAGGCCGTGTTTACATAAGAATTTTCAACCCGGGTTGAAAGGCTGTACGGTGGTAAATAGGCAGGTGTTTACAAACTTGAAGACAGTTGAACCGGGTCAATTACTGATATGCCGCCAAAAGGCCACTTCTGGAGTCCTGTATGGCCACGTGAATGCTTTTGGGCGAAACTTGCCTGCGCAGTGCTTTTCAAACCTGGCACGAGATACGCACAGAAATACGGTAGTACAATTTCTCGATTATTCAACCCTGCCCCAAGGGGAGGGTTGGAATCAACCCGGGGCAAAATTTCAACCTGGGCCAAGCGCAATGCGTCATGTAAATGCTGCAGTCAATCTGTGTTCATGGCGGGTTGAAACTCGACCTGGATCAAACTCAACCCGGGTTGAAACGCCTCATGTAAACATAGCCTCAATGCTAAATAATTAATTAGCAAATACACACGGAGAGACCCTTACGTGAGTGGGGCCTCTTGCATGTATGGCCGGACCTTTAGGTTTTTCACCAGGCACACACACACACACACGTCCGCTTGATGTGTGTGATCACTATGATGTGCATCTCGGTCTTCAGCTTTCAGCGCCTGTGACCATGGTGACGGAGACAACTAATGTTACTTAGCTGTTTTCCATTTCACATGGACCGGCGTGAACACTGGAGTGTACAGCATGATGATACTCATTTTTCCCGTAAGGACAGTCTTATTCCTTGTTTGTTATGGCGTGGGTGTCGATACCTCAAATACAGTAGTGGAGAATTTTCTTCTCACAACATTCGCTCAAAAACATGTCGAAGGCATATTTCAACCAAGCTATGCTCAAACTTCGAACAAACTCTTGTATTGAAGGTGCTGCTTTCGTAGCTCATTTGAAACTACCGGTATGTGAAAGCACCACGTGCATGGCCTTTCGTATTGTAGCTACGTAGCTACGCACATTAGTACATGTACTGGGAATTGAACTTCAAACCCAAAGATTTAAAAAAACAAAAGGAGGAGCTAGCAAATCAAAACTAAAAAAAGCAAAACTTCCCGAAAGGCAAAATGCAAGACTTTTTGAAACATATTCACACAGCTACAGACCTTGAATAAACGTTCTTCCCACTAATAGTAATACGCACTATCCGTCCGTAGGCTACTACTGTACAAGTGGACGGACTTCACTAGGTTTTTTGTTTCTTTCTCGTTTGATACACACAGAACCTGAGAAGGGCTAGGGTCACTTACATCCTCAATGAAATCTTGTCCAATGAACCGCGGCATTCTTCAACAAAGTTCAAGGACAAACGCATTGAACGTTGTAGGCGGAAAGAAAGAAATGGTCGCTTTGCAAGTAACAGTTAGTTACCATTGTAGTTAGCTCCCTGCCTGGCTACATGCGGAGAAAAACTGATTGAGAGAGGAGAAAAGAAGAGCTGAACAATCGGCGCGCCTTGCGCTACCCGAGTGACTAATGCACCCTACGGCCTATTATAGTTATGGCCTACTGTAAAGTAACTAGTTAGTTATAGTTGAACCCGCTGACCTTGTTTTCGTTTTGTTGGTGGTGGTCAGGGAGTCGTACTCAAACTACGACTCCCTGGTGGTGGTGCACGGACCGGTGACCGGTGGGATGGTGGTGGTGATGGTAGATCTATGTGACCTCTGCTCTGGGGGTTCAAAGGTCCTGGTTGCGCAGCTGCAAAGACTTTTACTGAGTGCGGCGGGGGTGGTGCACTAGATAGAAAAGGGGCGAAGTGTGCCCGGTGCACAGGTGCCGGCGGTGGGCAAAGGGGACTAGACTACATAACAGACTCAGTACTAGTGACTACTACAATGTCATGTAGTATTAGCCCAAAGTGAAAAATCCAGGCGAAGTGCCACACTGGTTGACCTACCCTGGTAGACTACCAAGACTGGCAAGTGTCCGTCACTGACCTCTTCGCCGGAGGGGTCAGAAGGTGCAGTCTCACCTCCGCCACTCTTTGCCGCCCCCAGCAGCCTCAGCAGCGGCAGCAGCAGGAGGCACAACAGCGGCAGCAGCAGCAGGCAAAGCAGTTGTGGCAGGAGTCGGAACAGCGGTGGCAGCAGCAGCAGCCCCAGCAGCGGCAGCAGCAGCAGCAGCAGCAGCGGCAGCAACAGCACCAGCAGCAGCACCAGCAGCCCAGCAGCAGAAGCAGCCCAGCAAGCTAACTATGTAACCTGCTGCTGCAGCAGCACGTAGGTGCATTGCAGCAGCTCCAGCACATCAGCAGGACCACCAGCCCCAGCACCACCAGCAGCAGTATGGCCGTCAGGGGAAGCGCAGACGGGAGGGCGCATGTTTTTGCCCACGCACGCGTACCACGGCCAGATGTGAGTGATGTGCTGTGTGCAACCTGTGGTGGCAGTTGCAGTTGCGGATGTGCACTGCCACTCACACCATATGTGGTATGCTGTGTTCACCTGCAGCATAAAGGCCGATTCATACTTCATGTCACGTACGGGAAAGCCATCGCGCGACGGTCGCGCAATGACTTTCCCGTACGCGAAATAGTTGAGCCCAGATCAACTTTTTCGCGACGGGACACGTTTTATAGGCCGATTCATACTTCATTTCGCATACGGGAAACGCGTCGCGTCGCGAAAAAGTTGATCTGAGCTCAACTATTTCGCGTACACGAAAGTCATCGCGCGATGACTTTCCCGTACGCGAAATGAAATATGAATCAGCCTTTAATAAAGGGGAAGTTAAGGCAAAAATCAAAACTTCACCAGTTGTAGTCTTCGGGGTGCTGAGTCGAATGGTCGTGGTCCGAGGAAGCCGAGACGCTCCCTTCCTTCTTTTTTCCCAATCGAACTCGCGCACTTCCACCGAAACTGGGTGACTGTGCCCTACTAGATGGGGATTTGTATGCAAAATGTCACGAAAAGCGCCATTTCGTTCTTATAAAAGCATGGATGACCGCGATTGGCCCATATGTTGTAGTCTTTTGGACGCTGAGTCGATTGGTTTTGGTCCGAAAAGGCTGCGATGCAGCGTTCCTCATTTATTCCCAATCGAACATGGTTGAACAAGCGGTCACGTGCTCCTGCGTACACCAGTCACCTGGTCACCGTGCCTGCAGGGTACAACTTACTAGCCTGTATGACCTTTTTTTGGGTGCAGTCCTGTCACTTGAGTTGAACTCGAGTTGAACCTTGGTGTGAAAGTTGTTGCCTGCTGGCGTGGTGACCAGGTGATTTGGGCACCCAGGAGCACGTGGCCGCTTGTTCAACCATGTTCGATTGGGAATAAAGGAGGACGCTGCATCGCAGCCTTTTCGGACCAAAACCAGTCGACTCAGCGTCCAAAAGAGTACAACATATGGGCCAATCGCGGTCATCCGTGCTTTTATAAGAACGACATGGCGCTTTTAGTGACATTTTGCATCCAAATCCCCATCTAGTAGGGCGCAGTCACCCAGTTTCGGTGGAAGTGCGCGAGTTCGATTGGGATTCAAGTAGGAAGGGAGCGTCTCAGCTTTCTCGGACCAAGACCATTCGACTCAGCACCCCGAAGACTACAACTGGTGAAGTTTTAATTTTTGCTAGTGGTGAAACGAATGTCAAAACCTAGTAACCGAATATTCTTTGGCTTATCGAACGAACGTACGAATATTCTTTAATTTCTTTTGGTAACAGAGATGCCATCACATGCCCTCCTCTCAGTCATTTGATGGATATTGTTATTATTATTAGGTATGACAAACGGTAATGCCACATAAAATGCACTGCCACATAAGGCTACTTCGAAGTTCATACATGTTATGTGCAACATTGGCAGTCCAGTATGCACATACATGTGCAAACATGGAGTACAAACTCACAGGCAGGCTGTACGCACTGCACTGTATTGTGTTCGGCGTGCTTGTATATACATGCACTGCATTCGAAGTGACGTAACGAATACTCGAATGTGACTTAAAAAGAATATTCGAATGTGACAAACCGAACGAATGTTCGAATATTCGTTTCACCACTAATTTTTGCCTTAACTTCCCCTTTAATGTATGCAACGTTTTCACGGGGCGGCAGCCACTAGGTCGCGGACAAGGACGTTGCCGTGGACGTGCCCGTGGCCGTGGAGAGGTGAGGCGCAAGTGGGAGAATCACTGTCCCTAGTCATGGCTTCTGCGTGAAGAAATTCACATTTGTGTGTGCACGCTGGGGTCGCTGAAGAGCGTGGTACACGACAACTTCACCAATACCCGCACCCGCTGCTTGTGACCTTCCAGAAGTGTGCGGGCCATGGACTAGAATTAATGGTTGACAATGGCGGAATGTTTGTAAAGGAGCTTTTTGATCCTGAAACATGCCTGTTGTGTTTTGTGCCTGTGCGTCCAGCTCGGCGTAGTATTCAGGCGGGGAAAGTCCAATTCACAAGCTTGTGGATAATAAAAGATAATGGCATAAATAGCAATGTGTTCAGTTGATTGTGGTGAAGTGCGTGCCCTGTGCTGGTCAGAATGGAGTGGCATGTGGGCGCGTGGACCTGCCTCCTTCGGCGTACGGGTGCCCCGTAATCATTGTCCGCGCGTGCGTGGTCATGCACTCCTTTTTTCCACAAGATGTGTGCGTGTGTCTGAGTGTGTGTGTGTGTGTGTGTGTGTGTGTGCGCGCGCGCGCGTGTGTGTGCGTCCATTCGTTGGTGTGTGCGTGTTTGTCTCTGTACGTGTGTTTGTATGTGTGTGTGCGCGCGTTCGTGTTGGTCGGGGGGGGGGGGGGGGGGCTCACCGGGTCCGCATGTCAAGTTCCCCGTTCCGCATGCTTCTTTGCGGGTCTGTATGCGTGTCTGCGTGTGAGTTTGTGCCCATGTGCGTTCGTGTGCGTGGCTACGGGCGACTTTACTTGCTGTTCATGTGGGCCGTGCCATGGTGACGCACTGCCCAATTGCGGGTACGTGTAGCAGGCAACGTGACCGCCTCAGTCCAATGTGCCATTGGGGCGGGTAGGTGGTGGAGAGTGGTGCGGAAAAAGAACTGAAATTACCCAAAAACCGTGCTGGGTGAGCGGTTTCAGAAAAACCAAGAGTACACAGTACGAGTACATAAACCAAAAAGGGTTTGTGTACTCTTGGAAAAACGTATAAATAAAATGGTGTAGTGCAATGAATGACGTCATCCGAACGCACCAGTAGTTGTGACCAGGGAGTCGTAAAATTAAATACCGTATTTTACGACTCCCTGGTTGTGACGAGGTGGAAGCAAAGAAGTGCACTAGTGGCCGCCATACCCCAGAAAGTTACTTGCAGAGTCACATATCCATAGATAGAGAAGTTAGTTAATTGAACAGCAATCTGCGCACTGGCAGAGTGCTGTACCAATTTAAAATTATTTGCAACTGCAGGGGAATCCCCTAAACCCCAAAAGAGCTGTCATTTTCAAACAAAAGAAAAGCGAAAAGAAATGCAAAAATTAATATGGCTCGCTTCAGTTTACTGCGTGGCGAGGCTCGGATGGGAGTCCGGAGATGCCAGTAGTCCAGCAAACTCGGTGTCTACAGCGAGTTGAGTAATGATTATGTCTTTGGCCAAGTATTACTATTACTAGTATTAGTTTGGGGCCGTCAGCACCATGGTCATAAGATCTCCTCCTCGTAAAAATAGTATCATTTTGTTATCATCGCACAGTGAGAAAGCTCGCTTGCGCTCTAGTCTAGATCTAGATCTAGATCTGTGCATGACCTGATGACTAGTAATATCCGTTTATATCTCAGTGACTACTTCTAAAATTTCTCAGGAAGTTTTTTATGTAACAATCCCCTGGTTTCCGTTCTCCATTATTTGCATCAACGTTTCCAGAATGATATTCATTGGGAGGATAGTGAGGATACTCGAGCCGTGTCTTCTACGAAATGCAGCTGCAGGTGGAAAGCACTGCGCGATCATCATATCCTGTAGAAGTAAGTTGTCCTCACTGCTGCTGCAAGCTGTTAACGTTTCTGTACGCACGTAGGACTGATAAGCTACGATGTAAACGAGCTGCACTGCGCAGATGCTAGCTATTTGCGACTGAGCGACTGGTAAGCACGCTATATCACACGGTCTTCTCCATTGGACGTGCCGAGACAAAAGTTAGAAATGGAAGCCAGTGGCACTGATGTAGCGGCTGCTGTTGCTGGTGGTGGTGGCGCTTCTGCTGCTGAAGCAGCTTCTGCGGAAAGCAACACTACGAGTACTCCAAGTTCTTGTGCTATTGATGCAGCTTCTGCAGATTCTGGTGGCTTGGGTACAATGGCTGTGAGAGTGCCACCGGGAACTGGCTGGCGGCATGCTGGAACAGCATGTCCTGAGTGCAATAAAGCTCTTCGCATACCTAGATTGCTGGATTGCCTGCATACCGTTTGTGAAGATTGTCTACGTCCACTTTTGCAGCCTGTACGATGGATGATTGTCTGTCCAATATGTCGGCAAGAAACAAAGCTGCCACCTGCAGGCTTCTCTGTTATACCCATGAACTGGGTGGCCAGTGCTCAACAGCGAGAGCAGTTTGCACAGATCAGCATTGGCGATGTTGCAGGACCCTCTGATGTTGCACCGCTGTGCGAGGAATGCATTCAGGAAGAAGAGAGCCCAGCTGCAGGCGTGTGCATTGAGTGCCGTGTGTTTCTGTGCTCTGTGCACATGCGTGCGCACATGCGCAGTCGTACCACCAAGTCACACTCTATCATTGATCAGAAAGAGAAGCTGTCGCCCGGAGAAGTCCGCGGTGAGTTTTGCGGTGCAGCAGTGATGTGCGGTGTTCATCCTCACCGGCCCATTCTCGGCTTCTGCCGTGACTGCAAACGCACATACTGTGTGAACTGCCGCAATCTGAGTCATGTCGATCACGATCTGGTGGAGATGCATGATGTGGGACCCATATTCAAGACAGCACTCAGCGACCGGCATAGTTCTGTCAAAGATAGGCTGCTACCGAATTTCCAGCTGGCGGTAAAGGACATTGATAACGCACTGGATAAACTAGAAGATCGTTCACAGGAGATCTCAATAAAGATCACAGAGTGGGTCAATGAGCAGGTACAGGCACTACGAGCCATGGAGAGACAAGCACTCACTGCTGTGTCAGACCTTCGTGCGCAGAAAGAGGCTCCGCTTGTGCAGACGCGACAGGAGCTGAATAACGTGGTGCAGAAGATCTTTCATTGCACACAGCTAACGGAAGAAACCCTTGCTTTGGAGAATAATGCAGAGATGCTGGACATGTACGTGGCCATTGACAATAGAATGCAGAAATTGCAGTCTGAAGAAGAGAAGACTGCCATGCTGGACCTTGACAAGTTTGATTTCCTGCAGTATTCTCCGAATGCAGACCTGCAGCTGCAGCTGCAGCGTGGCATTGGTACAGTTACCAATCAGCCAGCATGTCCACAACTCAGCTACATCACCAGAGAGATGTGTCCGCAAGCTGATGGTGACCAGCACATACATTTGACAGTGCAGTTACTTGGTCAAGACGGGGAGCCGTACGAGCCCGGTATTGATGAAAAGTGTTTGACGGTGTCTGCTCATTCTCCACTCTCCAAGCCTGTAGACATCAAGGTTGAGTCGTGCCAGCGAGGCAAGTTTATTGTGACGTTCCTACCCACAGCGTTTGGTGAGTATGTGGTTGATGTGCGCCTCAACAGCTTGACTATCAAAAACAGCCCATATGCTGTGTGTGTGCCACTGCGACTGCTCAGCATTGACGGACAGCGGTGTATGGAGATGTCTGATGATCGTCGCACTGCTGAGTGTGCCCGCCTTGGTGACTGTGCAGTGACAGGCAATGCAGTGTTGCGAGAGGGCCGCCATACATGGCGAGTCGAGGTCCAGCTGCCAATGTCATCAGCGCTAGTCATTGCTGTGGGGGTCATAGCAATGTCAGCAGACGGAGCAGGATGTAAGCTATACCAGGCTCACACTTGGCGATCAGACGGCAAGTGCACGAAAAGCGATGGCAGCCTTGTCCACACCAGCTTGGGAAGGTGGATGAGTGGAGATGTCTTCATCCTTGAAATGGACTGCGACCGACATGTTCTCACCTGCACCCTGGAGCGAAATGGTGTTCGCGACTCACTGTACGGCATTCTCTCTGTCGTGCGACCATTCTTCTTCATGCAAGACGTTAATCATGCTGTTCATGTTTTGTCACCTTAGCATGCGAGGTGACAGCCATATTTCCAAATTACTTCAAAAAGATTTTGCTTATCGTTGCCATTGATTTGAGGATTCATGGTTCTTTTATGTTTATTTCACTACTAGTAAAACCTTTCCGCAAGCCCGAAATATTCATATTATTTCTTCAATACTAGATTGTGTGAGACTCATGAGCAAAGCTAACGGTAAAGTTCTGACGGCATGAGCTGCAAATGAACTGAAGAGGAATTGTACTAGAGAGTTTGTTTATGTACACACACATCCGTTCGTGTGCCTGTCTGTGTTTGTGTGTGCATGCGTGCATAGTGGACAACACAGCTCCAAACCTGCCCAAAAGTAGGAGCATGTGTGTGCTTTAGGGCATTGGTGTATGACAGCTTTACTGGCGGTTCCATCTGAATGCTATCATGCTATGGCTGTGGTGCCACTGGAGACGTCCTCACTTCTTTTTTTAACGAGAGAGCTTGGAAGCTCAGGGCCTACGCTATGCTTTTTTGCCTAGCTCATCATGCATGTTATCAGAACTGCCCCTCATAATCGGATTTTCTGGCCTTTTTGTAGTAATACATGTACATTGACCTGCTGAGCCAACGAGGTAAAATTATATTCCATACAATACGATACAATAATTATAATAATACTATAATGTCCTTGCCTTGATAGTGTGCTTGGGCTTAACTGTTGCTGACGGCCGAATGTATGGTTGGCTGTGGAGCACATTACATAACTGTACAGTCTCCTATAATACGCATCCTGTCCGACGGCAAAAGAGGCTGCGGATTTAGTTTTTCTGCACGTTATCAGCAATGACTACTGATCTTCAGCAACTAATTATTACTTGGGTGTCCTATAATACGTATCCTGTGTATGCTTAAAGCCTTTTGTAATGGTAACATAATGCTCGGGATAGCACTCGCTACTGATCTTCAGAAACTTGGGCTGACTCTCGCTCACAATAAGACTGTCGTAATGTTCATCGTTCCCAAGCGATCGCTGGTATCTCCCACAATTTTCATCGTACTGTTGTCCGACATGCTTTACGGCATCTTTATACCGTACAACACCGTATTGATGTCTTTGATGGTACGGTACGGGACAGGTACGGGATAGCGCCAGGCATGCCGATGGCACAAACAAACAAACACGGAAATAAAGCTGTGTGGACCCTGGCTAGCACCAGATGTTACTGAAGTATCGTCTTTTGCATAGCTACGGGAATAAATATACATTTCCACTTATACACAGAACAACAAGGGTGAAGCTAGTTTGTCGCTACTCTGAGTTTCATGCTTACGCAATCTTCAGGCAACATGAGGATGCTATTGGCCATGCCGGTATTTATGCCAGGAGAAATGTTGATGGATTTTGTAGTGCTATGCAAAAGCGCTGTATGGAAAGCTGTGTATGAATGCGGCGACTGTATAGATTTCAGGACTAGCAGCGGTTTCACGGGATTTTCTAAATTTTGCGGACACTACTGGATTCTGCGGAAATCTGCAATCCGCCGAATTCAAGGGGGACAGCATATGCAATTATTTTAACATTACCACTGTCAGCTAGGCTACTAAGTAGCTACATGACGCCATAGAGCCGAATACTCTCAATAACAAATATAAATATAACGAAACAATTCTTTGCGTGAAGTAGGCAAATACCGATAAAATAGTATGCAAGACTTCTATATTCTCTGCCAGGTACGGTCAATAGCAGAAGAGATGTCTTGACATTGTTTTTACAATTACTGATACGAAGCCATAAAACTAGCACACCCACCCTCTCTCTCGCTCTCGAAGAATACTCTAAATTGTGTGCGTGGAGAGAAAAGAAACATGCGGGACGAATAATTCTGATGGAGGAGATGACATGCCACAACACCATGCGAAGCCCAATTTCCTAGTTTACGCATAGTCTCTGTCAATGCTATCGGCAAGGTCCTGAGGAGGGTCTTCCCCCCACCCGGATGCAAGCACCTCTCCATAGTCCGCTACGTCAAGAGACCCACCACGTGTCTTCTCCAGGAATTCACTCAGCAAGGAGTCGTTGACATGCACATAGTGCCAAGCTGCCTTTCCCTTGTCTTTTCCACGGACCAAATAGATGGATGGCCCACGATGAATGCCTCGCTTCCGCTTCAGATGGACCCATGAAAGCCAGGTCTCGTGCTCCTGGTCTGGTTTGTCTAAGTAAGAAAAGCACAGTGATATCAAACCCATGCGAAACAGTGGTCAAAAGTGATACACATATCAATAATTCAGCACAGTCAAGAACGCGATTAACGACTTTGTCCAACAAAGGTTATTCACCAAATGAATAATCATAACGGCACAATTCCCAAGCCCAAAGTGGAATCCCATTTACAGGGGTGGTAAGTGAAATCTACATCAAGATACACTGGTCGCGTTGAAGACCACTTGGCTTGGACATCCTGAGCGCTCTTCCTGGCACACAAACACATCATCAAAATTAGTTAGTCGCTCTGAAAGTATATGTCAGTCCGAATTTCACTCGACGCTAAGCATCTACCAAAATACATAAGCAGCTACCATGGTGCGTAGTAGCCGGTACTAGTAGTTCATTTGCCACCAATTGCGACTCTAGTGCACGCAAACTGCGCACAACTTGTCACCCCGTTTCATCTCAAGGCATAGGAGAATCTATGGTAGAAAAAGGACTTACCCGGTGTCGGTAATGGCTTATCTGGGTCACGAGATTTCTTCACATCATTTTCTGTAGCAAATGCACACGAATTTCGCGAAGTGAGTACGGGTACGTGGCATCAAGTACGAAGCAAACGCACGTAAATACCATGAGCTCTAGAATTATTCCCGTAGCTATGCAAAAGACGTTACTGAAAACCCTTGTTTTTGTGAAGTTTGAATCAGTTTCCACTGTGAGTATGCAGTTGCCAGGGGCATGGTGCATATTCTGAGGTTAAATTTATTTTATTCCCGTAGCTATGCAAAAGACGTTACTTCAGTAACGTGTAACGTCTGGCGCTAGCCAGGGTCCACACAGCTTTAATTCCGTGTTTGTGCCATCGGCATGCCTGGTGCTCTCCCGTACCGTACCATCAAAGACAGCTGGCCACAATATTCAAATAGGGCTTTCAAATGCAAGATCATAACGGGAAGCAACTTGGAAGAATGAGTATGTATGCGAAGTGTATCGGGGGAATGCATGCAGGGCGATAGTGCGGGTTCGAATCCTAGGTTATGTCTTGAAAGAAATAGGAGAATGAATTTTGTTCACATCCCTATGCTTTTTTTGCCAAGGTCATCAAGGTGGTAGACGGTGTTGTATTACCCTCGAATGCAAAGAGAAAGTTTATTTATTTCGCTCAGGGCCCTACGCTATGCTTTTTTGCCTAGCTCATCATGCATGTTGTTCGAACAGATGGAAATATTTTGCAATACAATGATGTAGCCGATCAGTTACTTTTGCCTAACTCATATTCAAACTGATTGAAACGTTTTTGCACTACAATGATGTAGCCAATCAATGGAAAAAAACATTTCCATCAGTTCTAATAACATGCATGATGAGCTAGGCAAAAAAGCATAGCGTAGGGCCCTGAGCTTCCAAGCTCTCTCGTAATTCCAGACAGGCTTATCTGTATAGCTTGTTATGAAATATGGAGCAATTTCCTTTTCTGAAGTCTTCCTATAAAGCACCGCCAGTGTTCTTACTGACTTCAATACTATGTTCTGGGACTGGAAATGTCTGTGGCTTACTAGGGCTGCACTACACAGAAGGTACAGTGCAAGACAATAGGCCGACCTTGCATGCAGCCTGGCTTGTGTATACCTTTCTTAACATCATTCATCCCCAGTGCGACGGCCTTCACTCCTCTCACAACTGCTCGTATTACGCCGGTACTTGCAACACTGCGGTAGTTGTCTGCAAGGGCAGTGCAAAGACGCCGGTGTGCCTCCTGCTCGACCAGTAAGATTAGACGAATCCCATGTTTGTATGGAACACAACGAAGTAAACGGTATTTATCAGTAGCTGAAGCCTGGAGCAAAATAAAGTAGAAAGGAATAAATATGTCAGAAGCTACCGCTTGTAAAGTGCCACATCATGGGACAGCAGTCACAGCACCAGAAATAGCAAGATGGCACATCCTAGGTCAAATTGCAATGGTATTCGGCAGGGGCACAAGGGTACAGTCACACATTCCCAGGGGTTCCGCTTCGGCTGCGAGATTTGCGGCAGAGAAGTTTGTTCTTTCATGCAGAACTAGTTCTGTACGGTCACAGAAACTCAGAGAAAGCTTCTACATTTTGACGTAGCAAGTCGAAATTTAACATCACCCTGGTCACTCAGGTTTTCTGCTAGACCGGATCTGCAGAAGTGTACAATGTGTCATGTAGGTTCTGGGGTTTTCCCAGGAGCAGTAGTTTTGTTTTCCGTAGTTTCCATAGCAGTTTCACTCCTGCCGCTCCTGCGGATCCGCCACTCTCAACTGTGCGTGTGGACTCTAAGAGGTAAGAGGCCACAACCAAATTGTTCAATGCTGTCATCTACAAGTGTTCTTCAGTTTGTTCACAGGAAGCTCGAGACAACGTCTGTCGTTGCTGGGATGACTCATCAGACTTTTCCCGTGTCAACTCCCTCAAACCTTATGAATATTCTGTTAGGGGCTGTTCACAAGATCCAGTATGCATGTAGATAGTAGTGCTGTGGATGACCAACTGCTTAGTATTATGCATATCCAATGATTCATGTTCCCGCCAGATCCCGCTGTTTGGCACGTGTGAGTGCTTGTTTTCCCGCCAGATGCTGCTTTTGGCACGTGTATGTGCCGCGTTTGGGCACCGCACGGAGTAGGTTTGGTTCTGTTGTGTTTTGGTGCTGCCGTACTTTTCTTCAGGGCTTTTTCTTTGTTTCGTTACGTTTTTGATATCGTTCCATCAGGTTGAAGAAACAGAAGATTCCGTTGTCTCCCAAATCGCTCTCTTGGTCTTGTAACCAAATTGGTAGCAGTTCGGATGGTTTTAAGAGATAGTTTTGAGCGATTAGATGGAGAAGTCAGTTTTGTCGGAGCAGTCCGACGGCACGCCTGCGATGGCTGAAGAGTATTCGGTTTCGGGAGGAGCTGCGCCGGGGGAGTTGTCAAAGGACGACCAGGCCGCCAGCTCGGGCCGGGATCGACGGCCAGATACAGGCATTGAGCATGAGGATGACAGGTCCTCCGACGAAGAAACTCCAAGCTACCAAAAGACGGAGCACGACATGAGAATAGTGAAGATCGAAGCTAAAACGGAATTCACCAACTTCCGTCGCGGACTGCTCGTGAGAGTTGCAGCAGGACAGACGATATCCACAGAGGACATGGATCAATTATCCAGACTCCACACGCGAGCAGTGGATGCCACGGGTGATGTTCTGGAAGCGGTTATGTCGAACTGGTCAGATGAGCCCAGTGCATGGAAGGAGCGAACAAAGCTCATCACGGAATTGGAGAAGTTAGAAGTGCAGTTCTCCGCAACCATGGAAGGAGCGATAACCAGTACTTCCCAAGCTCTGCTGGGCCAAGTGCTCCACCAAGGGCAGGACTGGAGTTTTGGCACTACTGCTGGTGGTACTAGTGATGACGTGCAGGACCGGCCAGGGCGTGGATCCAGCAGTGGACTATTTGACTCAAATCCAGTGCACAGTTACAGTGGAAGTCAGTATCCACTTGACCAGCCCAGCTATGAGTGGCTCAGCTCAGGAGGCTCTTCAGGTCCACTTCTTCCATTAGTGCCAAGTGACAGCCTACTGTCAGCCACACCTGGCAATCACCCAAGTGCAAGTACAGGCACGGGTACTGGTAGTGCTAGTGGTGAGCATGATGCAGGTACTGCAGCCACCCCTCCAGTAGCCACTACAGTCAGCAGTAGCACCGGTCTTGGCTCAAGGAGTGCCAGCAGGGCTGTTACAACTCTGCCCCTGCTTGCTTCATCTGCAGTATCTGCTCCGTTATCCAGCGGCACAACCGGAACTGCTGGAAAACCCAGTTCTACGGCCACCACATCTCAAGTTGGGGGGAATGGTGACAAGAAGGCAGTGCATTTCAGCCAGTCAACGAAGCAATCAGCAGCAACCCCGATGACCATGTCCAGCACCCAGTCGCGGGGTACAACACCACCCGGATCATCTATTCACGATCTGAGGCCTACCGCCAGCAGTTTTACGCCAGGCCGTATGGCCGCTGCAACAGCTCCACCAAGGATGTCAGCCGTCCACCCTGGAGTCACTTCCAACCAGCCGTCAGCCGGACACCACAGCATGAATAACCCAGCTGCAGCCTCGCTATCAGCAGCCTCCCGCACCACGCATCAGCCTGCTCCATGGGCCCACATGCAGAGGATTGCCATCCCTGCATTCGAGGGCGAGAAACGGCACTTTCATTCGTGGTGGGCGGCATTCTCATCGTGCGTTGACGTCGCACCTGTCACGGTCGAGTCCAAGATGCTGAGACTCCGGCAGTATCTCAAAGGTGAGCCGCTAAAAGCGATTGACAGCTTTGGCTATTCGGCGGCGGCCTATGAAGCAGCAAAGGCGTTGCTTCAGCGCAAGTATGGTGGCGAGCGGCGTCGGGTGGCAATCCACCTCGAGGAGATTGACAGTATGAGGCAAGTGCGTTATGGCAAGGCAAAAGAGCTGGAACAGTTCGCTGACTTGTTGTCAGTAGCCGTGGTGAACCTCAAGGATGCCGGGAGGAGTGCGGAGCTGGGGGCGGGCACGTTCTACTACATGCTGCTCCGAAAGCTCGATGAGCGAATTGTTGCACGATATCATCGCTGGCGGTACGATCACACATCAGCCGAATCTGTAGAGGGATTGCTAGAGTTCTGCCTACTGGAAGCGGAATTCTTGGTGACTGCGTCAGAGACAATTACTGGGTTTGGTACGAGCGCCAGCAGCAAAACCGACCAATCCCGCGTTATCAGGGACCATCGACAAGACAAGCCGAGGACACTGGTGACTACCAGCCAGCCGACATCTACCTGTACGGTCTGCCACGGTGCACATAAGACATGGCGGTGCCTGACATTCAAGTCGGCGAACCCCAACAAACGGTGGAAAATCGCAAAGGAGAAGAACTTGTGCTTCCGTTGCCTGGAGACAGGGCACAGCAGCAGCGCCTGCTCATGGGGGCAGCCGTGTGGTATCAGCGGGTGCACCAAGGCACACCATCGTCTGTTGCATGGTACACAGACGCCAGCATCTCAGGCCCAGACGTCACCTACAAGGCCATTCAACGTTCAGCCGCACTTTGCTCAGAAGCCAGCAACAAGTGACGCCGGCGCCACTGGAACAACTCTGTCTACATCGCGAGCAGGGAAAGCCGTAGCTATGCGGACCGTGCCAGTTGTCGTGAGAAATGGCGAGACTGAGCTCCGGGTGAATGCGCTTCTCGACGATGCGAGCACTAACTCGTACGTCAGCTCCCATGTGGCCAATGAACTTGGGCTTACTGGCGAAGAGGAGACATTGACGGTCAAAGTCCTGAGCGGACGCACAGAGATCTTCCGAACGACACCAGTCATGGTGGAGCTCAAGAGCGTCGACGGTACATCAGCTACCACACTACAAGCGTACACTGCTGACTCAGTAGTCGGAAGCAGCAGTGCCGTCAATTGGCAACAGAATCGACAGCAATGGCCACACCTCATGGCGGTCCCGTTTCCGAAACTGCAAACCCGCCGGAAGATCGACATTTTGATTGGCCTGGACTGCGCAGAGTTACACACGTCATTGCAGGAGGTCCAAGGCAACCCAGGCGAACCAGTTGCCCGACTCACACCATTGGGTTGGACATGCGTTGGCCCCGTTCACCACACAGCGGAGTCAGATCCCGTCACACTGTTAACGGAAACGGCGCCACAGGATGTCCACGACAGCCTTGCGCAACTGTGGGTCATTGAGGAGTTCAACAAAATGCAGCCACAGCAACCCGTCTTGTCTTCTGAGGAAAGGGAGGCAGTTCGAGCAAGCCAGCAGTCGCTACAGCTGGTCGATGGACACTACGAAGTTGGTATACCGTGGCGTGGGGAGCGTCCCAATCTACCGGACAACTTTCCTGCGGCTGTGAAACGACTACGTAGCACCGAGAGGCGGCTCAGTCAAGACGCAGCGGCAGCCTATGGCAAGATCATCCATGACTATGTCACAAAAGGCTATGTGCGAGAGGTCCTGGAGGAGGAACTGAGTCCTGGTCGGCAATGGTTTCTGCCGCACTTTGCGGTACTGCGACCTGACAAGGAGACAGCGAAGACGCGCATCGTATTTGATGGCTCTGCGAAGTACGACGGCGTATCACTTAACGACATGATGCTGCCAGGCCCAAAGCTACAGCGTCAACTGCCGAGTGTGCTGACGCGCTTTCGCCAAAACCCAGTCGCCATCATCTGCGACATCGCAGAAATGTACCTGAGAGTCGGACTGTCGCCAGAAGATAGGCCGTATCACAGATTCCTGTGGCGAGACTTGGACGGCGCGGTGCCGCCACGGGTTTATGAGTTCCAGCGACTGGTTTTTGGTGCCAATGCATCACCCTTCCTGGCACAATTCGTATCGCAGGAGCACGCAAAAGCCCATGCGTCTCAGTTCCCACTAGCAGCCGAGACCATGTTATCATCAACATACATGGACGACTCCATGGACTCTGCGGCGGACGACGACGAGGGCATCATGATGTACGAACAGTTGATGGAGTGCTGGGCAGGAGCTGGAATGCACGCTCGCAAATGGCTGTCTAACTCCAAAGCCGTCATGGCCAGGGTTCCGAAGGAGGATCGAGCGAGCCAAATTGATCTCGACTGTCCGCAACTGCCAAGCGTCAAGACACTCGGACTGCTGTGGTCTGCGACATCGGACCTCTTCACGTTCAAGCCAACTGCACCAGATGCAAAGAAGGTCACCAAGCGTACATTCCTGAGCGCGATGGCCAGTGTGTTCGATCCGCTGGGTTTTGTGTCACCCTTCATCGCCAACGCGCGAATCCTGCTGCAGGGGGTTGACTGGGATGACCCTCTCCCCGAGGAGCTCCACCGAAGGGCCTTGAGATGGTACGCGGAGCTAGACGAGCTGGCTCAGCTCGAAATTCCACGCTGTTTGCAAGACGTCAACGCAGGAAAACCCGTCAGCAGACAGATCCATGTGTTCGCCGACGCATCGGAAAGCGCCTACGGCGCAGTGAGCTATCTTCGCTGTGAATACCAAGATGGCCATGTATCAACCACGCTCATCGCCAGCAGGTCTCGCGTAGCTCCCATTACAGCCGTGTCAATTCCACGATTGGAGCTGTCTGCTGCCGTAATTGGGACGCAACTAGCTGCCTGGGCGTCGGACGTACTTGGCTTGCCTGTTCGTGATGCTGTCATCTGGACCGACAGTCTAAATGTCCTCCACTGGGTACGGAACCGCGCACGTACCTTCAAGCCATTTGTCGCAACACGAGTCGGAGAGATTCTGGAGCACACTGCACCTGACCAGTGGCGTCACGTGCCGACTAAAGAGAATCCTGCAGATGTGCTTTCCCGCGGCTCGGCAGCGCGTAATCTCATCGAGGACACTTGTTGGTGGTCAGGCCCAGCCTTTCTCCGAGCTGCTGAGTTTGAATGGCCAGGGCAGGGCATCAAGGAGCCGATGTCGACAGCAAGCTTGGAACAGAAGAACACAAGCAAGCCAGAAATCGTCAGTGGCACTCGTAACATCGGTCTTGGGAGCCTCAGAGAATGAGATTCCGTGGAAGCTAGCTCCGGAGAGGTTCTCGAGTCTCAACCGCCTCGTGGGACTTCGCGCGTGGGTGACGCGGTTCGTGCAGAATTGTCGCACACCAGCAGAGCTTCGATGCACTGGTCAACTGTCAGTCGATGAGCTGGACAGCAGCATGGCTAGCATTATCGCAGCTGCGCAGGAAGAGACCTTGGAAGAGTACCGCCTGCTGAAGAAAGACAAGGCCATACCCACCTCCAGCAAGCTGACAAAGCTGCGGCCAATGTTGAACGACGATGGACTTCTGTGTGTTGACGGCCGCCTCAAGAATGCACAGATACTGGATGAGGAATCGAGGTGCCCTGTGATTCTACCACGAGGCCATTGGGTCACGCAGCTCATTGTACAGGAAGCGCACGAGCAGAATCACCACACCGCTGGTGTCAGTCACACGCTAGCTCTCCTGTCGAAGAAATACTGGCTACTTGCGGGTCGTGAGGAGATTAAGGCGTGGGAGAAGAAGTGTGCCCTATGCCACCGTCGCCGTGTGAAGCCGGGAGTTCAGCTAATGGCGCCATTACCAGACGTGCGCGTGTCCCTGCCACTGCGGGCGTTCTCTCGAGTCGCCGTTGACTACGCTGGACCGTTCATGACCAAGCAAGGACGCGGAAGACCTCGACAAAAGAGGTACCTCTGCTTGTTCACATGCCTACAATCACGTGCCGTACACCTTGAGCTGGCTAGTGGTTTGGACGTTGACAGCTTTATGAACGCCTTTCTGCGGATGACGAGCCGCCGGGGTATTCCCCTGCAAGTCATTTCCGACAACAACACTAACTTCGTCGGAGCGGCCAATGAGATGAAGAAGCTGCTTGATGCAATAATGGACGGAGTGGAGCGTCGCGCAACTGACAAAGGGATCAAATGGACGTTCAATCCGCCGGCCGCTCCACACTTTGGAGGTGTTCACGAGGCGTTAGTGAAATCGGCTAAACGAGCCATCTATGCAGTGCTGGCAGGTGCAGAAGTCAATGATGAAGAGCTAGCGACCGCCATGATTGGAGCGGAGGCCTTGCTCAACTCTAGGCCACTCACGTACCAGTCTGCCGACGCCAGGGATCTTCTCCCGCTAACGCCCAACCATTTTCTGTATGGGCACCAGGGCGAGCCGTTTGCACCCAAGGGCACGGATGATGTCCCACACAATCTGCGCCAGCGGTGGAGAGTTGTCCAAACGTTAGTCCTGCAAGTTTGGAAGCGCTGGATGACCGAGATGTTGCCTCTGCTACATCCGCGGATGAAATGGCGGCAACCACAACCAGACTTGGCAGCTAACGACATCGTCCTCGTGGTCGACACCGGAGCGCCCCGAGGTCAGTGGAGACTTGGCCGAGTGGAGGAGGTGTATCCAGGAGCCGACGGGCGCGTGCGAGTCTGCAAAGTCAAAGTTCGCGGCACGTCCCTTGTGCGGCCGGTTACGCAGTTGTGCAAGCTTGTCGCTGAGTGATCGCAGGTGCTGAAAAGTCAGATGGTGGACTTCTGATACATGTGCATGCAGCGAGAAAACTGTACGAGAACTATGTATGACTGTTCTTGTAACCTGAAAGTAATGGACCATGACATATCGGTTTATTCTGGATTCCAACATAACATTACTCTGGTCACTGTTCTCTACAAGTGTAGTGTGCCCAGCAATATGCGGCTGATTCTTGATATAGTCTAGAGCAAATATTCCATATTACTAGGTTCTGGTTTTTTTACCTTTCTGTTTTTAGTTGATTAATCTACGTTTAATCAAGGCAGGGGAGAAATTGTTCACAAGATCCAGTATGCATGTAGATAGTAGTGCTGTGGATGACCAACTGCTTAGTATTATGCATATCCAATGATTCATGTTCCCGCCAGATCCCGCTGTTTGGCACGTGGGAGTGCTTGTTTTCCCGCCAGATGCTGCTTTTGGCACGTGTATGTGCCGCGTTTGGGCACCGCACGGAGTAGGTTTGGTTCTGTTGTGTTTTGGTGCTGCCGTACTTTTCTTCAGGGCTTTTTCTTTGTTTCGTTACGTTTTTGATATCGTTCCATCAGGTTGAAGAAACAGAAGATTCAGTTGTCTCCCAAATCGCTCTCTTGGTCTTGTAACCAGGGGCCATCCGGCATTATCGATAATTTTCACGAAACGAAAAGGTTTAGCTATGACCCTCCCCCCCCCCCCCCCCCCCGAACGAAAAATATATTTACTTGACAGCTAGAATGGATTGATGTTTCAGCTATCAATATTTTTCATAACGAAACTCTCCTCGACCCGCCCACAAACGAAACTTTTTTGTTTTGTGTAAAAGATTGATCTTTCAGGCCAATTCGCTAATATATGCCCTCGTTTATTTTCCCACAATGGGGCAGCCTGTTGTTTTCCACGCCCCTGATCATCTCTAGTTGTATGCGGATGTTGATGTTTATAGGCACTTTAATTATAGTCTGTCAATATTCCTCATCACTTACTGGTGCTTGGCGCTCGTTATACATAGCTCCACCAATGAGCGCCAGTCGTGCCTTTCTGTGCGGAAGAAAGTGAGCCATGGACCTGTCTGAGAGATAGATACAGACTAGCTCAGAGTCGGACCTCCCGAACTCTTCTCTCAAGTTGTCAAGAGCTGAATGCGAGTACGGGTAACACCAAGAAAGACAAAAAAGAAGTGACTGGGAATAATACCAACACCAGTACACAACTACAAACCGTGCGTTAATAATAAAGGTTCATTTCTCCCAAAGCCAATTATGCAATTTTATGTGCAATGTTGTAGGCAACACCCCCAAAACTCAGTTTTTAAATTTCTTTCTCTCTGATCATGTGAGGAAACAGTAGGGTTTGTGCTGCTTACTTCCCTTCCGCTCACTTTCCTACTGGCCCCCCTTAGCATACCGGTCAACTAGTCCCCATGCACAGGCTTTGGTAAGTAGAGAAACTTACATGTAGCGTGTGATGCAAACACAAACAAAAAAACCAAAACAAAGCCGGTGATGTGGTAGGCATCCAGTAGCGTTTTATCAAGAACAATGAAATGAAACAAAGTACAAGCAAGTTTGTCTTAGGATGTTTCAACTCAGGGCTATCCCTATTCTTGTCAATGATTGTACCACCCTTACCATCACCTGATCATCTTTCAGGTCAGTCAATAATTAAGGTTACATTCTACATGGACTCACCCTCTACTGCATTGTTCTGTTCGCCAAATTCTGCACCGATTATGCCGATTTTCCGAAGGCTTTCGCATGGCTGCGGTAGTAGAAACTTGTAGAGCTGGTGCTCTGCTCTTGCCGGGATGCTAATTTCCAGTGAATCGTTGCCCTCTAGAAGATCCCATATCACAACGTCAATCGGTGATATCATCAGGGCAGCTGCGATTTCCTCTGCCAGCATATTCCATGTCAAATCATCTGCATCTGTTCGCAGGCGTCGGAGGTCTTCCAACAAGTCTTGCTTGAGAAACAATGTTACAATATGTCCTGTGGGCAGTGAGAAGCCAGAATTGAGAGTTCATTATGTAGCCCAGTTGACATGTTTTGGCGAAAATACGCATTACGCCGCGTGTTCTACCAGACTTGGCTTGGTCATAGTTGCCCAGGAAGTGCCGGCAACCCAGCGAATCCCTCTGGGAAAAGTGTATGAGCAACATTCTTGGCAATTGCCAATAGGATATCACTGCCATCTTCAACTGTCACATTGTCATATCGAAGTCCAGGTCACTACCCTAGCATGCCATGTGTCAGGACATTACGTGCACTGGATTTTACAATGTAGACAGTGACAGTAGTGGTCAAGGAACACATGGCGCGTCCGACTGTAATGTTTATTGCTGAGCTCCTGCATTGCAACAATACGTACCTGGATCATCCTTTCGCCGTCTATTCACATATGCCGGGCTTTCCTCGGCCATTTTCAAGAATAGAGAGCTCGTGCCCTATACTTACTTGCCAGCTAGCTATAGCGGCTATTGTTCGGGTCAAAACGAGTAAAATAGACAACAAGAGGCAGACAGGCAGAGCTGCAGGAAATCTCCAGTGGTAGCATACACTAGCGGTACAACAAAGCCAGAGCAGTCAGCGAAAGGTTAGCTACTGGATGTACGTGCAAACACACTACATTGTACAAACTACAAGACAGAAGAACTAGAGAGGGAAAGGACTCTGACTTTCCAAAGAAATAAGACTGAGCCATTGAAACAACGGACAAAAAGACACACAATCTCGCCACATCTACCATTGTCTACAGTCAGTGCCTTTGTAGCACGAGCTGACAATCACACAACAAACAACACGTGCCCCATGTAACTAATACTTGTTACCCCCATGGCCCATGCCCTGTACTGGCACTGGCAGTAGCCACAGTCATGTGCTACACAAAAAGGTACTTCACGTCTTCAGTTCAGATCAGACCAGGGAGTAGTAAAATACACCCTGGTTCAGACGTCAATAATATAATTATGCTTCATTCGGAAAAAATCGTGCAGAGGTGGAATGACGATACTGACGTGTGGAGTGTGATAGAAGATGTGAAAACAAACCGAAATAAAATTAATTGTTATAATTATTGTTCAGATGTCTGTATTGGATGATACTCTAAATTCAGGTATGTTCTGGTTTGTACTTCACTAAAGCAACCCAACCATGTCCTTGCCTCTAGCGAGGCGCACTCCAACTACCGTTGTCACTAGCAGCTATTGTAGACAAGCATCCAAGCTATCAACGTCTCTAACTTATTGTCAGGATCTTGTCAAGTAAGATGCACTGTGCAGTGTGCTTGTTCTGTGATGCGAATATGACTGTTTCACAGCCCAATAGCAGAATGCATCACACGAATCTTGAACTGCACATCAGAATATTGAGCATGTTGGAAATCACTCTGACTGCTCCAATTTGTTCCCCAATCTGCTTCGACTCGGGTTTGTGGTAAAAACAATTTGGAGCAATATCACACGGCCTGTATTAAAGCAAAGTTCTACTTTTCGGCTGGGTTTGGGGAAGGTTGGCATAGAAAAAAATCACGGAAAAGCGGTACCTCTGTCAGGCTCTAAGTGGCGTGTCCATACTACAGTTGTGCTCGGTGAAATTGTAGTGCGCACTGTAGTACAAGCCTGATTTACTAGTACATGTACACTCATATCTCCCTTATCCGGTACTACTGCACTGTAACGTTACAAGAGTACGGTGTTACAGCATGACCCTAAACGCTAATTCTCTACGGATTATAGCTGCGCTTACTCTATGAATTAGTTCCACCTTCCTGCTTACTCTGGTTGAAGAGTACAGTTTACTGCGAAACGGGATATGTTTGCGATTGAATACTTCACATTGTATGCCGGGCGAGTTTTCGAAGTTCAGAGTATGCGATTCGGCACCTCTCGCAAAAGTCACAAACATTTATATGTCGCAAACATTACTTTGTAGTACCCCGTTTTAGTGTAGACATTATTGAATAATGTGTGTGTGTGTGTGTGTGTGTGTGTGTGTGCGCGCGTGTGTGTGCGCGCGCGTGTGTGTGTGTGCGTGTATGTGTGGTGTGTGTGTGTGCGTGTGTGTGTGCATGTGTGTGTGTGTGTGTGCATGTGTGTATGTGTATGTGTGTGTGTGTGTGTGTGTGTGTGTGTGTGTACATGCGCGCATGTGCGTATCAGGAAACGTGACTACGAGCACTATCTGAGCACTTTGTTGGTGCCGAAGGATGCACGGGCCGGTGCATTTGCAGTGCGGGCTTTCAACATCTCCATTGCCTCGGTGAGACAGGTTGTAAATGTTTTCTTGACATAATCATGTGTTTGTGAAGAAGCTATTAGTAGTTGGTCCCAGCATGCAGCTCACGCTTCCTGCATAATTAACTGGACACTTGACCAGGGGCGACGGAAGCAGTTTTGACTGCTGTTCCGGTCGTACCGTAGTCTTTCATACTTGTGTATGATATGGCGGGGACACATGACCTCCTCTGCAGTTAACTTGTGTTGGTGACCAAAAGGTTAGTTCGGCTATCACGGCTGTCAAGAAGCGGCAACTTAGAAAGATGGCGTCGGTTCGAGATGGCATGGTAACCGCGCACGTGCCGTGGTCCGTGACTTGCTCATGTATGCACGCAAATGCAAGTCACAAACTCACAAAGATCATCTTTGCATTTGGAGAAAATATCTTCGACTCTCTTTGGAGGTTGGCGAGGTTTGCCTAATCTTTACTTGATTGCGATGCCAGTATGTCCTCTCAATAATTAGAACAAAGAGAGCTGATGATCGCTTCATTGCTGAGCAGAAGTAACAATCAACTCTCCTCATGTCCTCAGTGCCAAAGGCAGACGACTGCAATTCCACAACGCTCATTTCACGATGATGGAAACAATAATCGTGTACTAGTACACACTTGGACCATTTGGTCATCCCAATTCTAGCCGCTAGTCTGTCCAGCAAGCAGATATTGACTATTACGATAAGTACAACTGCGTGAACGAGGGCTCACCCAGCAAATTCAATTCAAGACGTGACCCCAGTCAAGAATTAGGGTCTTTACTCGAGAACTTCACAAATACAGGTCAAGGCACCCCACAAAACTGATAGATGGCACGAACGAAAGACAAATAGGCTAGACAAAGTGTCCCAAGTGATTGAAAACAGCAGATCTACCAAATAAGACAGCTACATGTGCCTAAACAACGATTCCCATACAGTAGAGCTGTAGTATCAGGCAGAATGAAAGCCTTGGACGTGCACAAATACAGCCACGACCGCCACAAAAATTGGACGACCGCCACAAAAAAATTCTCATTGCTCTACCTCCTTGAAGGGTGAAAGTTACCAGTTATCCTATAGCGATGTCAGTTTACGCCTGTTGGAACCCCCCCACAACCCGCACGAAATACCTTTCAAATAATTCCAGGATGCAATTGCAGCTCCAGACAGGACGAAGAAGAACACCGTGAAAAATAACGGCAACGATGCCCAAACTCTCGGGAAACGGCTGAAGTCTTCCTGAAGATGTTAACATTGAATAGCCATCGATTACCAGCGTGGTTTGGTGACTTTAGAACTGTTTTGAGACTTAGAACGAAGCGATATCTCAAATTTGATGGAATTGTTACCTGTCAAATGCGTGGGCGAGCAGACCAGCTGACTGGTTTGCATGAACATGCATGAGCATGCATTGATTTTTCATGGTTCACGTGCAGAAAACTAAGTTGCCGCGATCCAAGTGCAGCTAACAGCCGTGCTATGGCCTGATCAACCCGGTTCCGCCGTCCTTGTTGACAGATTGATAACTGCCATCCAGAGTTCATGAGGAGCACTTCAAAATTTCCACTCAGCAAACCTGCAAGAATGCGCCACTCCCTGCTCAATAGGTCAAGTGATGAGGGGTGAAATCCCTGAAACGGTTTCCTCTGAGATGACGGCTACACCATAGCTCAGTGGTAGAATATTGCTGGCAGATGGCAAAGGTCCCTGGTTCAAGTCCTAGTGGTGACAGTCAATTTTTTCATCAGACTCTTCTACTCCTTCAACTAATGAATAGGTACCGTTATTTTGAAACTTGATCCGAGCTGCTCTTTGTGTTGTACCTGTTACCTCTATCTACTTTACATGTGCCGGATAGGTGAGGGAGAATTCGAGTGATTCCAATATTAGCCGGATGCGCTTGATGTTCTGGAAGGAGAGCATTGATCAGATCTACAAGGTGAGGCGGTGTTGTCTGGTGCGATGCTGTTTTGTTGTCCATTGGGGACATACATGTACATGTGCTATGAAGAAGTGGTACATCAGGTCTCCCAAAAATGAGAAATGGATTTCAACATCACCAGATTGCTCTGTATAATGATCACATTCGCCGTGATACCATTTTGATGAGTGTTGCACTAGTCGCTACCTTCTCAACTTTCGAGGTTTGAAGTTTTTTTAAACCAAATCTCTGCATTCATAAGTTTGAGGGATTGAAGAGGGAAACATTACTTATCCCTGTTTTTTGTTTCATGTGTACGTTGCCTTGTTACCTGAATGTCCAGTCGGGCAAGCCACCTGAGCAGCCTGTCCTCGCCTTGCTGGCTGCTGTAAGTTGAGTGTCGAGCATCGCTGATCTGCATCACCCACCTCCACCATGCACGCATACAAGCACACACCTACAAGTATTTCCTCTCGAGAAAAGTGCTTAAAAGTGACAACCCTGTTCATATTTCCCGTACACCAACTTGAAATGGATATCTTTTACACCTGCCAGTACCGTAAAGTACTGTTGAATCCGCTCCCACGCTGTGTCGCTTCCGAGCTGATTTTTCAAGCTTATTGGCAAGTGATTTAGTTAGCCATAAACCACAGTTGTAAAGGAGGACTGGTAAAATTGTTTTAATACTAATAGTCTAGATTCTAAAGAGTGCCTATCCCAACTGATTGTGTGAACCTGGGTGTTGGCAGAATTGATTCTTTTGTTGATATCTTCATCTGTGCCAAGAAAGGAATCCAGGAGTTTCGTTTTTCTCCACTCTGCGTCTTGTCTCGACGGATTTACAAATTGTGTCTTTGAGGGATTAATTTTCAGGTTGTCTCGGGGAAATACATCCTCACAAGCTTGTACAATTTTTGCGTGTCGTTTCTTGATGAGCTGTGAACAGTTGTGTCATCACTCATCAGCGCATTGCATAAAGGGAGTTGGTATGTGGTGGATCATGTTGAGTTTAGCGATCTCCTTATCAAGTGCCCGTAGGGAATGTTCCGCGTATACAATGAACATCATCGGTGATGTAGGATCGCCCTACACCATGCCAGTGTTGGACAGAAACGGTTTGCCAAGTTTACCGTCGAGCTTGATCGCAACAGAAGTATCAGAACCAATATTCGAGTGTAGGACAGATGGGGAGCTCTGCCTCTAGTAAGCATTTGATTGCCTTGCCGTGGGATACTGTATCAAAGGCACCACTAGAGTCTAGTTGGGCAGCAGAGCTATCCCAATCACCGAGTAGCGCTCTTTCACACATGCACCGGGTGTAAAACACCCCACCCGCTGTCAAACGGCCCTTCCGAAATCCTGCTTGGCTCTCCCGCACATACTCACTGATCTCAACATTATTCCGTCTCGTAATTTTTGCTGTGAGGACTTTACGCACGGTGGAGAGTAGCATCACAGGGCGGTAGCTCTTTGGGATACCAACTTGTTTTCCTGGCTTATGTAGTGGAGCCAGTATACCCAGAAGAAAGTCTTTCGGGCATGTATGGTGTGTTTGGATGGTGTTGAGAAAAATTTACAAAGCCAGGGTACGATGACGCCAGTAGCCGACTGTAGCACTTCTGCGCTAAACCAAACAGCCAGACCAAACAGCAACGGATAAGTGATATCTGCTGTCAGCGATGACTGCTTCAGTTTGGACACGTTATCAGAGAGGGACCGGAGGCATCGTCATACCAAGCCATAGACATGGCCTCCAACATTGAAGATTTTAAAAAGCCTCGTGGATGTCTACCAACCAGATGGACCGACGTTATAAAGCAAGACCTGAAGAAAACCAACATCTCTGTCCCTGAAGCATTTGTCTTAGCCGAAAACAGACATGAATGGAACATTTTCACTCACATAATGCGTAGAGCTCAATTCTGATTAATATGCGAACTGTTCTTCTACTTAACTTGTATTGTGGCAACACTGGCCAACACTCAGATGCACTGCTTCTTCACACAGCTGAACAATTCTTCTTTCTTCTCAACATTTCGGTCACTCTGACCATCTTCAGGATGAAGCAGACACGGAAGCAAGGCAGACTTTAAAACAACAAGCTGGCTAGGTGCGTGCGGAATACAGCGGGGAAAACAAAACAAAAAACAACAACTCCCAAGCGAAAAATGCCACATGCCACATGATCACAATAGGGGTGCTAGTCATCCGTGTGAGAGACTAGGGCGGTGATAATTATGTACAACCTGTGGAATACAGCAGGGGGAGGGGGGGGGGGGGGCACTCTCAGGCGAGAGAAGAAAAATCCCGGCAACAGCCACATGACTACAGTAGTGTGGACAGTGCTAACATAATGCTAAAGTCTAGGGTGGTGATACGTACAATTTGTGGGTGCTAAGGTTTCACATGGATAGCTATCACTCCAATGAAAAAGCCAGGCAACCAGAGTTCACAGGAGATCCCAACCACTGCTGGTGTTGATATTAGGCTCCATGTCCCGGATCTTGACCGCTTCCCGAATCCTTCTCCTTGCCCTGTCTGGCTCTGTCGCAAGCACACAGACGTTGGCGAATCCGGTCTGCCCCAGCGACAATGGCTCATCGTCATGGAAGATCCGGTAATGCTCACCCAGCGCCTTTCCTCGGACCTCGTTGCGTGCATTATCGTTGTGCTCCCTTGACCTTGTCGCAACACTTCGGCCAGTTTCACCCACATAGTCATCACCGCAACGGCACTCGAGGTGGTATACCACGTTTCGGCGGGTGCAGTCCACTGCACCTGCTGTACATGCCACGCAAGCTGATTTCGGTCTTCCCCTTCTCCTTGGCTGCTGTGGATCAACGAATTTGCGGCATAGGGGCTTGTCCAAAGCAGACCTGCAAACCTGCGAGCTGAGCCGAGCATTCTTGTATATGATGTGGGTGTTCAGCTGATATTTGCGAATGAGATACTGCACCTTCTTGTGGATGTGATCGGTTTTGAATGGCAGCTTGAGTGTTGTGCGAAAGTCCTTTTTCTGTTTGGATCCTGTCGGTCGTCCAGCTCGTTCCCGGGCCTTGTCAATCACTGATTGTGGGAAATTGTTGAATTTCAGCACGTCGATGACCTTCTTTTCACTCCTCCGGCGCGTCTCATTATCCGATGATAGTCGAGAGGCACGGAGGAATTCGGAAGAGGCAATTGAGAACTTTTGTTGATATGGATCGGCGGATTTGTAGTCAGCCACCAAGCCACTGTGACATGGTTTGCGGAAGAGCTCTCTCTGGTAGGTCATGGAGCCGAAACGGAAATAATTGGATCTCAGGATGAATGGCAGCAGCTCCTTGATCTGGAGAATACTCAGGCCAAACGTGTCGATATCACTGACATGCTGCTGCAGAACTCTGGTAACTGCCTCAATACCGTCCACGATGGGGATACTAGGATCGAGGGGCAACCACATCCATGGTCACTGCAATGGTTCCGGGTGGAGCTTGAAGGTCGGGGTAATGCTGGCGTATGCTGTCCAATGCTTCCACTGTATTCTCGAGGTGAGCTGGGATGAACTAACTGTTACTTGAGACACTGGTTAAGTATTCGCTCTAGGAGGATGGAGACATTGGTGACTGGACTATCGCAGGCTGACACTACCGGTCTCAATGGCACTCCTGTTCTTCTACTTATTAATTCATCCTTGCATGCTCTCTAAAAGGCTAGGTACCCTTACTTCCGTGATTATGTAGAGAGAATCAGAGCTGGATTTCCGCTGCTACCACGAATTACGTTTTATTCTCTGTAGCGTATATTATTAATAGGTTATCGGATTGCGGCAGATACAAGTAAACCAAACTCCGTGTCTCTAAATTCTATTTGAATGGGTTCAGTGATGGATTGTTCCGACAATAATTAGCAATATAAATAGTCCATTGATTCCATCTTCCGTCGGCCCGTCCTCTGAGTTATTATTCTCGCATGGATCTAAACAAGCCTTGTCGGAGTGCATGTACTTTGTTGTCATGACGTGTGGCTGGTGCATTTTTCGTGCTGGTGTATGCAAGCACGGCATGGTCTTCTTGTAAGGTCTAAAAGCAATCACAACTATTGTCCGTTCACTCACTGCACATCCTATGTCCAGGCCATCAGGGAATACAAACTGACAAAGCAATGGTTGAACCAGCTTATAGCCAGTCGGGTAAGTTTCTGTACCGTTACTCAACTGATATGTGGCAGTATTCCTCTGGTAGTTCGCCTTTTTCACTCGACGTGAGAACGACTATCTTGCTGGTGAAGTAATAGTCAACCATTGACCCATGTACTTATGTATGACTTGTTTGCTTCAGGAATCTCGCCTTTCTGACAACCCATTCAGCAGCATCAATGAAGCTGAGCGTTACTTTGATGACACCCTGTCGCCTGCATTGTTCCTGATACTGCAATGCCTTCGAGTGCAGAGCGTTGACGCTGATCATGCTGCTAGCCACTTGAGTAGAGCGCAGGGCTTGGTATTGCTGGTGCGAGGTATACCCTACTTTGCTCAGCAGAGGAAGGTGCTGCTGCCAATGGACCTCTGTGTGCATGTGAGTTAAGTAGTCCTCTTGACAGTATGGCATTCTGGTTTGGGAATCGGTAATACGAGTCTCACGATCAACATTTTTTTATTTTGTAAATTTTTATTGCTGCCACTCACCCGTGGTCACTTGGTCCACATGCGAACAAAAAGAATTGCACGGTTCACGCGGGACTCAGTTAGAATGAGTTTTCCGCATCCGTAGGAACGCCGCCACCCTCAAGGATCACGACACAGATGCCGGTCCTAAAGCGGTGGGAGGTGAGTAGATCAGACCCACCACCAAAGTGGTCAAGGACCGATCATATCCCTCAAACAACCTAGCAAGCAAATAAGTAGATATGCGGCGCAGTAAAGGCTGCTGAATTCTGCTTTGCCAGACGTGCAACCTGTAAGTGTAAAGTCATAACATTTTGGAAAGGCTGAAGAGCAGTGAAATGTTGTTCCTGATCCCTTCACATACAGCATGGCCTAACCCAGGAGAGCATCGTTCGCAGAGAAGTAGAGCAGCCGCTACGAGATGTGGTCTATGATATAGCTGGCCAAGCACACATACATTTGGAGAAGGTAAGTGATATTCATACGTCATGTATCATGTCCCTGCATCACATGGTGGAGGTCTTCTCTCTCCCGAGTCTGTACCGTGAGCGGGCACATTATTTGAGGACTGAAATGTATGTCTTTTATGGTGTAAATTTCCTTTTCACTCTGTCAACCCTCTTCTTTATGAAAAATAGGCCCTTTTCTGGCAGACAAACCAGTTGATTGGTAAATCTACTTGCAAGTTCACCAGAAATGGCCGAAAAATTTGCCGCAAATTGTGCCAATATTGACCGCAAGTTATGCCACGAATTTTGAACTTTTCTTCCGCGATTTTCCCCGGGGACAGACAAATGTAGGCTTCTCTCTCAGATCAGTATCTATCCAGCGAAGTATTTACGCAGAAAAGTATATTTATACAATCAGTCTATCAATATATCTCCCAACCCAGTATTCTCGTCAGAGTCTAATTAATTATATTCTTGTCCATCGGTCTATAAAAGGACCATGACACAATAGATGCTGCCATGATAATTATGGTGCTGGCACTTTTGTACTCGACTGTCTTCTGAATCAACTTTTTATACTCATACAGCCACCGCAACTCTCCCTGAGTCTACTCCGGCATGACAAAGCTGAAAAGGCACTTGCTGCCACTCCTGAGCTCTAGGAAGTCAGTGATGGGTGAAAAGCCATGACCCCAGTTGCCTTCAGAAAAATGCAGAAAAGAAGCCATAGCAGTGATTTTAACTGCTCAACCAGGGTTTCTCCAGCTACTTTCCCCTGACTGGCTCGAGTCGACTTTGGCACTGATGTTTGGTCACAGCATTACTCCTCGGATGCTGTTGGGCCAGGGTCCTGTACTTGCTCCTGAATTTTGCCATAATTCTGCTCTGCATGCAGTGTCAGTGCAAGCACATCCATTCGGTTACATGTGTGGTGACCCTATCAATGTGTGTGCATTCTTAGGCAGTGAATATGCGGGAACGTCTTCCCAAGGCAGCCCTGTCAGCATTCTTGCCAGCGGTAAGTCGTTTCCCCTACCGATATTATTTGTATATGGGAGCACTAAAAGAACTTTTGATTTTGGATCCCCACGGTAGTGGGACTTGTGATGTCATTGTCAGGATATCATACCTTGAGGCATGGCAGGTATTGGTCCATTGTTAGCAGCTGATAATTATGACATGATCTACCTATGGGATTTCATGCTTCAATGTCCTCCGCAGGTGCCCTGTCGACTCTACTTGGATACTTTGCAACGTCGCAACTTCAACCCTTTTGACCCGGTGTGCTCGAGGCGCGAGGCAAATCTCGCTGCAAAAATGGCATGGAAGAAGTTCCGAGGTGCTTACTGACTGCCCACACTACACACACATCTGTAAGAGTGTGTGTGTACAGTATCACTGTACAGTGTACAGCCAGCTATACATGTGGTGCTGCTTGGACGGTGCCGCTGTGATACAGATGTAAGGCAGCACCTCACTCAGATTTGCCGGACGTTACGGCGCTCCGGTCGAGCCCTGGGAACCGCTAACACTGCTACCCTGATATGGAGATGTGCTTTGATTCAAAGTATTCCTGATGAAGTACATCATCATGGTTCCCACGACAGGCATTGGACCACTTGTGCCCTTCTGTCAAATCCGAGATACAAGCTTCTCAAAAATTGTGTTTTACCGCTCTCGTTGCAGTCAGTCCGCCTGCAAACGGACACACAAAGAAGTACTAGCATATGCAATACCAGGCCTCAAGCTATTGCCCGTGTGCCTTGTCTGGTCTGCACTGTAGTACCCTAAACTATCATTTTTTACAGTAACATTCACAATCACAGTCTCTACAGCCTGCCATTATTTTAAAAGATGGTGCTTGATATTTATTCAATAGATTTACAAGATTTGTAGTCAATCAAGGCTCACTGGTGGTGAGCAATTCATTGTATGTAATAGAAGAGTTCATATTCACCAATAACAACTCTAATATAAAGTAGATAACAATGTGCATAGAGTTCTTCAAAGGATACCTTCCATATCTCTTAGCCATGCTTCTCAACAGCTATCAAGTGCACAGAGCATATAGTTGCATGAACTTCAAATCCAGTTGCGTTTGTCCTTTTCCCTACTTGAAGTGGTTATTATCACTATAGGGTGAACATTTGATATTATTATACATGGCATTTCACCAGAAGCAAAACACTTCCAGCCAGGCTAAGTTTTCAAAACTAGCTGCAAAAAGATGAACGTCTTTAAAGAGTATTTTAAAGTTGGCGAGGATTGCAGTTGAAGTGCTGGTAGGCTGCTGTGTCATCTAGCATGATGCCAAGGTAATTCTATGACCATGTGTCATTACAATGATGTTTCGTGCCGAGCGAGGACTGGTTCTGGAGGCACGTGCTGGGGTACTAAAGGTGATCTGGCTGCAGGCTTGGACACGGGAACTCCTAGCGAAAACACCACAGCAACATGAGACAAAAACTGTAATGTTTGACATGGCCGGTGTTTAAAAAAAATGTAAAACGCAACCCTACCATTGAATTACGAGGGTAACGAAGCAGGAGAGAGCAGAGACAACTATTGGTAGCGGCCACAGAAGGAGGCTATGCCAGTGAGCACCATATAAATTATGATGACTTTTAAAACACAGTAATGCTCTTGCAGAACGTCCATAACGTTAGTAAAGTTGTCTATCTAAAAATATCATGAGCGGTCAAAAGTCCGATATTACAGGAAATAGAACATATCCAGGGGAGAGGAAACCCAGAAGTGTGACTGAGAAGTGCGCTCGCCGCTCGGTTCCACAGCTTACCTCCGTATATGCCTCCTTGCAACCTTACAAACGCTGGACTGCGACGTTTTTTGGCGTTGATGGCCGCATCTGTCTCGCTGGTAGAATGAACACCGGACTGCACTGATCCCGCACGGTCCCTATCTTTGCCAGCTGTAGAGCCATCCATGAGTGCGTCGTTGGCCAGTGACGGGTGTGGCGAGTCATCTGCACTGGAACCCTGATTTGATCCACTAGGCACACTACCTGAGGCTCCATTGCCAGCGGTGGAAGGTGGCGTGTCCAACTCCTGAACGAAATCACACAGGAGCAGCACATCTCTGTCGATCCCGCTGCTCAGTACATGCAAATGTTCAGGTACCAGCACATATGCCGTACGTATGTCAAAGAAAACACATCTCACAGCACCTTCAGTAAGTTCAGAAGACAACGCACATTGTCTAGTACAGTCAGACCTCGCTTATCCGGCCCTCTAATATCCGGATCCCTCGCCATCCGGAAGAAACTAGCTGGTTGCAGATTTAGAGCATACGTGCTGCATCCAACATAACCAGTATTCGGTTATCCGGTTCCCTCGCCTATCAGGATATATTGTGGAAAACGGATGTGTGCGGCTATGGGGAAAACCCAGTCTGACTGGGTCTAACACAAACCGTGAATTGTTTTGCCCATTTTTAATCGTGATTCTGTCATGTAACATGTGCAGTGTTAGGTTACTTACATCTGCAAAGGAGCCTGAAAAGCAACTCAACAGAACATGGCGAAGAGAAACCTTTCCTGGAACTACTTCGGTCTGCGAAGAGTCTTGAGTTTGCTGGGTGTGGTAAATTTGGAGCTGCTGCTGCGGGAAATCGCTGATTGACTGGATCTCCGCCTCCGACTCCCGGCGGTTGTCCGCACCACAAGTGCTTCCATTGATGACACCATAGGTGCTGCTTTCCGTCATGTACTGTTCCCCCACCCCCATAGAGTTTCCAGGAGCGTTACCAGGGAGGGTATTCAGCGGGACTGTCGGACCGATGTCTCGGTCTTCTTTGTGCCTGATTATGAAGTAGAGCTGCGGTAAACAAGCACACACATACCATACGAACAACGCACATCCAGGTACTATTAATATGTCATGAGATGTAATCGTTGTACTTCGAAGTACTGAAAGTCCAGTGCTTCAGGATTGTGCCTTGTTTGGCATAGACATTCTACACACAAGCATGACTGCTTTCGCACAGAACTGTGCATGGGTCAAACAGAGTTCTTCTGCAATGTAGAACTGAGTTAAGTGGACTTAGATGGTCATGGATCAAGTTCACACCGCGCCAAACATAATATCCAGCAGAACACTTACCTTGTGTCCGCATAGGACCGCAATCAGTGAGGTGACGGTGAAGTGCATCTCGAAAAACTGCAGCAAATACAAATAATCTGCATACTTGTCTGGCATTAGAGTGAAGTAGAAGATGGCAATGAGACTCTTGATAATGGCCGCGTTCAGGAATGGCAATGTGATGAACTTGAACTCTGGCCACTCCAAGACAAGGCGACGTGTCCGTTGCGCCACCAAGCAAGCCAAGAGAAGCAGGAGTACTTCCACTACAGCATTAGCAGAACACCACAACCAGTATACAATAATCATGTCAGTGGGCTAAAGGTTGTGTTACAAAGCTCACACATACCTAACAATACAAGATAACAAGTGTGTCAATCTGCAGTGAAAGAGATCACGTGAGTTAATGCACACGCATGCATACACTTACGCACGCACATGCACACACACACACACACACACACACACACACATATTACTCAATATGTCTACTGTAACGAGGGCACTAGTAATGTTTGCGACGCGTAAGTTTTTGGAAATGCGTGTGCCCAGGTCTATTGTATTGTTATAGGGGCGCATCATCAAAGATAGTTACAAATTTGAGTAAATTAATACAGCCAGGTTTCACTAGCTACATCTGAAAGCTCTACAAAATGCACACCTTTCACATAGCGCCTGGGCTGTAGTGCTTACCTCCATGTATGGCATATCTCCACTCAGTCACCGTGCATAGTTCATAGCTATTTTCATTAGCGTCCGTTTTAATAGTGACGTGCGGGGCCGCTACTGCTGTCCAGATGATAAGCACCACAAGCATAACCGATGCCAAGCAGCTGATGCAGAGTACGATCGTTTTGTCCAGGTGCCCAGGTGAAATACTCCCTGGCGGCATTCTAGCCAGGACCTGTACACGCCACACTTTGGCAAATAGAAAGCCGAAGATCAGTATGAATCCCATGTGGCGGGGCCATGGCTGAATGGCGCAGATGGTGTCGCTAAGCTCACTGAACAGGACAATTGCCTCCAGGTAGGCCAGCATTGCACTGAGCAGTATGGCAAAGAGATAGGGGCCCACCGACGACACTACAATCTGTGTATCCCAGGACTTCCAGAGCACAGCGGCCACCACGACAGCACCGACCATCACCAACAGAGTCAGCAGCAGCAGAGGCGTGCGCAGACGCAGGTCGTCCTTGCGCAGGCACGGCGTTGAGTCATTGCAGGAGATGCAGCCACGTTGGCAGCTCAAGCAAGCTGACCGATTGTACACAGCCTTCACGTGATTGCTCCCATCCAGCACGAGTGATTTCACCAGTATCCCAGTGTAAGAACTCAGTTGAGAGAGGTTTTCTAACAGCCCTTTTTCAGCGGCTGCTGGACTAAAGTACGTACGCTCAGGGCATATGCAGTTGTAACTGTATGCCTGAAATGCACTGCGTACATCCACGCACTCCAATGTTTGATTTGCTGACGTATAGACTTTGTTGCAGAGTGATGAGCCGTAAAACACATCGGACGGCGGAGTGCGGGTAGGACCAGCACACTGATTGATATTGTATGAGCTCAGTGACACAGCAATCCAGGAAGAACCTACCATCACCACCTCGTCAAGCTCTCTGGTTGAGTTGCACATGCCCAGCGAGGCCAAGCGTTGTGAACAATTGGCGATAAGAGGAATAGTCAGTAGGTGCACCCACTGTGGACTATCATTGTCCCTGCACTGTGCATGTACTGTACTCCATGATATCATCTCATTCGGTAGCTGAGGTATGCTGAGACCAGCGTATTTGTCTTTATCTGTTATTATACTGTTGTTTAACCAAGTTTTAGGTACCAATTCCACATCATCATCAATTGCAATGGTACTGTAAGACGTGAAATTCTTGAACGACCTCATTGGCTGCTCCCACAACCAGGGCTTGGTGCAAAGCGATAAGCCGACATTCTGCTGCCGCTGCTTTACTGGGAAATCATTCACAATGGCCACATTTCGACAATCAGCAGAATCCGGCGAGTTCCTCCAGCACATTCCAGCTGCTACAATACGCTCATGACTTTCCACTGCGCTCTGCAGGAGAGTGTCCAGAAAGATATCGTTGAACCAGATGTTGCAATCTTTGCACTCACATCCACTTGCCGTAGCTGATTCGGGGCTAGCAGCATCACCTGTTGCCGAGGGAGTCACGCCAGGAGACTCAGTCGGACATGACTCATCAAGGCAGTATGCAGACCTAGCTGCACCTACACCCTTCTGGGCGGCACGTGGTGGTGCTGCAGCGAGAAGGTTCACCAGCGTGCGTGCATTGTTGAAACCAAACTGTTGCTCCTCGTTGGCAAATCTGCCCTGTGCGCCGTCCATGAACACGGCCATGTCAATTCCTTCATAACTCACGTTGTTTGCCAAGTTCCCAGTTAGGCTTTTGCTCTTGCACTTCGTCATTGCTTCCTCCATTGCATCGAACACTGCAACAACATACTGCTGGTGTGACACAGATCCGCGCTGACTCTTGTTGAAAAGATCTTCCCTAAGAATATCCAGTGAGGGAAAGCTTGCTGATGCAGTTTCCCTGCATGCTGCTGCTTCAGTGTGAGAGGTTGCAGGTATCACCGGTGCTAGCACTACCACCAGTATGGCCAATACGGCCACACCATGGTGTTTGGCCGAAGTCCAAGAGCACGATGCTGTTGACACTGGTGCTTGTGCTAGCCAACCGCCACTGCAGCGACGTGCACATGAACGCGGTATAGCCACCATCTCCTTCACCACTCCACGTCGCAGTGGTTGTTTTGCCTCGTGTGACCTCCGCCAATTAAATTTCGGAAAGGGCCCGTTCGCCTCACAAGCGCTCCAAAATTCAGCGAGCGCCAATCTCGCGGTGCGCGGTCCAGACCTTGCAGATATCAGACCGTGACGGTTTGAAATAGCAGGAATATAATCCCGAGATTTAAAGTATCAAAGTGTCATCAACACAATCAGACATTTGAGTGATGTGACCAAGGCAAGGACTAAGGTAAGGGCTACCACTACAGTCTACACTCGAAGTAACCAACTACACTGACTATTACTATTAGTATTAGTATTACTATTACTTCTGAAACTAACAAGACGTATGCGCCTTGTCTGATGGTCGGCTTTAGTTTTTCAATACAACGAGTTACGTGAACGATCGACCATGCTCAGATACTAGTCAGAGTTCAGATGGCTTGAGCGCGCATGCAGCTGATCGACGGAAGTGAAGAGCGCGGGTGGATTTGTGTGAGCACGAGTGTGATGTTTGACTGGCAAGCCAAAGCCAGACGTGCATGCAGCAGTTTCACCACGTTCAATAATTGTGCATGTGCGGTGTGGATACTGGATAGGGCAACTCACTATTAGTAATATTAGTATTATTTTTACCTAACGCACTGCTACCGAACGCTCTCTGAGTCTCTCCCTCTCTCAATGATCCGCAAGTAAAGAAGTAGTTTTCTGAATCTCAACTTGCAACTCCCCTCCAAGGCTCCAGCATGGACATCACTCATCAGATAATAATTATTATTATTATAAGTGGGGAGAGTAGAATGAGTAGACCGACAGCCCTTTGATCGTGAGAGGATAAAGGTGTGATCGACTCATCGTGGAGCAGTACGGTCGGTCCTGCACACTGCCTAGATCTGTCATGTAATGTGGATTCTTGCCAGCTCAGCTCAGCTGTCTCGATCGACTCGGCCGGGTGCATCTGTTTACTCAACTACCTACGTCGGGCAGGTAGTCTAGAGTACAGACAGACTCAGTATCTGATACGCAGCTACAGGTGTAGGATGAGTGCTCCCCCTGCCTGTCGTTGAAGTACTGGCTACTGCTGCAGTGCTGGTAAGGTCTACACTACTACAGCTACACTAGCCTACACTGGCTACAGCCCAGGAGCAGAAGCTAGCACACTGTACTATCACTAGCAGAGGATCCTTACTACAGTCGTCCCTCTCTAATCCGGCACTTTATAATCCAGCACCCTCGATAAACCAGCACAATTTTCAGTAGCCAAAATGTCCTCTTCATGTACATTGCAGCAGTAAATCAGATTTGTTAATCCAGCACCCTCCCTAATCCAGCAGATTTTCGTGGCACAAATGGTGCCGGATTACAGAGGGACCACTGTACCTGGGACAGTCGTCATTCAATGAGTTCGCGTCGCCAGTACGGGGCAGTAGACCTACTCACTATGTAGATCAAAAAATTAATAATGATCCTGTCCATCCAAGCGCAAGCTCTGACACTTCCGGGTTGAACACTCACTGCCGAGGTGACTCAGTGACAGTCTGTTGTTGAGGAACCAAGGAGGCTACAGTATCACCATGATCACGTCGCCTAACACAAACTAAGTCACTTGAAAAAAACACTGCAGTGACTGAGTACTGCGCTAGCTGATGTACCAGCTAGCTCTGCTCAGTGGGCACTGTGTATCACACTGCCGAAGATGCGTTGCCATGGTGCAAAAATGGCGTTGGATGGCTACGCCTGAGCGCTCGCGCTGTCATCGCAGCCCACGACACGTCTTCCTGCTGTGCTTTCTTGACAAAATTATTTGTTTCGCTTTGTCCTTGTTGCTGGAGGGTTTGATTCTTTGAGATACTGTAGAGCGATTTGGAGTTGGTCAGCCGAGAGTAGTCGTGAGAAATGGAGAAAGAACGTGAGAGAACCTGAACTGCGGATAAAGTCGCTCTGTTCCAGCGGAGGCGAGCAGAGGGTTACGATCTCAGTGCCCAGGCACGTCGCTCCTGATTATTTCGAGTGGCTCGATGTGCAAGTGGCACTCGAAACCAGCACTGTGCAGAGTACCGATGTTCCTGCCAGTGTCGCTGCTTTAGCCGGGCTGGCGCTGGCGTCTCCAGCGCAAACAGTAGCTAAAACCATTCCTGAACCGGTTCCAGTCGAACAAACTGTCGCTGCAGCTAGTGTTGGTGTTGTTTCTTCGCCTTCAGTGTCCGTGGGGTCAGCCGCAGTGGAATCTGGCACTGACAGCCAACCTGCCAAGAAGCCGAAAAGAACTTCAGGCAAGGGCTACTTCTGTGCTGTTCCGCTCTGCAGTAATCGGTCTCTAGATTATGTCACTTGCATTTCATCGTTTTCCCAGTGATGCAGAAAGGTGCAAGTTATGGCAATTTGAAATTAGGAGGGACGTGGGATCAAATTTCAAGATCTCATCAAACACCAGAGTATGCAGCTCTCATTTCAAACAAGATGATTACGTCGGCAAGCTCCTGTCTGGTGAGGAGCCAGAAAGAAAATGGCTCAACCCCACCGCTGTGCCAACCCAGTTCCAGTGGACGGCAACTCCTAAACCAGCGAGACGAGTTCTGAAGAGAAAACGTCAAGAGTCTGAGGAGCCACAAGATATTGATGATGCCGGGGTCGTTTCTGTGGTGTCTGGTGTCTGTTCGGCTATTGACCCAGCACCGACCCCTGGTCCTGTGCAGGGTTTGCCATGTGATCACAGATATATCAGTGTAAGTGACCCGAGTGAAGTTGATGATCACATGGCTGGCCTAGAAAAAAGACTTCAGTGAAATTAAAAAAGAGTACGAGAGCCTGAAGTGTCGTTCGATCGATTTAGCCAGCATCAGAAACAATCCTGACAAGTTCAGGCATTTCACCGGGCTGCCTAACTACGCAGTGTTCTCTGCCCTGTTCAAATACCTCGAACCCAAAGCCAAGAGGATGCAAACTTGGCGCGGCCTATCTACCCTTAGACATTTGTATGCCACTGGTCCTCAGCGATGGCCATTAGACGTTTCACCGACACTGGCTGACCATCATCATCACAGAATATGAATTTGTTCCAATAAATACTGCGTGAATGTGAAAAAAGATTGTTACATATATTCCACCGGAAATACAAGTAAGTTCTATCAACCAACCAAGTATTCCACTTAGCTCAATCTGTGCATTCAGAAATGATTTGTTCCAGTAATAATCTAACATCAGTCCGAAGTTCATTATTCAGAAATGTCTTGTAAGTCAATGTTTTACTATGATGACAGACCATTTTTTGATCTCTGCCAATTTCTGGTTTGAAGACATAAAAATGATGATTATTGATCCAGAAAGTCGTTAAAAAATCAGTGCAATCGATGATGAGTTTTCGGCTGTTTGTGAGGGGTTGAGAGGTGAGGTGGAATGAAATGTTGCTTTCGTTCACAGTGTACTGTGTTTATGTTGGACAAGATGATATAATTCACAAACGTCAACAGACATGACGAGGAAAGATCAGAAGAGAAGCCATGATCTAGAAAAACAGTCAGAAGCACAAGCGTGCATGCATACAACATGTCTGTTACGGAAGGTCCAGACAAACTCTGCATGCCATGGCTGCAAAAATCATCCTGCGCAAACAGCAAAGCCGCGACATGTGAACAGCACTCTCCTTATCCGGAAATGCACTGGCAGTATCCACCTTAGCACACTGGATCGTCCCTGCTGATGCAGACGATACACGTGTAGGCTTGCTTTGATGTATCTTGTGATGGCCAGCATTTCGCACGGACGAAACAAAAGTTTGTTCCACCTGCAAACAGGTTTCCCTCCAAATGGTGAAGGTGGTGCTCATCAAATAATTGGTACGCACGAAGTTGCTTGTAGCACTGCAAGCTCTCCTTGTCATAATCTTTTTCCGGGGAATTTAACAGATAGTGCTTGACAGCCTCAGTAATGAAGAAAGGGATTTTAGTTAGGCGAGATAGAGACCAGCCAGATGTTATGTGTGAAAAGCTTGGTAGCTTCTTGTACGCTGCCATTACTGGCTTTGGTAATGCAGGCTTGTCTGCCTCCTCGTCTGGAACCCCTTCGCCAGCAGTACTCAAGTGGAAATGTTCAGAGATGAGAAGGTAAAGATCACGTCTGGATACACACCCTTGGTAGGGAATACTGTCTTTGCAAAGTTGGCGCAGCCCTTGCATGCGTAAGCGCATGATATCCCCACAAGAGGTGGGAGCGCGCAGGACAGAGCTGGACAGAAGTGAATATGTGGCCCTTTCAGTAGCAGCATCAGCTGCTGTTTGCACTGGCCCTGAGCGGCGGGTTTTACAGCAGGTTCAGGAGTGGTTTCAGCTACTAGGTATACTGCTTGCACTGGAGACGCCAGCGCCAGCCCGGCTGAAGCAGCGACACTGGCAGGAACATGGGCACTCTGCGCAGCACTGGTTTCGAGTGCCACTTGCACATCGAGCCCCTTGAAATAATCAGGAGCGACGTGCCTAGCGCCTGGGCACTGAGATCGTAACCCTCTGCTCGCCTCCGCTGGAACAGAGCGACTTGATCCGCAGTCCAGGTTCTCTCACATACTTTCTCCATTTCTCACGACTACTCTCGGCTGACCAACTCCAAATCGCTCTACAGTATCTCAAAGAATCAAACCCTCCAGCAACAAGGACAAAGCGAAACAAAAATAATTTGTCAAGAAAGCACAGCAGGAAGACGTGTCGTGGGCTGCGATGACAGCGCGAGCGCTCAGGCGTAGCCATCCAACGCCATTTTTGCACCATGGCAACACAACTTCGGCAATGAGTGTTATGTATCTCCTAGTGCAGTCCTAGCACAGACTGAAAGAGCACAAGCTCCAAAGTCCAATCCTCAAGTCTGTGTTCCATGGAACGTCATTACAGAACGCCAGTGCAGTGCTGAGGCCAATGCCTCACCCAAACTCCCAAATGAAGGTCGCATGGACCATCGTAAGAAATATGTTTGCTTTCCACGCTTTCCGTGATACAAAGTAACGGCGGTACATCATGTAGTCATCGGCCTTCGCACGGGAAACACAAGGTCCAGAAACAGCATGATGACTGTGTGAGGCATTCGTCCCTTGCTGGAATATGTCACTATTGTGCTGGTGCGGCGGATTGTCATGCAATCAAATCCAGTAGCTGTGAGTAGCCATTGGTGGGTTTTGCGGGTGAAGAATCAGCTGACTCTGGTGCTCAGGTTCTGGCATGTTTCACGTTTGTCACAACATTTGTGCATAGAAGATGGGTGGTATTGTCTTCCATATACTTTTTAAAAGTTTATTATTATTATTATTATAGGCTTTGTCGATCTCTATCGATCTCTATCGCGGCTCTTCAAGCAGAAGGCCTGGCATTATTTAAAAGCACTCTTCGCCAAGAGTTTCAGCCGTGAAGCACCTTGGCCAACTGAGTCCTACCATGACAATGCTCCATGCCCAACCTGAATAGGCCTGGGGCTATCTTCTTTGCGATATGCCGCCATGCCCTACTTATTGTTCATTTTTTACTTCTGAATCGGGTCCACTTGTCTGCAGCTACATGTATTGCCCCGGGGTAATCCCAACCTGAAAGCCTTTTCAAAGAGCTATCATTTGCCAGTCCGTAGGTA